TAGTGGTATTTGTGTACCTTCTTGTTTTACTGCTGTTAAAATAAATCTTCTTTAATATGCGGATAGGTAATTTTCCCACATCCTTTTAGGGATCCGATGAATCTTAAGATTAATGATTATATCGTTTGTTCTTCTGAGTTTTTAGCCGTATAGGTTGAGACAACCATTACTATTTCATTAGTTTTTCTTAATAGTTATTAATCGGTTAATCCATCTATGTTTCATTCGGTTATTCCAGTTCCATTGAAGGCGGATGAACTCTCTAAATTCCATTCCTCGAATTGTATGTTCGGTAGGGTTGGTCTCCTGTAGTAATTCCTAGTAGTTGGCATATTATGGGTAGTTGGATTTGCATTAAATTTGCTTCCTATTCTATTTCTCTTTTCTTTAGAGTCTATATTTTCTAGGTTTCCTAGTTCTTCTTCCTGGATTTCTATAACATTTAATTTTCTTACATTTAATTGTTCTACTTATTTATTTATTTCTTCTAATATTCTATCTGATTGATTTCCTATTTTAGATTATTTATATTCTTTATCGGATAATCTTATAGGGTTTATTAAAGATTTTTGTAGGTCAATTATTCCTAACGGATTTTTATTATTTTATGAAATTTCTTCTTCAATAGTTTTTTGAGCTATTTTGTGTAATATTTGATTTGTAAAATTTAGTTGACTATGAAGATTTTGGATATCATTTATGTTAGGGATGTCACTTGTACTTCTTTTTTCTCCTATCATTTTGAAGGGTGATGCAATTACTTTTTTATTTTCAATGTCAGGAAATCTTACTTCTTCTAGAGGAGAAATTTACTAATTATCTCTTATTTTTTGTTTTTCATATTTTTTCAGCATTTTGTAATGCATTTATTTGTAAATTTTTTAAACAATTTTCTTCAAACCATCTGAAATACGATATGTTTTCCTGAATTAATTCTAAGTGGTTATAATAATTTTTTCGGTATTCTTTTAATTCATTTTAACTAAAGGTCTTAAAGAACCATTCTCTTTTTTCTTGATTCTTTTTATCTAGAATTTTTTGTCTTAACAGGTCTTTATTTATTTTGAATTTAGTTATTGAAGTAATTCAGAAGCAGAAGGAGAATTATGAGTTTCTATATTTTCATATTCGTATTCTAGCATTGGAATTATGGGGTCTTGTCTTATTCCTTTCAGTTTAAAACTTCTATGATGCATTAAACTAGATTGATCTACTGATCTTCTAGCTGTTACAAAAATATTTCTACTAAATGTTCCTCTTAATGAATTTGCTCTTCTGATTGGGGCAAATGATACTTCTATTGTTCCTGATTTATATTCAGTTATGTTTTCAATTTCTACTGGTTCTAGTAGGTCCTCTAATCTCTAACTAAGACCACTAGATATTTCAGTGTGTTTTAAGGTCTTTGGTATTACTACATCAACTTTTTCTGGCTTTATTAGTAATATGGTTGTTTCATCTTTTGGAGACATTAATAAGACTCCGATGCTAATTGAGTTTTTATTATTTTATAATAAATTCTATATATTATGGTTATAGGTATTGATTTTGGATTCCATACATTTTTTGGGATTTTGATATCTAATATTATATTATTTTTTGTATTATGAAGACTTTTAAGAGCTATTGAATAATTTGGGTAATTATTTATATATACTGGTCTGTTATGAAGATTTGTTTCAAACATTGCTAATATTTGATTTTCAAGTTTTACTAATCTATTATCTCTTAAGGCTATGAATATTGGTGTATCTATTCATTTTATAAAAAGATGTTTTATTACTATTTGTATGAATCTTATATGAAGATATCTATATTTTTTTATGTGTTCGACTATTAGGCTTTTTGTTATTAATGGTATTTTCTCATGACTCGATTGTAGTTCTATTTATTTATCTACTGTTTTTACTATATATTTAGATTTAAGCATGTCTTTCCATTTGGTTTTATAAATGGTTGATATTTAAAGTTTTGGAAGGGTACATTTGTTAAGTTGATTTTTTATTTCGGGAATAATTAGTTCATGGTGTACTATGTTCATGTTACAGATTTCTTTTTTAGTGTTCTTATTTTCTTCAAACTTTTCTTTTCCTTTGGAAAACAATTTTATTAATTTTGGCATCCTAAGACCAAGGTCTAAGACTTACGGGAACACCACAAGGTTTACTGCCACGTAAGTGGTCTTACAACCTATACCGGTTTATCAATGCTTATCTTCCCTCAAAGACTCTTAGGCATAGTTTAATTAATAAAATTTTATTTCTTTCACGAACAATCCAATTTTTAGAAAATATGCATTCAGAAGAATAATCAGTACTTGACTTTGTTATTTCACACTAAAATATCAGGATTTGAACCTGACAATAGTGATATGAACTGACTTTTATTCTTAAAGAAACCAAAACAGGAAAAACTTAACTGTTCAGTATTCCAGCCAATATACCTTTAATAAATTTTAAAACTTTTTGATGCGGAAGATCAGCATGAAGCTGCAACCACAAAACATACTTATTCAAACAACATCGAATCTGCAGAAATAACCCCTATTCCTAATGAAAAAGATCTCTCTATTATTAGTTATTCAAAACTAAGAATTATTAAAATACTCTCATACCAAGAATGAAACCAATATCCTTTCACTGATAAGAGTTTTTCGAGACCCTTTGACCCCCTTCTTATAATTATTTTGATTACCAAGAAGCCTAGAACAAAATACTATTTGATACTAACCCTATGCATTCATGGTATTTCTGCTTCAAAAAAGAATTACCCAACACCTTACCCAATTGGTTTGTTGACTAATTTCATCAAATAGGCTCAGTCCAATCGATAATTCCAGAAAAAAATTATGAAAATTTACCAAAAATATAAAAGCCTCACCCCCTGTTACCCTCCACACCTAAGAATTATAAAATTTTGCTCATCCATGAGAATAAGCTGGCTTTTAGTCCACATTCTCGAAATACACCAACATAAGGAAGAAATCTACCCCAAAACTCTCTGCTTAACAACCAAGGTTTTTTGGTGGAAAAAAATTTGAAACCCAATATTTAGAAGAAAAATTTGAAAATTGGAAGAAAATAGACCTCATTACACAAAAGAGTCCAATCCGAAAAGAAATCTCATCCATAGAAGAAAAAGGAAAAACCATCATAGATTTATCCAAAATCCTCTCGTCAAAAGAAGAAAAGACCCAATTAAAATAGAAAATGTTCGAAATATTATCCCTAGTGAACTCAGAAGAAGAAGAGAGTGAAACTATCATCAATCTACAAGACGCCTAAGATCCCTACGACGATGAAGAAAATATTGATTTTGCTCAATTTTAGCAATAAATCCCAAAAGAGTTAAAGAAGAATATTACTAATATTATACAACAAAAATCAACAAAAGAATAATTACAAAGGAAGATTAATCATATTATGAGAAAATTAGAGGATGTGGGTCTTCACGAACCCACCTTCTAAACAGTATCTTAATAAGCAGCTGAGCTTATTTGGCCCTTCGCCCAACATATGTTGAGGTCCCACTCCTTAAAATAAAACATTCAAGTAAGTAGTTGGACTTATATGGTCCTTCGCCCAAAAGATGCTTGGGTCCCACCTAGTTGAAAACTAATCTCTTGTAATTATTGCATTTTGTCTTTAGCGTCAGTCGTCGAAAATAAGACGTGTCAAATTATAATTATTTTATTGTGTCAGCCACCAAAAGTAAGGTGTGTCAGTTGTAAAAGTCAAATACAAGATAACTAATAACTTTGTTTATAAAAGTCGAATAAAAAATAACTAATAACTTTATTTATAAAAGCGTTTATTGAAGTTGAAAGAAAAATATATCTTAAAAATCTTTCTAAGTTTTCTTTGAGTATTCTTTTAAAATTTCTTCTCATTTCGGATATATATATATATATATATATATATATATATATATATATATATATATATATATATATATATATATATATATATATGAGAGATAGAGAGAGAGAGAGAGAGAGAGAGAGACCGTTGATGTGTAAAGAAACTTGATCTTAAACCTCAAAATGTGTCCTGGTGAAATCTTTCTTTAGATTGACATTGAAGGGAAACAATTACACTTAGTGGTTGACGTTTTATAACTAATGGTTGAATTGACAATTATTATTGTCCATATCTTAATGTATAACCATTGAAGATACTTGTATAAGTATAAATTGTAGATACTTGTATTCAATTGGTACCAATGAAAAATAGTTAATGTTTTAGCACAGGGACAATAATTGGCAACCTGCTCTTGAAGCCAGTGGCGGTGAGAAAGAAGGGCAATGGCGCACATGGATAGAGTTTTTATCAACCCCTTTGTACAAGATCCATATTCAGGCTAACTGGGTAGGGGAAATTGGGAACAAGGGAGACCAAATATTGAAGAGGCTTCAATGTGGTAGATTCAAGTTTTACTTTTTTAACTCTTGTTGCACACATGATAGGAAGTACCATCCCTCTCCTTTTTCTCATACATATCCTTAATGGCAACTGTGGACTTCGAACTGCTACTATACCACATACTACCAATAAAATTAATTGACACCCCTTTTGAAATAGTTGGAAAACAAGCATTTAGGTAAAACACAATAAATGTGAAATATTCTCGAGATAGAAGCAATCAAATCCACTATTTTGATCTCATTTATAAGAAAACCATGAAGATGAAAAAAAGGGATAGAAAAGGCACATCTAGCTGTAAGCCTGTCATGAAGCATTTAACGCACATGAACTATGGTACATGCAATTCAATTCTAAATAGAATTCATAGGCCTCTCTTTATTATGAGCGTTATCTCCATTTGCTTGTGGTAGCAGAAGCTATTTAATTCGCCACATCAAATATCACAACCAGTGACCTCTATATAAACCTACCCCCAACTTGTTACTTCTTCATCATATACCCACCCACATATCTACTGAGTCCAGTGTTAAACGTATTCACCATTTGCCGACCCTGATAGGGTAGCTTAATTTGTGCATGGACCAAAGGGTTTTTGCTTCTTCTATGTTTCTATCTTTGCTCATCTTAATCGTATGGAACAACAACATTGTTGTTGTTCCACAAGCAGAAGCTCGAGCGTTTTTTGTTTTTGGCGATTCGTTAGTTGATAATGGCAACAATAACTACCTACTCACCACTGCTCGTGCCGACGCGTACCCGTATGGCATTGACTATCCCACTCACAGGGCAACTGGTCGTTTCTCCAATGGTCTCAATATCCCGGACATTATCAGTTGGGTCCCTCATTACATACTATGTCGCTGTTGATGATTGATTGTTTCAGTAGCTTTTCAACTCTTTTTTGTTTTGTAATGTTTAGATAACCTAAGCTACATTTATTGTTGGTCTTAGTATTAATCAATCATGCATAATAATATACTTATGAGAAGTGTGTGATTGTTACAGGCGAGCGAATTGGGTCAGAACCCACGTTGCCGTATCTGAGTCCTGCGCTGGATGGAGAGAGGTTACTCGTTGGTGCCAATTTTGCTTCTGCTGGAATAGGAATTCTCAATGACACTGGAATCCAATTTGTAAGCCAACATTTTTTCTCATTTCTAGTTGTGAATTATCAGTCTATCTAAAATGCTAATAATATATTCTTTTGAACATCAACTACGAGTAAAATATGTATATATATATATATATATATATATATCCTCTGTCCAAGCTAGTTTTATGGTGTTTAATGGATACTGGTATTGAATGAACGAACGAGGTATATCTATTTGCAGATAAACATAATCCGAATCAGCAGACAATTACAGTTCTTTGAGCAGTATCAACAAAGGGTGAGTGCACTGATAGGAGCAGAACAGGCTCAACGACTTGTGAACCAGGCACTGGTCCTCATAACCTTAGGTGGCAATGATTTTGTCAACAACTATTTCCTGGTGCCATTTTCTGCAAGATCACGCCAATTTGCACTCCCAGACTATGTCGTATACCTTATTTCCGAGTATCGAAAAATTCTTCTGGTATTCATATCCTTCACTTCCTCTGTCGCTGTTATTATAGTATTATTATACTGTTATCCCTTTTGTCCCATTTTGGGCTAACAATACGTTTCTCATGCATATTATCACCATATAGAACAAAGTGAACAACTTTGGCAAGGAATAACTTGAATAATATCTATATAGAAAGAGAACAAAAGTTACAGGATGTTTTGCTTTATTTTTTAGTTTTTACTAGTAGAAATAAAAATAAGAATTTGCAAATATAATAATTAATTATCAGTTCTGTTTTTATGATTATAAATGGCTATAAAAATATCCTGAACATAATTTTCTTAAAAACATACACATTAATTTTAATGAAATGTTTTCTTAAAAACTAAAACCTAACACACCGAACAAGATCATTATAAATTACCTAATAACACATTTTTGAGAATACAGTTTTTGAAAGTGTAAAAATGTACTATACTTTAAAACCAGCTTACCTAAAAGATATCTGTTAGCATTCATTTGTAGTACAAGCTAGTAATAAGACTAGTGATTTTTGCGTAAATACTATCCACCTCTGTCAAATACTGGACATGTAGATTAATTGTGTCTAAAAAAAAAATATCCATGTGCTTGTACTGCATAAGTTGGACAAAAACAGGACATATTTCAAATATGCATAGTTGTTAAGTAAAGTACATGGGTTCAGTAAAAGATTTAGTTTCAATGAATTTGAATCTTAAATTAGAAAATGAAATATATATCTGATGTTGATCCAGAGACCTTAATTTCGACAATATAAAATGGTGTCAGACTTCATCTATAGAAGTATGAAATGCAGAATTTTATCATGCTTGTGTGAGGCAAGTTGAGTCATAGTTTGATATGAGGGGTTGCTGAAGCTATTGAACATTCATTCATTATAAGCTGTATAAAATTTGATGTAAGAAGCATGTGGGGTACGTACTATAAATGTGGAATTAATGTGTCACGTCATGGCTCATAATCACTCTCTTGCACAAAGTCTTTTTGAAGTATATGCATATGCAGACTATTCAGAGCACCGGTAAAATGTTGCTATAATAATAGTACTACAATATTATATATAATAAAATGATAAATAGAAACAAAAAAGTTTAAAAATTGTGAGAAAATAAGAAATTAAATGGATGCATGCAGAGACTGTATGAATTGGGAGCAAGACGAGTTTTGGTGACAGGAACGGGGCCATTGGGTTGTGTGCCTGCAGAACTAGCACAGCATAGCAGAAATGGGGAGTGTGCAGCAGATCTGCAACAAGCTTCTGCTTTATTCAATCCGCAACTGGTCCAGTTGGTGAATCAACTCAACTCTGAAATTGGTTCAGTTATCTTCATTTCAGCTAATGCTTTCGAATCGAATATGGATTTTATCAGTAACCCACAAGCATATGGTATGCTCAAACCATCTCTCTTTCTATTTACTCAATTAGATTTGCTCATTCCCTGGGTTAGCTTAGATGTAAAGTAGAAACTAATACCAAATAATTTTTACTATTTAGTATAGATATGAATTAATTATGAAACTGGCTTCTTTTCTCTCTCTCAAAATAATGTAACAAAAAATGTTGTTGAGTAGAGTGGGTGGGAGGAGTTATTTCTTTATTTATTGACTATAAGGGTCCCAGGATAAGATGACACTGTAATGATAAGATGAATCAGGTCCTATGGATCCCTTCTCACTCAATTATTTTGGTAGGATGAATTAATAATTTAAGTTGATTATTCTATTTTGACCCCTTCCATTTAAATTCCTAATTTCATAAAATGTGGGTGAAATAGAGCCAGTAGACAAGTTTTTATAAAATATTTATATATTAAAATAAAAAACTATAGTTAAAAATATTATAGTTTTTATTATGATATTAAAATATGTAAATATATTATAATTTAAATTATAAATACTAATCAATTAAATTTAGTTTTTTTTATAATTAAATATTTTAATATAAATATAATAATTTTTTTAATTTCTCTAATAAAAATATTAATTAATAAATATAAATTTAAAAATTATTCATAATATCCTCCAACCTATCAATCTATCATTTGATAAGTTTGATAAGGTGAGTTAGGATTTATAGATCATGTATCAACTTATTTGATTTATTTTTTATAAATTAAAAATAAGACATATCAACCCTTAACTGACTAATCTATTTTGTGTATAAAACCCACATAAAATTAAGATTTTTGAGTGGAATGATATCTTAATATTTGGAGGGGAAAAGTTTTGTCCCACGTTCTCTTGAATCCTTACCAAAGATTCAGACAAAAATAAACTAAAGGTTAAAACTTTAAATTTGAAAAGAAGATTATTAGAATAATAAAAATATTGAGCTAAATTTTAAACTAAAACTCAACTTTTCATCGAGACATGACTCATGTAAAAAGAATAAAAAAAAATTGGCAAAGAGAAAACATAGCGCCTTGAAAAAAAGAATAGATCTTAATTTTTTTCTTAGTATAGTTAATACTTAAATTTATTATATAAGAAGTAAATCAACATTGCTATTTTACTCTCTAAGTCAAGGATCCATGGTAATAGGTAGGTTTAATTCAATTAATATTAACCATGTTTGCTAATAATTTCGTAGAAATTAATTTTAAAGTATGATTATTGTAAAATGTTTTATATTGTTATTTAAATAATTATGTAATGTCACACCATTGTTTTTAAAAAGACAAGCTTTTAAGTATCTGTTAAAGAGGAGACACACATTTTAACACGAGAGTGTATATAAGAAAATATCAAAAGTTAAACTAACCACTCATTGATAGTAGTAACTAGCTAGGTAACCTTTTTATTTTAATTAGTAACTTTATATGTTGAAATGCTAAAAATGTAGTGGCGTCAAAATTAATACTTATCTAATATAGATTGAGTTTAAACCGGTGAAAAGGTACCTGTAAACATAATTGGATATTAAATACGAAAGCATTAAATTAAGCACCCTCTTGAAATGCAGGGTTCATCACCTCAAAAGTTGCATGCTGTGGTCAAGGACGTTTCAATGGGATTGGACTCTGCACTCCGGTGTCAAACCTGTGTCCAAACAGGGCAGTGTATGCATTTTGGGACCCCTTCCATCCAAGTGAGAGAGCAAACAGAATAATCGTGGAAACATTCATGATCGGAGACAACAAATACATGAACCCAATGAATCTCAGTACCATCATGCATTTGGATTCAAGGACCTAAATTTTATCTTCTTCTTCTTCTTCTTCCTAGGATTCTGCCATACATTCTGTGTTATATATTTCATTGTTTAAGCTACATTGTTACAAATTATTTGAAGCCATGATATTTGTAAGATTTTCTCTCTCTATAGTTTGTCGTTGAATGTCCCAGTTTAGGGTTTGTATCAATTTGTGGGTAGAGGATAAAGCCCAAAACCTGTCTGGGCTTCAAACTTAGGTTTATGTGATGTTCTAGGACTTTATTACAAAACTATTTCATGCAAACTTTAACTTGGATCCATATGTACTTTATTCAATTCATTGCAAGGTTTTATTTACAATAATATGCAGAAAAAAAATAATGTTTGCTTGATACCTTCTAGTACAAACTGCACCATCTCACACAGATGTGGCTCACAAAGATCAAATAAAAATGTGTTACAAATAAAATGATTTCATTGGTTTGAGATGGATGTGAATATATGTATTTTATGTGGATTTCAATTATGTCTGAGATTATTTTATGCAAGTTGTATACACATTTTAGGTAGGTATATGTAGATTTTTTAAATGTAAAAAATTAACTTTTTTTTTTACGGAATAATAACAAAAATGGTGTGCTTAAATACGAGTTTTATGTAGTTAGATAAATGTAAACATTCATAAAAATATGATTTATATGCTTTGTCACATTAAACTTCAAGTTTAAGTGGCGCAATGGAAACATAATTATTGGACCCAGTGTGATGTTTTCAGTTAACTATTTTGACATTACAAATTATACCGAACTATTATAATTGTTGATTATTATATTTATCAAATTATATATTTTGTTGAAGTAGAAAATAATTAAAAGTTATTGCTTCAATAAATATGTAATTCTTCCTTAATGTAATTATTGTAATCATTAAACTATATTTATTGTTAAACTAAAACTAATTAACTTGAAGTTAATACTTCAACAAATATACAAATTTTCTTAACAAAGTAGATGCTAGCTAGAAGAAAAGATAAAAAAAGTAAAAAGTAGTGAAGATAAATATTTTGCATCAGTAGACTACTAGACATTAATGAGTTAAATTGTATAAAAATTGAACTGAACTAGAAAAATAATTTACCCAAACTAAACTTTAAGCAATATGAATTGAAGTGAACCATTTGAATTGTTTTTTAATTTATTAGTTTAATACATCAGATATTTTTTCAATTGAACTATTTTTTTCTAAGAATTAAAGTAGTTTAATTATCTCAACTACAATCATATTACATGGTGAAGAGGAAACAAAGAGAATTTATTATTATGTTTATTTCAATTCAATATTCATTTATTAACAATATATATAGCTGTCAATCTTTTATGGCCAGATTGTGTCTCGTAAACTAATGTAAATACTATGGTCTTAATATGAAAATAAAAATAAATGATGAAATTCGAAAATTTATTTATACCAGAATCAAGTAATTAACCTCAAGAATGGACAGTGAATAATTATATATAAATAAGTTTTCTCAACTTTAACAACAACAACAACAATAATAATAATAATAATAATAATAATAATAATAATAATAATAATAATAATAGTTTAAGTAGTGCACCAAATTTTTATTTTAATAATTCAGTTTTTTTTAAAAATGTATAGTTTAGTTAAATTTTTGGTTAAAATAAATACAGTTTTTTTTTTATATAGTATAACTTAATTGAATTAACTATTTTAGTTTTTTAACAGAAAAAATTGTCTGTCGTTCTCTCATCAAACAATTTGTAAAATTAAATAAAACAAAATAAAAAAGAGAATAAATTTTTTAAAATTAATTAAAATTTTCTAATAAAATAAAAATGAATAATAAATTATTTAAAACTGACATAACATCGTAAATATTTATTTTATATTTTTAAAATTAAAAAATAACTCACATAATTTACTTTCCTTCGGACATTTCCTTGCATCCATCTTACATCCTTTGTAATAACATAACATTAAAATTCATAAATTTTCTGAAAGAATTTAAGTGTGAAACACAGTAAAGAAAGTGAATGCGAAGGGAAAGAATCTAAAACTGGTGACGCAGGAGGAGGGTAGCTGAGACCAAAACGCCACCTTATTTATGTGAATCACGTGTACATGAGTCTGTTTTTCGTCCCCCACCCATGATCCAATCCTTATTTTGGGTAAACACCTACCTATTACTTCATATCTTTGTTTAGCTCAAAACTGCACACATAGTAGCTCTATATTGACCATTTGGTGTTTGATGTTAGTTCTAAATCAACCAATATAGAGTGGCTGTAAACTTTAACAGAAAATCTTGAATGATTACTCATGAATGAACTCAAATATAACTGGAACTGAATCCTGCCTATACTAAACATACCTGTTTATTTCTGGGGTTACAACTTCTTTATGTGTCAATAAATATTCATGTGCCTAAGTTTCGGTGTCTAAAACAGCTAAGGGTTTTTCCCCTTATGTTTTGTATGATGATATTGTTCTTAGACTAAACTACAATAACGTAAATAAAGCGACTTGGCCTATATTTGATTCTATGAACAAACACTCCTGCTTAATTTTAGCTTATGATTTGACATCCTACAAAATACCAAACATCCTCTAGCCCAATATGCTTATCAAACTAGTTAATGTTTTTGAGTTTCTATTAAAAGATTATAATAACGAACTTCGAATTAGATCGATTGCAATTTTCAATTTGGATATTTTGTTGATATTGATAGTGAGATGAATTGATTAGAAGCATCATGCAGTATTAGTCTCTTAGTTGAGGCTCTCATACACTAGCTCTAAGTTTCTAATGATGCACCATATAAAAACTAGTTCCAGAATTAGCTAGACAGCAAAGTTGGCATAGCTAACTCGACTATTCAATCTGCCTGAAATAGTTATTGTTTTAAACACCTTTCGTATCCAAACTGGTTTTTGGATCTACCCTGTGTTAACTAGCTACTTTCTCATCCTCACATTAATAGATGTCCCACACTTCAATTTCATTTCTCAGTAAAATACTACCCACTAAGAGTCAAGAAAGTTAACCTCTCTCTTGCAACCTAAAAGTTTTTATAAGGTTGATGAAGTTAAGGAGACAGGATTGATTCCACTCTTTTTCTCATTACTAAAGGAAAATTCAAATATCTAAAGGTTGGCTTTTCCAAAACAGAGCTGTTTGGATTCACATTATATGATATTGAATTGCGTTGAAAAACCGGTTATAATATGATTATAGATAAATATTTGCATGATTGGTTTTAAAATTGATTTATGTAGTTTTTGCTCCGCTTCAAAACTTTTATACCATAATTTTCCATTAACTAGATTTTAGAATAAAAACATCTAAATATAAAGCACACAAGTTTACAAATTTTACTATAAAATAGTTTTAAAAATGTTGTCTGTAACGCAGACAAAGAGTTTAAGAGAAGTAACATATGACGTCTACTGAAATGAAGTTTCCTTATTCCAAATTAACGTAGTTCCGCTGATCCAACATGTTGGTCTATTAATTTGTTAACTGCCAACTTTGATAAGTTACGTGAAATGTAATTATGCAACCAATGTACTAGTTTCTTCTTGGAAATTGAACTTATACTGGGGATGTGATAAGTGTGATTTTCGTGTATTTACCTGTAGTTATGACACTTATTTTATATAAATATTTAGATTTTAGCTGTAAAATTCTTATTTATCTTTAATTATATATGTATATTTTGAATGTAAAGAGTTGATAGTAAATTAATGCAAGTATTTATCAACTACAAGAAGAATTAACATGTTATAAAAAGTCAAAATATTTAGCTATTTATGATTTGTTGAATGGTTATCAGAGAAGGAGTATTGTGGTCAATTCACTGAAGGAATTCGTAGTAAAGAGATTATTTCCTAAAAAAGGTAAAAGTGCTGAGTGAATTAAAGTATTTTGTGATAAAGAATCCTCATTCAGTCGAGTGAATTTCACATAGCTGAACAAATGGATAAAAATGTTGCTGAGTTCCTTAAGTATAAATAGAAATTTTGAAGAGAAAAAGAGATAATAGATAGAAGAAAAGAAAAGTGTGAAACCTTGAGGATCAGGCTGTAGGAATAGAAGCTAGATAATTTAGAGCTATAATTAATTTTCTTGTATAATAGGATCCCTTTTTTTTCTTATTATGTGTTGTTAATTTTTGTTGTGTTGGATTAGATGTAATTTGTATTTTTGTGTAGCTCTATTTCTATATATATATATATATATATATATATATATATATATATAAATTTGTTATTTTTTCTTGTGTTGGATTAGATGTAACTTATATTTTGTGTAAGCTCTATTTTTATAAATATGAATTTTTTTCTCTAGTTATTGATCCGGTTCTATTTTTATTGTTTGGATTTAAAAGTATCTAATATTATTATACTTTTAGAAATCGAACTGCATTGGAAAATAATTTTTGTTTTTGATTTGAATCAAATTAAACCATAAACTTAAACGATTGAAAATAAAGTTTAAATTATTGCGTGAAAAAGATTTTGTGTTTAATACAAGTTTTCTTAATCATTTTTTTAAAGAATTATTTAGTTCCTTAAGATTTTTAAAATTCTAGTATTAAGGAATTAATACGGAGTAACCTATTAAATTTTAAACTGATATTTGAATTCATACTTGTATAGATAATAAGCCGCACACAGATTTTCAGGGAATTCCAATTCAATATTTTATTTTCTTATGTTTTTCTTGTACAATAATTTCTTGTATTTATTAATCCATTTTTATACAAATATCTCGTTATACATTTTAACTAGATGAAAAGTTTTAACTATATGAAAATTAAGATTACGTGATATTTGACAAGTCCTCGATACGACAACTCTTTTTACATAAAGAGGATGTCTTGTAACGTAAATTACAAAGTTGCTCGAGCATTATGTCGAGAAGCAGAGGTAAAAATATTTAACTTCAGTTTTTGCTTGTGCTTCCGAAGAAGAATCACTTCAATATTTTACACTCTGTCTAAATAGGCGGCTAGAAATTACTACTGCTGGCTTTGGATGTTGAAATTGAAGGAAGAGGGTTGTCTTCTGCTAAGACCACTCACTAGAGCAATTACTTGATGTACTTGCTTCTTCTTGATTCGGCGGTTTGCTTTAAATCTAAAGAGGTGGTAGAAGAAAACATTTATGAATGTGGTTTGCAAAGATAAATTAACCTCTCAAGATTTGTATATATATATAGCTATTCCAGTTGCGGATGCAAATCACGGCTTAGCAAACTAAGAATCATATATACACAAACAAGTAACTCCACTCCTGTTTTGTAGCCATGACCAATGTTTTGGTGTTTGGTTTCTGTGCTATAATAAGCTTGGTTGTAGCACCAGGTTCTGTTACAGCTCAACCAGCAAGGGCTTTCTTCGTTTTTGGTGATTCACTCGTGGACAGTGGCAACAATGATTTCTTGGCAACCACAGCCAGAGCAGACGCTCCACCCTATGGCATTGACTTCCCATCACACAGACCCACTGGACGTTTCTCTAATGGCTTAAACATCCCTGACCTTATCAGTACGAATCAATTAGTTTTTCACATACTGGCAAAATAAATTCAACCGTGTCTCACTAATGATATTTATACTTGTTCATCCGTGCATTACGTTTCTATATATCATTTGCATGCATGGCCATTTATATATCAATTCTCGTTAATTGCATGCAGGTTTGGAACTTGGCCTAGAGCCTACACTGCCCTATTTGAGCCCGTTACTGGTTGGAGAGAGGCTCCTAATTGGTGCCAATTTTGCATCCGCTGGGATTGGCATTCTCAATGATACGGGCATTCAATTTGTAAGCTTAAATATGAATTGCTAATTGTTGAGAACATGGTTGTGATGATATCCATGAGTTACTTTACATAAAATATAGAGCAATGATATGCAAACAACTCCCACTTTCCACAACATAATAAACTAATAATAAACATAAATTTATAAAGTTTTATTATTATTATTATTATTATATTAAGAAAGTTTTATTATTATTATTATTATTATATTAAGAAAGGAAAATGATACTTTGACAACCCAAATCCATACAACTCTTGGATACAACTCTCTTTTAATATTATAATAATAGTTTTAATTTATTTTTATTAAATCATTTAATAGATTATTATATTAATAAAAGTGAGATGTTTAAAGGGTTGTATAATTTATGATTGTCAAAATATCAACCCCATTAAGAAAGAGGGTTGTAGTTGGGTTGCTTTTTATTTTTAAGGTTGTCCAGCTGTTATTTCTCTATAATCAATTGAGAAATTTTATTCCGGTTTTAAAAAAATATCCATTCTACACTCCATCTCTATTTACATATATTAATATAATATTATTATTTATTATTATATTATTTTTGATTGTAGTAGGTGAGATGAATATATATCACCCCTCTAAATCAGTTCATGTTAACAGTATTCCAAAAGTTGATATATAGTAACGATTGTTTTGGCAGTTGAATATTATCCATATCTACAAGCAACTCAAGTTATTCCATGAGTATCAGCTAAGGTTGAGTGCACACATTGGTGTGGAGGGAGCCAGAAACCTAGTAAACAGAGCGCTTGTTCTTATCACTCTTGGAGGCAATGATTTTGTCAACAATTACTACTTGGTTCCCTATTCAGCAAGATCTCGCCAATTTTCTCTCCCAGACTATGTGCGCTATCTCATATCTGAGTACCGCAAAGTTCTCAGGGTATGGATCCCAAACAAAATAGTTACAGTCTTTGAATGAATAATTAATCATTTTGTTCTGTATATGATTAATCTCCATGAATTCTGAACATTGCGGTTTGTTTAGGAAATTTAAAAACATGGGTATGTAACATGCGTACGATGAAATACATCATCAGTTTTAAAATACTTGTCAATCAATAGTAGAATAATAATGGTCACTGTCATGTTCCTGATGCAGTTTTGCTTGTACGTAGTTCTGTCGGTGAATGTGCTTTAAACAAAAGACATGTCTGTATGTTTTGGTTGGTGAGGGATAAATTTGTGTTCTCACTTTCTAGCATAGCATCTTATTATTCAATGCACAAGCAATTTATGACACATTACAATGTTATATCCAACTAGTTACATGCTAAATACACAAATGATTAGATATTTCTCCATGATGTACATGCTCACCTTCAACTACTTGATTATTTCCATGTTTATATATACTAGCTAATTAATTAACACAAACAGATAATAATATATGTTTTACAATGTGGAGAACACATGCAGAGGCTTTATGATTTGGGTACTCGTAGAGTGCTTGTAACGGGTACAGGACCAATGGGGTGTGTTCCTGCGGAATTAGCCATGAGAAGCAGAAACGGTGATTGCGACGTGGAACTCCAGAGAGCTGCTGCATTATTCAATCCTCAACTCGTTCAAATGATAGATGGACTGAATCAAGAAGTGGGTTCTCAAGTTTTCATTGCTGCTAATGCCCATCGCATGCACATGGATTTCGTTTCCAACCCTCAAGCTTTTGGTATGAATATATATATATGTAGTTAATGCACCATGCATGCTGACACGACCTTTTAAATGTCAAATTACATGGTTCTTGTAAAAAATAATTAGTGTCAGTATTTAATCGTGGTTTTCATTCTCTATTTTCAGAAAGAAACACGAGGAAGATATGAATGATAATACGTAATTAATATAAAATTAAATAACTTGTTTTTATTTCTTAATGATTGGTTACATTGGATGGAAAGAAAGGGATAGTGAACGAATGGGTTTGGAATTTGAATAAGAGAAGTTTGAAGCCACTTTGACATGTTTTGGGCCAAAAAACATGAAGGTGTGTAATGTATGTATATTTGGGTTACAGGATTTGTGACATCGAAGATAGCTTGTTGTGGGCAAGGGCCATACAATGGGCTTGGGCTGTGCACACCGACCTCAAACTTGTGTCCAAACCGAGACCTTTACGCGTTTTGGGATCCATTCCATCCATCAGAGAAAGCAAGTAGAATCATAGTCCAACAGATTCTGAGAGGCAGCACTGAGTACATGCACCCCATGAATCTCACCACTATCATGGCCATCGATTCCAAGACTTGATCCATCAATGCACCCTCGTTTTTACAAAGTCAAATGACATAACTTTAGTCCTATTATATATCTATGTGTGCCTTAAGTTTGTTTTATCATCGTCGTCATCATCTTATCATCACTCCTTAGCTGTAACGTGGCTTGTGGTGCAAAGTTACTTTGTGTTCTGCTCCTTTGTCCCTACAATTGTTATTCTATGTTGGAAGTAATTTTGGTCTCTCTTCACCAATAAATTATTGTTCTTCTCTATTTTTCATTGTATTAATTTCTGAATCTAATTAGTTTGGTAAAACTTACATCTTCCGCAATTCCCTCTTCCAACCTAAATATAGTGAAAAAAAAAAAACATTTATTTTATACTCACCTAAATAAAATCATCCCAATTTATTTATTTAATTCAGATATTATCACCAATAAACTTTTTTACTCTAGTAATGCCACCTACATCACTTTCAAAACAGAAAATTTTGAATAAGTTATCTTAGAAACGAAGTCTTGGGTTAAAAAATTAACTATTATTAATTAATTGATTAATGTGAGTTGTTTCCTCCTTCCTCTTGAATTTGTATCCCGGTTATAAATTGTTTCTAATGACACGAATGAGATTATTGTGATCAGAACATTAATTGTTCTAAACTTTCATAATTAATTTAAGCAGAATATAGAACACGTTATTAAGCAACAAATTGTTAATGAACTTTATTAAAAACAGCCTTATGAAAAACATGCGCTTATATTCATCATCCTTCAACAAACTACAACTTAAAAAAAAAAAAAAGTTAAATTTGATGCTTGAACTATACAAGTTATTTAATGCAGTTACTACCCCATCTTAAAATATAATTAAAACGAAGACGTTGACTTGTGAGGTAACTTGTCTGGCTAGATGATGATAAATACAAAGAAAAAATCTAATTAAATTTTGAATTTTTACACTGTTGTTGTGTATAAGATTTATCCTACAAATGATTGAGATATAATATAACTTTAATTTGATTCAAGAACAACATTGATAAATAATAAAGTTTTACTCTTTTAAAAATCTTTAACAATTATTGATAATATTAGCATTCTCCTTTTAGATAAGATAAACATTACAATTCGTCTGTAAAAGTATGTGAATATATATGTCAACACAAAAGAGTGAAGGCATGAAAGCAGAAGATACATCTAAATCCTACTAATGCATTAAAAGTACACCAACTTTACAAATCCACAACATTGCTGAAATAAATATACGAGGGGACATGGTGCCCTAGCTACTGATGATTAAGGCGTGACATTAACTCAGCCTCCAAATGCGTTATACGGAGTAAACTAATTAATCCAATATAACATGTTTTGAAAAACAAAACAAAAACAAAAGCCAAATTCAGTTCCTAGTCATGTATTTGTTTACGAAAAAAAAAGAAGGAATGTGTTGATGATGAGGTGGTGGTACATTGCATGCACATGCAGTTGCCATGTGAAACACTTGAATTGAGGTGTTTTTTTTGGTAGGGTGAGGTACAAAGTAGCTATAGGTTTGAGGAGTTGGGTGAGTGAGTGGAGTTTGAGATGGAGTTTAGAAGTTGAATTGGTTGGAATCGAATAAATAGCCTGCAATGTTGGTTGAGGCATCTGAGTGAATTGAATTAGAAAGAGATCAAATAAACACTTTTGTGATGGGAGAAGGGGTGTTAGTTGAACCGTTTCTCCACCCAAATTATGTGATGTCCAGGATATTAGGTGTAGAGTAGTTGGTATTATAATGTCTCTACAGCTCATACTCTTATTCTTATTTTAATAATCATATCTATATGTTACCATACACTCTCATCTGGTCCTTCTATAATCATCATCAATCTTCCAAAGGATCCTACAAGTCAAGGGCTTCTCCCTATGTATGCCCTATATTTATGACCCAAAACTCATTTTTGTTTTAAGATGTGAACTAGGAAGACGAATAATGTTATATGTGTTTCTTATTGATTACAATTTATCAAGTCTCTAGATGCTACACGTTCCTTATTTCACTTGTCTAGCTCATGCATATATCTAACTAAGGTGTGTCACTTGTCTAGCTCATGCATATATCTAACTAAGGTGTGTTTGGATTATTTATTTTAAAATGATTTTTAGATGGATTGTGTATTGAATTTTTTAATGAATGATAAGTGTTAAGGTTGTAACATAAAACCAAGTCTAACATCTATTTAAATCATACCAAATGATATGAGACAGGAGATGTGAGACTTTCAACATGCCTCTTCTAATAAAGTTTACCGGATTAGACAAATGGTATTTTTGACCCAACTAAAAGACAACTTTTGGTTCATGACAATAACCAGAAAGATGTTAGGCTTTGACTCTGATATAATGTTAAGGTTCAAATATAAAATCAATTGGTAATATATGGAGTAACCTAACATGTATTTAAATCATACCAAATAACCTGAGGTAGGTGAGGTAAAACTTTCAACAATAAAGATTATTTTCTAATAAAAAATTATCTCATTTATTCATATTCAGAAGGAGAAAGATGAAAGTAAATAGGATTACTTGGACAACATAAATAATATATTATTAATAAATAATATAAAATATAAAATATTTTTAGTTAATATATTTAATAATTTATTTTAATATTTATAAAAAAATAATATCATCTCTTTCGTTTCGTTTCGTTATTTTCTACTAAAAACAACTTAAAAAGAATTTAGAATTTTCTTTCCTTTCGGTTTTTTTAAACCATACAGAAGAATGCATACCCATTAAATCATGTTTCTACTTAAATGCGTCCAATCAAAATTTTCTTCACAAATTTCATTTAGTTTACGGTAGGAAATATAATTTTACGTATTAAATAAAAATTGCTTTTAATGTAGCATATAATAAACACTATTTTACCGATTCATTAATGTGTTCCAATTATTGACAAGACTATCGAAGGTTTCAGTTTGGATATATACCGCCATAATTGGTTTGATTGAATTTAAAGTAACTTCAATTCTTTTACTCCCTAATTTATACAAAATTCTAACACATTAATATCTGTTAATACTATTAATGTGTTAGGATTTTACATCAATCATTCTGTTTCGTCAATTACAAGGAGAGACCACTCATTTTCATTATTCTTTTCATTCATAATATAATTTTATTAAATAATTTTGAATTTGAAATCGACGTAATTACTATTCATAAAAAAGTGTAGAATTAATTGACATATTTCTCCAACCTGCCTTCTCGTTAATTAACACCTCTCCAGTGGTAATCATGGTGGATTAATTAGACTGAATTAAGATAACTTTGATTTGATTTAAATTTTAGATGTTTGGTTATTAAAATCGAATTAAATTATGGTCGCAATTAAATAGTAACAGCGCAACTTATTTTTCTTATTTCATCATCTTAAAGTTGTTAATAACGAGAAATACTTAAAAATAAAATTTATTATTTTATTATAGACTTTCTAAATGAGTGGTTTAACATTTAAAAATTATTTTAAAATAAGAAAAAAATATTTACATAAATAAATTTAATAAATTTTATGTAACGTGGGATTCATACTAAAATAATATTTTCATTCATAATTTTTTTTTAAGAAATCCTTAAATCTGAAGTTCAATTTTCGTTATTGTGTTTTCTTTTGCTTTGTTTCAATGATCCAGAACAATACTTTTACATTAACATAATATATAAATTATTATTGTAACTATTCATTTTTTAAATTGGAGGTGATTGAAAATAGAAAATTATTTGATTTAAAGTTTATCATTAAATTGTAATTAGATAAGTATTCGCAAATAAATATTAACATTAAAGAATTTATTTTTATTATGGTAAAAAATATAATATTATAATTTTATGATATTAAAAATAAAAAAAAATATATGTTATACTTTATTAACATTTAAAATATATAGGAAATTTAAAGCATTTTAGGTTTATATGTAACTATCGAGGTACACTATTATCTATTTATTAGCCGTAACAAGTTTTGATACAAAATAAAAACGAAAATAATATTAATACAAATTATATGCTTTATAAAATGGATAATTATTTTATAAAATGATTTAATTTTACGTACTATTTTTTTTATTTAGTGTGACAGAACTGGTGGTAAAATTGAAAAACATTCCAACTCATTTTGTGGGCTTGCTACAGCCTAAAATTGGATCTGGCGGCTACGTGCTGCCAAATATTTGACCAATGGAAAAGACTTTCAAAAATGGAAAACAACAAAATATATGGAAAAGAAAATTAAGAACATGCAGGGTTAGTGTAGTGAGAAAAAACTTGCTATTTTTTATTTTTTTTAAATCTTGTTAAGGAAATTAATGAAGCTAAGTAATTATTTTTTACGATGAGCTAAATTAACTCTTAGAACTTGGTGAATACGTTATAAATAAAGAGAGTGCTTGTGACAGATAAAGTGCTTAGAATATTTAACAAAATATTAATATCGCTTAATTTTTATTAAAATTGTTGTAATGGGGTTTTGATTTATTAAAAGTGGTAGGAAGAGTGATTTAACCCATAAATCCACTTTAATCTGTCTTATCCAACCAATCAATTAGATGGTTGATGTGGATAAACTTGTTAAACATGAATTAACTTTTTATTAAATTATGTGATTTGAAAGATTCCCTGTTAAAGAGGGAAGCGCTTCACGTTGAAAAATAATAAAAGTTAAAAATATCATTAAGATTGTTTTCTAGGGTTTATAATATTTTTTAAGGTACCCAATATTACTATTATTATTTTATATTATTAAACCATTAGCAGGAAAAATAAAATAAGTTTTATTAATTATTTTAAATAATCTATTATGTCAATTTAGAAACATGTTAGGTCATCAACTTTGTGACCTCAGAGGTGGGTAGTATCCTTAGTGCAAGTGTACCCACAAATAATATTTTAATAGAAATTTATAAATAAAACTTTATACTTTTGTATTTTTCTCCTCTATTTTTATACGTGTGCACGCACTGAATACAATTTTTGTAATTTGACTTAAGCACCTGGGTACACCATTGTCCATTTATTGGCATCAATTTTATTACAATAAATATTTTAAGTTTATTGTTTTTAGTTTAAATATTAAAGTATAAAAAAAAATCAAATAAATAAAAAGATAAGGATTATTATAATGGGGTAGAGTATTATACATTAGATGAAGTCGAAATCAGTTTTTGAATGAAAGACACATCGATTACGATTCGAAAGTGCATGCAGATAATGAAACTTGTTGAAAGGAGCATCACTTTATATGCTAACATGAGGAAAGTGCTACGCTTGAACAATATAATTCAAATTAATTATAACATTAAATTTATAGCATTAAAATTAAACAGAACTATTTTATATTGTATTTTTCTATTACAGGATGTTGACAACACCATGGTCGATGGAATCCAGTTGCAGGTGGTCAAAATGACACAAACAACTACATCATTTTAAGAAAATATACAAATCATGTTTTCTTTTTTTCAACCATCATCCCTACTTGCAACATTTAAAAAATTAATCAACTAAATTTGTATAGAAAAATTGGATAATAAAATAATAATATATATTACGAACTTAACTTAGTTGAAATCCATGAGTAGCTAAGGGTTGTAACTTTAGACCGTGTAATATTTGTGCGTGGTGTGTGCCTCTATATATGTACATGAATTTTAAATCAAATCAAAGAAACATGTTTTTCTCAGGAAAAAAATAAAATTGTAAGAAATATTTGTATGTTGCCTTTAACAAGCATTAATTTCAACGCCCCACCAAACTAAAATACGCAAACGTATGGATCATTGGCTTCGTGAAATTAAAGTATCTAGTACTCACTTGTATGTATGAGTTAAAGAATACTAAACTTTTTTTATAAAATAAATTAATATTTCAATATTTTAAATCTATTAAGGGGTTTAGTTCAGACAAATTATAGTAGTTAATTATCTTTTGTTAGATGCATTATTGTAGAGATGGAGTAGGATTAGAGGTACACACAGAAAAGGGGTATTTAGTGTGAGTTTGAGAAAATTCAATTTAAAAACTTGTGCATGCTCATTAAAATTTTGCAGAAGGCGAAATTCGGTTTATGGCAGAAAGGTTTGTGAGTAAAAAGGATAGAAAAATGCATGTACATTAATACAAAATGGCAAGGATAGTTTCATTTAATTGAAGTGGTAATGTGTCAGTTGAAGCCCATGTAACGAAATTGTCAGTTCTTCTTTTTGGTCCGTATTAAGGCACAGATTTACATGTACTTTCTTTCACCCATAGAAGGTCAAATTTCCCCTCCACGTTGTGTGAGATACTACTTCATTGAGGGCTTTCTTCAGGCACATGGGTGGTTCATTTTGGTTAATGTATCATGTTCCTCCCTCGCTCAAAACACTGGTCAGACATGATGACCTCACAGCCATAATTTCCAATATATATGCAACTAACTGTACTACTTTTTGCTATGTGGGCCATTCACCTTTTCCAAAATCACACTCTCTCCAAATTATATAAGACCCCTTCTTCATTCCTCTACTTGCACGGACACCACACACACATATATATCAAGTTAATAATATATATGTCTGTATAGTGCAGAGTATATATACATATATATATAACTTGATCAACAGTTCAATTTTCTCTTCTTCTTCGTCCAATAAAAATCCAAATCCATGGCTAGTTATATGACTTCTGCGTGTTACATTATTGTTTTGGGAATATCAGTGGTGGGTTTGAAAGGTGCAGAGGCACAACGTGCCTTCTTTGTGTTCGGGGACTCGCTTGTGGATAATGGCAACAACGACTTCTTGGCAACTACAGCTCGAGCAGATGCTCCTCCATATGGCATTGATTACCCAACCAGAACAGCCACTGGCCGTTTCTCTAATGGCTATAACATTCCTGACTTCATCAGTTCCGTTTTCTAACTCTTCTTTTTCTTAATTGTCGCTTAAATTTCTAGTATGTGCTTTTGTCTGTTTGTACTTTGTTACTACCACTTACGTGTGCATGCTTGCTTCTGCCACGTGTGTGTATAAATACATGTATAATGTACCAGTTTCTCAACTCATTGTTCTCATATTTTTTATGCGCTCTTGTGCAGGTCAAGCTATTGGGGCCGCCGAATCCACATTGCCATATTTAGATCCCCAGCTCAACGGGGAAAGATTGCTTGTTGGTGCCAACTTTGCTTCTGCTGGAATTGGAATTCTCAATGACACTGGAATCCAATTTGTAAGAGCCATCAGTAGCGTGTGTGGTGCCTGTTGTGTTGAAAATCCATGTTCAACACTGTCTAATTTTCAAAACATGCATTAATTACATACAGATATTATTCTTTGTTAATGTATAATATAAAATTCGATATGCATATTATTTTTTAATTCGATTATTTATTTATATACTGATATATTTTGTGAAATATTTTAACAAGTTCTTTCAGTAATTAAGATGATAACGATTAGTACTATTATATGGACTACGACTATATTTGTATACTTTACCCTATTCCTTGATCCCACTTCTTTCTTTATGATAATAAGAGACTCAAATTTGAGCTTCCTCATCTTTCTCTTTTAATTAAATGAGTAATAAAGAAAGAAAAAAGGTGAAACAAAAACCAAATCTTTGACTATATAGTAGTCGCGGTGCCGTCATTGGTTGTGCATATATACAATTTTAGATGGATTATTTATGTGGTGTGTAAAATTTTTACATATAGTTGTTGTTTTGCAGGTAAACATAATCAGAATATACAGACAGTTGCAGTACTGGGAAGAATACCAGCAGAGGGTGAGTGCTCTTATAGGACCTGAACAGACCGAACGCTTAATAAATGGAGCATTAGTCCTCATCACTCTTGGAGGCAACGACTTTGTGAATAACTATTACTTGGTGCCTTATTCTGCAAGATCACGCCAATACAATTTACCAAATTACGTCAAGTATATTATCTCTGAGTATAAGAAAATTCTGAGGGTACGTAATTTCATACCATATATATGTAGTATTATATATCTTCCATCAGTTTTCTTAAATAGGTAGCTAGGTCTTTCTAGTTACAATGGTCCATAGCACGTATCAGTACATGTTTGGTTAAAGTTATTGTGAGGTTCATTATGATGAAAAATGGTGGTGGCATGCATGTATGTATGTATGTATGTATGTATGTTTCAGAGGCTATACGAAATTGGAGCACGAAGGGTGTTGGTGACGGGAACAGGTCCACTGGGTTGTGTGCCAGCGGAATTGGCCCAGAGAAGCACAAACGGTGAATGCTCAGCTGAACTGCAGCGTGCGGCGTCCTTGTTCAACCCTCAACTTGTTCAGATAATCAAAGAACTCAATAGCGAAATTGGTTCTGATGTCTTCGTTGGAGTCAACACGCAACAGATGCACATTGACTTCATCAATAACCCTCAACAATATGGTGAATATTTTGAAGTTAATTTCTTTTAAAAATAATATAAGAATGCGAATATAAAAAGTCACGTAACTCACGTACACAACAAGGATATAAAGTTAACAAGGTAGATGACACTTAATAGAGGCATGGCCCATGCATCAATGATATATATAGGGGGAGAATAGTTTCCTTTTCTGTTCTTTATTTGTTTAAATTAGGACCTCTGCTACTTGTTGTTAGAGGGTAATTGCCTAATTAACAGAGGCAGGAAAACTAATATTATAGCCCTTAAAATTATTTTGTTGCATAGCAAAAAGACAGAGTTAAAAAATTATGAGACATTATAGGCTTAAAATTCATATGTAGTTCATATTGAACAGCATCTCTGTCCACACATATATAGTATACATAGAGATATAGAGGTGTGTACATGTGACATTAATTAACTATTTATGCCCTATGTATATATATATATATATCAACCTCGTGGCTGAACATGCAGGATTTATCACATCAAAAGTAGCATGTTGCGGTCAAGGACCCTACAATGGCATTGGACTATGCACAGTGGCATCCAACTTGTGTCCTAACCGTGACGTTTATGCATTTTGGGATGCTTTCCATCCATCAGAAAGGGCTTGTAGTTTGATCGCTCGACAGATATTGTCAGGGACCTCGGAGTACATGTATCCAATGAACCTCAGCACCATTTTGGCTTTGGATTCCAAGAAGAACTAGATCATCCACATCAAGGAAGGGAACTATCGTTTTAGTACCAATTGTGCCTCTTCTATGGCCTGCAAAAAGTTTTTACCTCTTATTAGTTTGTGATATATGTGCTGAAATTTGGTGTTATAGTAATTAATCTCCAATTAAGTTTTAGAGTGTCAGTGAATAGTTTGGATGATATATTGTGGTGGATATGGATGATGGTAATTGGTTCTCCTTCTCTTGGGCAGTACAAAAGAAAAATATACTGCATAATAATTGAGTGAATTTTAATCTTCAATCATTTCTTTTTTTCTTCTTTCTCTTTCGTTTCCCCGATCATCTTAACATCTTGGGTGATAGTTCTACTCCATGTGCTTGAGTTATTAAAAGCCTGCGACGTGCCTTAGAAAATGGTCATTGTTAATAGTCAGAAATTTTATAGAATTAATGCGTGTGGTGTAAACTGAAATAGAACCAATTAACCAAACAGATTCATAATCTAGCACATCAAGAATGTATAAATAAGTGCATTATATTTGTTTTTTGGGAAGCAAAATAGAAATCATATGTTGGAAATATTTTAACCTTTCCACAAGGAAAATGTAAAGTGGCATCTAAGCTTCGAAGAAATATCAAAGTTTTATTTTGAGTGATGATTTTGATAATCTAAGTAAAAACAATTTGTTAAGTAGAAAGTTATTATTATATTATTACAGTTAAATTATCAAATAACTATTTTTAAAATTTGGTTCGTGAAAGCGACGTGTATCAACAGTATCCTCGTCCACCTGCAAATAGCACCTAACTGAGGGCAAAAATGGCAGATCAAATTAAGCCATTCTTGGGTTGAATTTTATATTTTAATCTGAATTGCTTGGCCCAGAACGTGTAAATTTGTTTTCTTAATAATTCTTCACCATAATTTAGTTAAATATAAACGGACCCGTTTGTTTAAGTTTATATGTTAAAAAGTATATTTTTAAAGTTTTAAGTTCACTTATGAAATTTATTAATGCTGTGAATAATAATAATAATTTCAAATAAAGTACGGATATTATGAGATTTTTGTATGTAATATTTTTTAACTTAGACTATTCATTGATTAAGATAGTGATTTAAGTTAGTTTAATATCCATAAAATAATAATAAATCCATATAAATATTTTTAATATATTATTTATATTAAGTTTAATTTAATTAAAAGATAACGAATTCCCATTATTAACAACAACAAGTTACATTTAAAATAAAAATATAATAATAAATTAATATAAAATATAATTATAATAAACCAAGATATAGAAAATGTAAATGTATATAAATAATTAAATTATACGCTCCATAAGAAAATAATAAATAATATATTTATTATAAAATTTATATTTATTTATAAACATGATTTAATATGTGATTTTATTCATCTTAAAATATTTTATTAAAATAAAAAAAATAAAAAAACGGTGATTCAACTAGATGTTTTTACTTATTTTACATTGATTTGGTTTATTCTCACATAATCCGTTTTTTAGTTAATATAAGTGAAAGGGTTAATAAAAGGCGTTAAATATAAATAAAATAAGTCATCTTTATAAGTTTAAATATAAAATTTATTTAAATTTAGTGTTTTTATTTTAAAAAACTTTATTTTTAAATTTAAAAATATATTTATATTTTAAAATATTTTGAATTAATTTGGAAATAGTTAATTTTGCTTAAGTTTAAATATGGAGGTATATTTAGGGCTTCTACGTGCACATGGGTGTTTGATTTTGGTTACTGTACCGTGTCCCTCTCTCACTTCAAAAGCACTGGTCAGATTAACTCATCACAATGCAGCTACCTGTACTAGCTTTTGCAACGTGGGCCATTCACCTTGTCAAAAATCACGCTCTTTGCATATATTACATAAGATCCCTCCCTCGTTTCTCTACTTGCACCAACACAAACACACATATTATATATCAAGTTAATATATATGTCTGCGTAGTTCAGAGTATAACCTGTTCAGCAGTTCAGTTTTTTCTTCTCTTTGGTCCAATAAAAATCCAAAGCCATGGCCAGTTCTATGGCTGTTGCCTGTTACATTATTGTTTTGGGAATATCAGTGGTGGGTTTGAAAGGTGCAGAGGCACAACGTGCCTTCTTTGTGTTCGGGGACTCGATTGTGGATAATGGCAACAACAACTTTTTGGCAACTGAAGCACGAGCAGATTCTCCTCCTTATGGCATTGATTATCCAACCAGAAAACCCACTGGCCGTTTCTCTAATGGCTATCACATTCCTGACTTCATCAGTATGTGTGCTTTTGTGTGTTTGTACTTTTGTTTCTACCACTTACGCGTGCATGCTTCCTTTTCAACACGTGTGTCATTCTCATGTTTATTATATATGTGCTCTTGTGTAGGTCAAGCTCTTGGGGCCGAATCCACGTTGCCATATTTAGATCCCGAGCTCAAGGGGGAAAAATTGCTTGTTGGTGCCAACTTTGCTTCTGCTGGAGTAGGAATTCTCAATGACAGTGGAATTGAATTTGTAAGTGACATTAGTTGCTTGCATGCTTCCTGTCGTCTTCAAAATCCATGTTCACTCTAATGTTTTTACATGACATCGGCTGTCATCTATAAGTTGATGAGTTAAGTGTGAATTGAGGTTAAAAATGATAGAGTTCATTATAAAGACATGTAATTTAAGGTGATCTTTTGTTAAAGTTAGTATCATGTTCTGGTTGGGTTGACTTGTATGTCATTCATAAATAAGAATCTTCTTATTATTAATCCTTCTAAATATACACAAGAAATAGGTCCCAATGATTTATATATATATATATATATATATATATATATATATATATATATATATATATATATATATTCAGTTACTAAAAAAAGAATGTAGTTAATCCATTAGTGCCTATAAATTTATCTCCTGCCCGTTAAAAGAAAGTTGATAATGTTCTAATTTAAAGTCTAAAGATAATTTTAAGTTTTCTTTTAGGAATATTTTTAAAATTTTTTTATTCTAATACATATTTTTTTAATTAAATTACTTATCCTAATTGAAAATTTTCTACGCATGTATTATCTCCTCAATTAACATGAAACCGATATGAAAAGTTATTTTTGTGATATTTGAACACATTATATGGTGATTATATAAGTAGAAATGTAGTGCAATAGTTACAGGAAAATGGTATCGTGACAATCCATTACTTAGACAACCTTTAAGCAACACTCTCACAACCTATAAATATTTCTTGAACAATTCTTAAACGAGGGGAGTAAGAAAGAAAAAGAGAAGTATAAATATAGATACTAAAAAAATATATTTTGACAATTGAAAAATTATATTATATAAAATAATGTTATAATTATTATTATATAATAAAATGAGTTGTCGGTGATATACTAACTACTCGTTATTACCATCTCACTATTGCGTTTATTTATTTATTATTATTAGTAAAGATTTGATATATGTACAATCATTTTAAAAGATAACTTGAAAAACAACTCAGTTTATTGTTAAAAGTAGTTGTAAATTAGATGTTTACAAAAGATAGTTGTTAAAATAATTTATTATTATTATTATTATTATTATTATTATTATTATTATTATTATTATTATTATTATTATTATTATTATTATTATACTGATAGAAGAGATTATGGGTAATTATTTTTTTACTTTTTTTGTTTTATATATAAATACTCATACATGTTTGTTGGTTCTTATAAAAATTATGTAAAATGTAGTTTGGAATGAAAAAATAGAATTTTTTTATGATGGATAAAAATGAACTTATTACAGTTAAACTGTTCCAGTCGGATCTATGTAAGTTGATCTAAGCCTTTTTATTTTATTTTAATCTATAATTATCACTGAGCTCATGAAAAAAAAATATTCTAATATATCAACCCATTTAATTCACATTTTTTCTTATAAAACTAGAGAATAGACACTTAAACTAGCTAATCTAACCTATACTAAGTCATAGTTGTGAGTCAGGTTGAGTTAATATTTTTTTAGTTTAATCTTCATAGTCAACAACTTGAAGAGTCGATTTTAAATTACCTTGATATACCATACTCTTAAATTACTCTGCAAAAAAATTCATCAATATAATACCTAAATATTTTGGGTCTGTGGTTAGTAAATATCTCCACGACGTTTTTCCTGAAAAATACCTAATAATTAATCCAATATATGTTTACTGCTTTCACTGCGTTTGTTGGGCACAATGCCCCTCTAAAACCCAGATATACGGAACGAAAGTGTTAGGTGGTCCTCCCTCCGTTGTAGGTGAAGAGGAGGGGCCGATAGGGTGGGGTGAGTTTGATTGGTTGCTGATTGCTGCTTTCGGTTTTCTGAAAGGAATCATACTATATATCGCTCTTAAAAAGGGCTTAATATATGCACATATATGTTGTTGCTTTGTAGGTAAACATAATCAGAACATACAAACAGTTGCAGTACTGGGAAGAATACCAGCAGAGAGTGAATGCTCTTATAGGACCTGAACAGACCAAGACCTTGATAAATGAAGCATTAGTTCTCATCAATCTAGGAAGCAACGACTTTGTGAATAACTATTACTTAGTACCTCACTCTCCAAGATCACGCCAATACAATTTACCAGACTTTGTCAAGTTTATTATCTCTGAGTATAAGAAGGTTCTGAGGGTACGTAATTCCATATCATGCATTATCTTGCATAGCTCTTTCTACTACAATTCTCTCATCCATCACGGGTAATAATAACACGTATTATATACATATAATACATGTTATAGGTTAAATCAATAAAGGTTTAAAATTAAAATTAGTGAAGATGTGAATTAAGATGGTGTTATGCATGAATGTACATATATATATATATATATTTCAGAGACTATACGAACTTGGAGCACGTAGGGTGTTGGTGGCGGGAATTGGTGCATTGGGTTGTGTGCCAGGGGTGTTGATCACGAGAAGCACAAACGGTGAGTGCTCAGCTGAAGTGCAGCGTGTGCCGACCTTGTTCAATCCTCAACTTGTTCAGATAATCAAAGAACTCAATAGCGAGATTGGTTCCCATGTTTTCATTGCAGTCGAAACGCAACAGATGCAAATGGACTTCATCATTAACCCTCAACGCTATGGTAAATATACTACTTCAAATTTTAATACAGTCAACTCATCTTCTCAATGAAATCAGTTTTTTTTTTTTTTAAATAAGAATCTCATCATTTGCTTGGAGTCTCGTAGTTCATATTGAACTGCATGCGTCTCTGTCCTTATATATATATATATATATATATATATATATATATATATATATATATATATATATATATATATATATATATATATATATATAGATATAGATAGAGGTAAGGTGAGGTAGATACAAATTCATTAAAGCTGATTGAGTCAACATGTGCCATTAACTATATATACAGTAACCCTAGTGAGTGAATGTACACGCAGGATTTATTACATCAAAAACAGCATGCTGCGGTGAAGGACGCTTCAATGGCATTCAACTATGCACTGTGACATCCAACTTGTGTCCTAACCGTGACCTTTATGCGTTTTGGGATGCTTTCCATCCATCAGAAAGGGCTTGTAGGTTGATCGTTCAACAGATGACGTCAGGCACCCAAGAGTATATGTATCCGATGAATCTCAGCACCATTTTGGCTTTGGATTCCAAGAAGAACTAGTTCATCCATGATGAAGGAATGGAGTAAGTACCGATTGAGCCTCTAAATATATGTGTTGAAAATTGGTGTTTTATGCCAGTTGAAAACAATAATATAACCTATATCAATTGCAGCATTGTATTTTCATCTTAGTCGTTAAGATTTTCTTTCCTTAATAATGAAGCTTTGTATTATTATTGTATTATATATGAATAAAATGCCTATAAAAGGCAATCGCTGTAGTACCATTCCTCTAAGAATGTATTTTCATCTCTTGTTGCTTCTGCTATGCGTGTGTGAAGGAATTTTAATTCCATTCCATGTGTTCAGAATTAAAAGACGTGCCTCAGAAAAATTGACCAAATAAATTCATAATCTAACACATTTTATAAACTCTAAAAAAAAATTGTTCATTTAGAAACGATAATTTCTATCGCAAAATTAAAATGTCACTGTTCACTAGCCACTGAAATCAGTTTTTTTTTGGCTAATTAGTCATATCCAGTCACTAATTTTTGGTCACTTTAAAATTATTGGAAACAAGTGAGGAAATTATTTTATTATTCGTTGTTAATTCTGTCACATAGCGACCAACTAATTCACGCTCAAAGAGTTATTTTAGAAAAATAATTTTAATTTCGGCCCCTAAAGTATAATAATCTACTTGAAATTAAATATAAATATAAAATATAAAGTTATTTTTTATAAATTTTATTTTGATTTATTAATATTTAAGAGCTACCTTAAAACATTTACATCATTCAAAATTAAATATATCATTTTGTATTTTTTTTTAACAAAACAAACTTATTTATTTGAGCACCAAAATTTTTGAGTCTGTGCATAGATAATTGAGCCTAAACATGAATGTTTAGATATATTTTTTTATGCACTACCATATATATATATATATATATATATATATATATATATATATATATATATATATATATTAACCCTCATTACGTACATAAAATGATAAAAATGTCTTTCTTTATTTTTTAACCTTACATTGAATTCACTTTTTTCCACCGTCTTTGCAACTTCATATTCTTCCCGTCCAAATTTGTTTCACGAACATTCGTTTTCATTTTTTCATTCTTTTATTACTTATAATGTCTGTTCTGAATCATATACGTTATGTAGTTTAGATTATCTTTTCGATAACATTTTAACCCACCTTGTACAAATAAATAAATAAATAAAATTTGTTTTTTTATCCTGAGAATCAAGATAAAAATTAGGAGGATTCCAGAGGTGTTTAAAGGATTGTTTTGAAAATCAGAAGATACCAATTCAATTAGTATAAGGATCGGACCGTTATTTTTGGGTAACTAAATTTTAATTAAATCATTATAAAATTAGAAAAATCAATAAAAAAAACAATAAAATTGAACAAACCGACCATAATTTTTAAACCAGATTAAATTTTTGTAGTATAATTATTTTTATAAAAAATAATATATATATATATATATATATATATATATTAGTAAATAAAAGTTATTTCATTATATATTTTTATTTTATTTTAATTATTATTTATCTTATATTTTTTAATATATTTAATATTTATAATTTATATCATAATTTATAATAAATATAATAATAATTTTTATTATTATTTAAAAAAAATGTTTTTTTATAATTATTTATTATATTATAAAAATATTATTTTATTAAATCATCTAATTAAATATTATATCTTCATTAACCGATTCAATTTTAAAAATATTGAGTCAAAAGCTTTTCAAGATGAAAGACATCCACCGACGCTGCTATTTGACACCCCTCATGTTAGTTACTACCTACCTCCAACAAAAGTGAACACAAAATTATGATGTTGTCATTTACTTGGAACAAAAACATGTTTCCATTGGTCCATGTTAACGCAAAGGAAATCTTTTTTTTTTCTTTAAATAATTATAGCACAAACAACTTTTTCGAATGTATAAAATATATAATTGGAGACAATTTTTACAACGTGTCACCTTCATAAAATTATAAAAAATAAAATAAAATCATATTTTTTTTACCACTTACAGAAAATTGGACAAGAGTGAACAAAAAAAAACATCCTTTGGCTTCCATGTTACTCAATCTACTATCATTCTTCTTCTCTCAAGTTTTCTCTTTCTCCTCACGCTCTTATCTCATGCATCCATCTTCTTCTTCTCTCTTGCTTCCTCTTTTACTCCACGCTCTCATCCCACGCTCTTTCCTTTTGTTTTTGAATCACACTTCATCCATAGAGGGCTTTTATTGTAGTTTCTTCTTTTGTGTTACCATCTGGAATTGCAACATCTGACACCAATTTGAATACTTGTATTATTCCAAAAGCATATTCGAAGTTTTGGTAATACCAAAAACACATTCAGAGTCTTGTTAATAATTGTTTAGGGTTTACAATTTTGGTAGAATTTGCATATCCATTTTATTGAAATTGTGAAAAGGGTACGTGTATGCATGTGAGTTGTTTTATATTTCCTTAAACAAAAATTGTTATTTTTGATAGAATTTGTTATTCAAGATATGAAGGTCCGTTTAACTATTTTAATTGTGCATGATCATTAGATTGTATATTCATATATTGATGCTTTGATTATGTTAACGCAGGGTGTTAGAATTCAAACATCGATTAGGAGATTTTTGATTTATAAATTTCAAAATGAAATTCATGAGGGTAGTGTTTCCTTAATTCAAAATTTTTGGGTTGAATCAAATGGTGGTTCTTATAGAACCATCCACCATCCATATAAAATTAACTTTTGATTTGTAACCAAAGTAGTCTTACTTGACTCTAATCTTACACCTGAAAATATTTATGGATATATAACTCTTTTGGTTATTGTTGCACCTGAATTTTATACAGATTACTTAGTTAATAAGTGCATATATAACTTTGTCTTATTATTATTTATTATTTAGTTTAATGTTATTAATGTTAACTAATCACAATACTAAGAATGTTATATTTCACTCACATATATAATGGGAATACTAACAAGTGTTAGTATTGAAAGAAAATTGTAGAAGAAAGGAAAACAAACAAAGTTTAATATCATAAGTTTAGAGTTGATGAGTATATTATTTTCACCTTAACTATCCATATTTTAAAGTATTTACACTTTTGTATATGAATAACTTTTTATTTTTACCACCTTTTTTTTATATCAGTTTTAGAATATAGTGTAGATTGTTTGACCAATATGTTGATGAATCAAATGCTTTCCTTGTTTTTGGAAATGTTCAAAATGCTATCATAATTATACAATTTGGCAAAGTGAAAAATTTTCAAGCTAACTAATTTATATGTTTATTAGGAGTCATATCAGTTTTATTAAGTGTTACAATTATTGATATTATATTATTATTGATATAATGTGATTTATAGAGAAAATGTATGTTTAAATTGTATGGATTGTAAAATGATGATTTTCAATGTTCAATGTGAAGAAGCTATACTACTTAAAAAAATGTCTAATTTTATTTTGAACTTATACATTATGATGTATATTTAGTTTGGTGTTCCTAGAAATACAATAGAAGGATTAAAAGATTGTAAAGAGGTATAATAATCACATTGTATAAAATATATTTCAATTATTATTTAATGTATTAGTGTACAATCTATCACTAGTCTATTAATATTAATTAATATTGTTCATATTGGTTGTTACAAGAAACATGTTTTATAGTTTTGGGAACTATAAAACATATTCTTGATGATGATGATGGGTGGTGTACAGTTTGCGTTTGCAACAAAGTAGTATACCCAGATTTAAAAATGTTTTCTGTGAAAATGTAATATACATGTTATCAAAGTTATGCTTAGGTACTCTGCAATGCTAATCTTTCACTAACATATTTCACTTTTTTATGAAGTTGTTTCATGTAACATGTTATGTCATTTGATGTGAATTTTAGGTACAAGATTAAAAGTCAGGGTGTTTGATGAAATAAATTCAGCAACTTTTGCGATTTTGATAGGGATGCTATTGCATTACTAAATAAAGCATGCATAAAGATGTTTAATTCGCATGATAAGGTTTGAGTTTATACACATAAATATAACTGAATACTCAATATTGGTATATATAACTAAATTTTCAATACCATTTTATAGATTATTGTTAACGAATATTTACCTGAGGAGAATGCATAATTGGTGAACAAACCCCCAAAACTTTGTGAACAATGCGGAGTAAAATTTATTGATTCTCGAATACGAAGATATCTAATGAGCTATATAAAATTGGCATGTCTAGTAATTCATGTGTGGTATTTGAAACGTTTTCCTAGTTATATCACAAATCTTTTAGATGAACCTCTAAAATAATTAGAAAATCTAATATACTGCGACGTGTGATTTGATAAAAAAATTTATTGTACAAATTCTGAATGAACTGTCATTTTTGTTTAAAGTGAAGTCTTCATACCGTTAAAGTTTTAAGTTTGAACAAACTTTTAAGGTGAAAAAAATTTGTTGTGATGATTTTATTATCAAAAACTTCAATACTGGTTGGATGAAATCATTAGCAAGTAGGTATTATCTATAAAATATATAAGTCATGATATTTAAATGTTGTATTGACCATGTCATTTTCCTTAGATGTTAATTTAGAAAATGTGATATTCAACATTAAACAATCAAAGTTTACAATTCTTCTACTGTTATTGCCTAGGTATTTTATGTCTTTATGTTAATTATTAGTAATTGATCATTCATCATTAAAGAAAATTGGTACAAAGTATTTTAATTTTTTTTTAGAATTTGTTCACAAAGTTCCCTAATGCACCAAATGATATGATATTGGTTCTAAAATAGCTGATTTAGAAATTGATAATGATTTACTCATAATACTTTTGAGCGAGGCAACATTTTAAATTTGGAAATTTGGAGACAGGAGATGAAGATATTATTCCTTTAAAAACGTTGAGAAAAAAATATAAAGATTGAGAAAATTTTAAAAAAACTTAGCATATTTCTTTTATTAGGCTTATTTCAGTTTTATTAATATTCTGATTTCAATTATGTACTTCAGTTACTCTTTGGATTATTATATGTATGGTTTGATTTGATAATTTTTGTTATTTGTATATGCATTTGATATTAATGTTTGAACTATTTCATTCACATTTTTTAAATGTTTATAACAGTGTTAAGATTATGTTATTATCAAAAAGTTTAATGATGGTTCCATAAAATAATTACTCAAAGCATCATATGTACTATCCAACTATTATACTGACCAAATATTTTTTTTAGGTTCTTAATTTAGAAAATGTTATGTTCAACTGTAAACATCAAAGTTTGCAATTCTTCTATTGTAATTATTCAAGTATTTATACCTTTTTCCTAATTATTATTAATTCATCATTAAACAAAATTCTATAATGTATCTCTACTTTTTTTCCTGAATTTATTAACAAAGCTCTTTAATCACTACAAGAAAATCGCAGTATTACGACGGATATTTACCGATCGGATTTGTAGCCGTCGGAAAATAATCATTACCGACTGAAATTACAGACGGATATAGAATATTTGTGAAATTTGATGTTACCGACGGATATATCCGTCGGTAAAATAATAATTAGTTACCGACGGATATATCCGCTCGATAAATCCGTCGGTAATTTATTGATGAATTTACCGACGGATATATCCGTTCAGTAAATCGCCGATAATTTAACAATTAATTACCGACTGATATATCCGTCTATAAATTCATATGTAAATTAAAAATTATTTACCGACGGATATATCCGCTGGTAAAATTATATAATATAATTTAATTATTCACTAATTAAAAAATAAATATTTTTTATTTAATAATTTAATTTAATCATAATTAGATTAATTTATAATCATTTATTAAATTAAGTAATTTTAAAAATAAATATTTAATTATATATAAATATATGAAAATATATAAATATATAAAAATATATAAATATATAAATATATGAAAATATAAAAATATATAAATATAAAATATATAAATATATAAATATATAAATATAAAATATAAAAATATAAAAATATATAAAAATATATAAATATAAAATATATAAATATATAAATATATAAATATATAAATATATAAAATATAAAAATATATAAATATAAAATATAAAAATATATAAAAATATATAAATATAAAATATATAAATATATAGATATATAAATATATAAAAATATATAAAAATATATAAAAATATATATAAATATATATAAATATATATAAATATATAAAAATATATATAAATATATATAAATATATATAAATATATATAAATATATAAAAATATGTATAAATATATATAAATATATAAAAATATATATAAATATATAAATATATATATAAATATATATTAATATATATAAATATATATAAATATATATAAATGTATTTGTATATTTGTATATAAATATAATTTATTTGTAAATTGTTATCAAGAAATTCTAGTAGCTTAGTGGTTGGAGTATCGTCTCGACTCTAAGTACTGGGTTCGAATCCTGCCAATGACATTTCTCTTAATCTGACAATAATTCAAAGCTATAAAAATATAATATGGAGAAATAATTAGTAATAAATAATAAGAATATAAGAGGGAGGAATAATTAGTGATAAATAAAAGAGGGAGGAGTTCTATAAAAAAAAATATGTTATAAATAAGTCAAATATTTAATAATTAATAAAATTATTACCGACGGATAAATCCGTTCGTAATTTCAGTAACACATTTACCGACGGATAAATCCGTCTGTAATATTTACCGACAATCGAATTTCCGACGGATTTTTGGTCGTCGAATTCCGTCGGTAATATTCATTTACCGACGGATTTTTGTTATTACCGACGGATTTTGACCGTCGGTAATTTTAATATTTCTTGTAGTGAATGTATCAATTGGTACTGATATAATCATGACAAGAACATAGCAAATTTGGAGCCATGAAGAAGATATTTCTTTAAAAATTTTGAATATGATTTTAATAAAAGGGTGTTAAGATTTTTAGATTTTCAATATTTGTTTCATCTATTTTTATTCTGTGCCGCTTGTGCTCTAACACTACAGGACCAAGAAAAATAAAATCTACCTTTTATTAAACATTCTTAAAAAAATTATGTAATTTGCATTCTTTTGTTTTTATTTCGTAATGTTTATTTCTTTTTATTAGGATGCAATTAAAGATAATGATTTATACCATTTGAAACTTATAACATATATAAATAATGTTTTACATTCTGACCCATTTTGGTATCTTGGATCAGTTAACTGAAAATGTCATGTTTATTCTAAAATTACCGCTCAACTTAATGATGGATTTGGGCTAGCCAATTATGTTACTTGTTGTAGTAATCTTCAACTAACAATTGATATGTTGTTAAATAAACAAACTATGACAACAACTTTTTTCTTTATTATTTTAATATTTAACTGTTGAACAATTTATTTTTCATATTCCAGTAAAAGTAGCAAACCATAACTTACTTCAGTCACATGTCACATGCTTATCAAAAAGTTCTTCAGAGTCAACCAGAAATCCATTTTGAGGAACACAGTTAGGTCTTGAAGCTAATTTGCTTCATTGATTATTAAACATTTCAAACGATTGATACCATTGCAAGCTGGCAAAAGGTCTAAGGCGTTTTGAAAACAAGACTTAGAAACACTCGAGTTCAACTCGTGACTAGCCACAATAATTCATCACCTATGTGACAACAATTATATTGGTTGTATATTAAAAGCATGCATCAACAGAAGGAAACATACCCGTTTTTACTTTTTACTTTTTTCGTCTCTTTCTAATTCCCCACACAGCCTTGGGCGGCGGAAATAATTTCTGTTTGCATCTCCATTCACATAGCTCCTCTCTTTTGCACTTCTCATCACATGCCTCATGCACCTTTAGAACCACTACAATCATTCAATTATTCAATCTCAATTTAAAGACCACCTAAAAGTTGACGTGCAAAACCCTGCTTAAAATCCTTCTTCTGTGATTCAACTTTTATTCACTTTCTTGTTTGAAAAGTGGCTATAAAAGGCCTGGCTTCAAGTCACACTGCATCAACGTCAACATCGAAAGGTTATTTTCAACCCAATGGCAGTTTCCTCAGGTTTTGTTGCCACCATGGTGATACTTTTTGGTGTGGTTTTGGTACCTGGGGTCATTGTCCCAGCGGTTGAGGCCAAGTCAAGGGCTTTCTTTGTGTTTGGAGATTCACTCGTTGATAGTGGTAACAACAATTACTTGGCCACCACTGCACGAGCTGATTCCCCTCCTTACGGCATTGACTATCCAACTCGTAGACCAACTGGTCGTTTTTCCAATGGCCTCAACATTCCTGATCTTATCAGTTAAGTATCATTTCCAAACTATCCTTTTCTATTTCTTCATCTTTTCTCATCACCACTCCTTTTATTCTTCAGATTAGTCATCATGTTGACAAGGACTAATGTGTGTTTAGAGAAATAATAGTCTGTTTTCCTAAAACATGTGTTAGTATTAATCATGCACTTACGTGGTAATTAATCTAACGTACGAAGACACTTGCAATGATAGTTAACCTGATTTGTTAAATAACAGGTGAAAAAATGGGTGGTGAATCCGTGTTGCCATATTTGAGTCCACAACTAAAAGGTGACAATCTTCTGAATGGAGCCAATTTTGCTTCCGCTGGAATCGGCATTCTTAACGACACTGGAGCTCAGTTTGTAAGTCTGTTGCTACTATTTATTTCTTTTGTTATATATAATATGCAGACATGTTCAAATGTAATCATGGTCGAGTTATGTACTATATATATATTCCTTGGGATTCATTTCCATGCACGAAGTGAGAGCAATAGAATAAAGCGCCTTCAACATATGGGTGTAATTTTTTCTGTATATACTTAATAATCTCCCCAAAATAATTTTGCAGCTGAACATAATCAGAATGTATAGACAGTTGGACTATTTTGAAGAGTACCAGCAACGAGTGTCCATTCTAGTTGGAGTAGCGCGGGCAAAGAAACTTGTGAACCAAGCATTGGTCCTCATCACTGTCGGTGGCAACGATTTCGTAAACAATTACTACTTGGTACCATATTCTGCAAGGTCTCGTGAGTTTTCGCTACAGGATTATGTCAAATATCTCATTGTGGAGTACCGTAAACTCTTGATGGTAATCAAATCGTTCTGAAATATCAATTGACACACACATATTGGCCAAGTAATAATAGCTTAAATTAATTTGCTATAAACTATTGCAGAGACTATATGATCTGGGAGCTCGAAGAGTAATTGTGACAGGAACTGGGCCAATGGGTTGTGTTCCTGCAGAATTGGCCATGCGTGGAACAAATGGAGGATGTTCTGCTGAACTTCAACGAGCAGCATCACTGTACAACCCTCAACTACAACACATGATACAAGGACTCAACAAGAAAATTGGCAAAGACGTTTTTATCGCTGCAAATACAGCACTAATGCACAATGATTTCGTAAACAACCCTGGAGCATATGGTATTGACTACTACCTACAATAACTTCTACATCGTTCTATATTGATTCCAATCATATTATTAAATACAAAATAGTTAACACGTTATAATATATGATGTTGTTGTGCAGGATTTACGACCTCAAGAATTGCTTGCTGTGGGCAAGGACCGTACAACGGAATTGGGTTGTGCACACCACTCTCTAACTTGTGCCCAAACAGAAACTTGCACGCGTTTTGGGATCCATTCCATCCATCCGAAAAGGCTAGCAGACTCATTGTGGAGCAGATTATGTCGGGTTCTAAACGATACATGAAACCAATGAACCTCAGCACCGTCCTAGCATTGGATGCTACAAAATGACAACACTAATTATATGATGTCTTCTTTGTGATTGTTATAAAATTGTATCAACTGTCGGGTGTTTTGTTCTGTGTGTGCGATTGTCATAGTCTTTAGAGTTGTTTTCCACAACAAATTATTCATCAATTAAATAATTTACTCATAATCTTCTGCTTTCCTTCGCCTTTCTCCTTTATAAATTAAACGTCACTCGGCATCTTGCTAATGAACTAAGAGGACATTAACAAGAAAAACAGTAAGATATATTGAGAAATTGTAATTAAGTTATTTGAATTGACAAATCATACTTTTACTACTTTTTTTCCACCATTGGTATATAAAAAATGGACAAATTAAAATAAGAGATATAAAATAGAAGAGAGAGAAAAAAAAAACGAGTTTTATGAGGGAGAAATAAGTAGAAACAATAAATTATAAAATATTTTGAGTTGTAAAACGTGATTTACAACCGTTAATTGGCCTTAACGATGGGATACAAAAATACAAGAAGGCCAAACTATAATTAATAATAATAATTTTCCGTCATTCACGTGGTGAAGGATTTAGACACACTGTTTTGTTTATTTCCAGTATATGGATGAGAGATTAATAGAGGTAAAAGGAGTACAAACGAGAAGTGATAAATTTTTGGAAAATAAAATCAAAATGAAATTTATTGGGAAAGTTACTTGGATTATATTTGATAACTAAAAACAAAAAAGTCATTGTTGGTATGATGAAAGTGGTGATGTTTAGCTACCTTACGTTTTCATGTACAGTCAGAACTTAATTTCTAAAGCAGATGAATTTTGTTTCTTTTTATGAAGTTGAAAAAAATCCAAATATGCTTCTCATTTGCATGGCTCAGCATTCTATACGTTATATAGAAATGGTCGTGCTTCATATATATGTCATGGATTTTGCTTTTCAATCAATTAAATGTAGAACCTGGTCTGAGCAAGATAAGCAAGCAGAAAGGGATCTTGATTCTTTGAGCCCTGGCCCTGCTCCAGATTTACGTTTTTCCGGAAGAAATTTCAATGTTCTGCTCAACATTCTACTCGTTTAGGTAATATTTTGTTCTTTCTGATAATGCTATTGATTTGTTAGCATAATATATATTGTGATCACATAATAATTTCCCTAAAAATATATAAGTTGTTAAGATAAAGTGAAAAAAATATTATGTCATAATGAATGAAAAAAGGTTATCATTCTTAGTTAATGCTGAATGTTTCATATCATATTTTAACATCAAAGTTTATAAAGTGATCTACTTCTATCATAATTAAGTGACTTTCACTTTTATCATGATCAAGGTTTATTAACTTTTTGTCGTATACATCATGTAGCACGGCTACCGAAATGATTTTTTTTTTTTATATTTGAAGCATGTTTATATCTAAAACAAAAAAATATATTTTCTATTTACTTTTATATAAGAAAAAATTAATAGTGTATGATTAGTGTCCTTTCATGCATAGAATATACAATAAAAGAAATATAAGTTAAATTATATTGATTAAATTTTGATCACCATATTTTTTCTATATATTCATTTATTAATGTTATATATATATATATATAGAGAGAGAGAGAGAGAGAAAGAGGAGCCATACTATGCAAAAATATCTTGTCGTTTTAGTTGATTTTTTTTTATAATGTAATACTTGTATATATTTTTAATTTAAACAATGTAAGTCTAATTTAATTTCACAATTTTTTTACTTTGTTTATATTTTTTAATAAAAATATAAACTAGAAAAAAACACTTATGAATTATAGTTATATTAAACTTTAATAATAAAATGTAGTACTTGTATTTTCTTATATATATATATATATATATATAATCAATATCAGTTTAATATTTTAGAATTTTTAAGAATATATAATTAAAAATAATATTTAAAGATGCTATATTGTAATAAATAATCATTTTAAATAATATATAACAAGGTATGCTCCTTAAACATTTATCATATGGATATGTGTACCTTTTTTTATTATTATTTACGTGGTATGTTTTAAAGTATTGTTGAAAAGATTGAAAGAGAACTAATGTGTCTAATTTGTATATTTAATAATAAAAATAAAAATGTTCGATTTTTTAATCTATTTATAATTTAACTTGAGTGTGTTATCAAATTTCATAATTATCTTTAATCATTTAAACATAAAAGTTATTATTGCTATGTAACTTATAAACTTTGTTGAAGTAGAATGTAATTTTAAAAATGATTCTTGACATTTTTTTTAGTGTTTGTGTTTTAAGACAGAAAAATCTATGTTTAAAGATAACAAACGGTAAATATAAATAGGTTTAGGGTTTAGGGAGAGATAAATTTTATAAATTGTTTAAGAAAGAAATAGAAAATAAGTACAGTATATAATGGTATCAAAATAAAGTTTCAATTTATGCCAACTATATTAAATAATTAATTCAAAAAATTTAAATGACGAAATACTATGATATTTTCAACAAAACATTTTTTTATACATTTCACTAACGGAAACAAAAGTGTATATTAAAAAAAATTGAAAAAATATCAATTAAAACAGTAATTTAATAAACAAATAATCATAAAATAAGGGTAAAGTTATATAAAATGTGTATATCAAAGTTTAAAAAATTTATATATTATTTATTTAATAGTAGTGCAAATACAATGCATCTTTATTTTCAATTTATATTATACTATCTTATTTTAATGTGTTTAAATATAATATTCATATTAATGTTATTTTTTTATTTTGAAAATCAAATATACATTATTTAAATAAATATTTAATTAAATGATGTCATATAATATGTTTGATACAAGTTTGACTTTAAAAATGTGTATATTGATTATTTTAAGTGAAGTAAATAATTACTCGAGTGATTATTAATTTATATTTTATTAAATAATTAATTATTTTTATTTCATAAAAGAGATTGAGTGATTATTTAAGTGGAGCAGTTATCTAAATACTAATTTATATTATTATTATTAAATAATTAGTTATTTCTATTCAATAAAGAATATAATAATTTATATATATATATATATATATATATATATATATAATTATCTAATGATATAGATAACAATATTAAAAAAAAAGTGTAAAATATGTTCCTTCTAAGAATACATTTGTTTTTTACCATTAGATTTAGTGTTATACGTAGTTGCAATTCGAAGCCAAGTATAAATTAAAAAATTAAATGTAAATAGTCTCCTGAATATTGAATAGTTTTTATTTTTTATAATATTGTAATTAGTTGGTGTACCGGCTATGATTAGGGAAAAAAATGAAAAGAAAAAGAAGAAGAAGTGAAATTAGAAATAGATTCTCCTAAAACTGGAAAATGGGATATCTGTGAAATCTAATTCGATTTTATTACAAATTAAGTCTATGGTGTTTATCTCAACCTTTCTATACTTGAACTATTTCTTAATGCCAATCCATGTACATATATACATATCCTTTTACCATTTAAATAAAGATTACAGTGGTGGATCATTGATATATCCATTCAATGGATCTGGTTTATTAATAAATGCGTATCTAATTGAGTGAAAGTAATGCGTGATCGTTATAGAACAGGAAAGAAATATTCTCACAAAAATTTCTGTCTGAAATCTTAAAAAGAAGGGAAAAATGAAACTGATCACATCACTTTAATCCCCCAATGAAAAAAAAAAGATGAATATGATGAGTATTTATATGTAGAAGAGGACGTGTATGATGTATCTTTCACCAATTGTATGTAATCCGAAGAACTAAGTTAAAGTGAGCGATTAATTCGAGCATATGTACCATTTTTGTTATTGTTTTTGTAACGTGAATTGATTTGAACTTCAGGGTTAAACTTGGGTTCATGCATGCGTACATGCATGTCATTTTCCTAATTTTTTCTTCATTATTACACTTATTTTTAACCTGATATAGTTACTTGATAAGTTTGTAGTAAATAAGTTGGAGTAAATGGAATCAAAGAAGAGCGAAGGAGAGAGTTCGAGGTCGAGAATTTCAGCACTGGTTGTGGACGACGACGCTATCATTCGGAAAATCCACAAGGCGATGTTGCAGCAGGTATTCAACATGGACGCAAAATCTGTCAAGGATGGAAAGGAAGCAGTGGATCTGCATCGTTGTGGCGCAAATTTTGACATAATTTTCATGGACAAAGAAATGCCAATCATGGATGGTCATGAGGTAGATATTAATAATGCGTAATTAATTTGTGAAGTAGGGTTTTTAATTAATGCTGTTATTAATGGTGATTGATGGATGATGTGTTGAATAGGCCACAAAAGAGCTACGTGGTATGGGTGTGAAGAGCATGATTGTGGGAATCACTACGCGTGCTGATGAGAAAGATAGAGAAGAGTTTCTAGCTGCAGGATCCAACCATTGCTTTGAAAAGCCTCTGAATCGTGCCAAGGTTGAACAAGTCTTGCACGACCATCCAAATTTTCCATTTTGATTCACCTTTTGATGTATAAACCTGTTTAATCATCCTCTGTTTATAGATAAAAAAAAAAAAAGTAATTCTGCTTACTTTGGTTCCAAGCAATCGAGAAGGCATTGGAGTAATTTTTGGTATATTTTAGTCAATGGATTTAATCATTTCATCACAGGGTACATCGTGCCAACATTAATTAAATAATTAGGGTCTCATCTTTTAAAAAATAAAATAAAATCTATTCATAATAAATGCACACACAATTATTACATTAAGAATTAATTACAATTTACATAAATAACTTTTTAATTTAACTATTTTCAATGAAAAATATATGATAAAAAATCACTAAAAATAAAAAAAATTCAAAATATAAAATACTAATAAAATGATAAATATGTGGACGTTAATAAAAGATAATTGAAATTGGAATACTAATGAATAACAAATTACTATAAAACAAGGGATTGAGTGGCAAAAACTTGAAATCGATTTTCAACCGTGACGTATATTATTTTGCACTCCGACAAACTTCCGCCGTAATATTAGTAAAGTGTGACATGGATTATTTTTTACACTTCAAGAAATTTTTCTTAAAAAAAAAGTTAATTTTAGAATGGTAGAAATAAAGGCATTATATAATATCATTTTGATATCATTCACAATTTTAGATATTTTATTCAATTTTTTCTTGTTGGAAAAACAATAATAATAATAATAATAATAATCCTGATTTTGATTCTAACGATCAAACATAAACATAATCCTATACTGATAAACATGTCGTAAACTCGAATGCGAAAGCGTACTCGAATGCGAAAGCGTGCACTGAATTAGCCATAATGATGATGTCTTTGTAGAACACTATATTGATCTTATGGTCTTCCACCTGAAGAAGCACTCGTATTTCCCTCTTGATTTTCTCTCTTGATGGGGATAGAAAGAAAGGAACGGGACTGATTCTCGTGTGTGCTCCCGGAAGGGGACCATGACCCTTTAGATAACCAGAATTAGGTTAATTACTTAAGTTTTAGTATTTCCAATTTGGCCCCTCATCAAATTAGAAATTGCTCTATGGTCTCTACACAATTTTATTTTCATGACATATGCCTTTAGCCAAAACTTTAATTTAGTCAGATCACTTTATTATTTGGCTTAATAAATAATGACCCTAACACATTTAAATATGTATCATATATATACATGACCCAAAATTTGCCAACAATCTCCCACTGGTCACAAATATATATGTCTTTACAACCTTACAAATGTGTTAGACTTTATGAGCTCAAAATTGTCATTATATTCCTTTAGCATATTCCAAAAGTCCTGTCCATTAATCATATCGGGATATAGAACCAAACCAGACTTTTCATTGCATCATCGCAACTAAAACCAACAAGATTACTCATCCCGACATAATCAAATGACATGGATTCATCATGAAATGTGTAGCATGAAAAATTACGTGAAGGTGATCTGTACACGTCTATTTTCAACTGGTCCAAACTTTAACTTATCGAGATCGATACAATAACCTTAATGTACAAAGTGTAATGAATGAACAAGAAAACCGCATATCTATAGATAACCAAATATGTCCAAAAAACAATGTATACATATATAAAATTAAACATAGAATATAAAATATATGAAAATGACTAACTCCCACTAAACCACAAATTCCTCAAACCGTAAAACACCCATGTGAGCAACATGCTCATGAAAGACCTTGGGCTGAAGTCCTTTAGTTAGAGGATATGCTATCATGGAGTTTGTCCTTAAGTGTTCTATGGAAATCTGTCCATTTTGTACTCTTTCCTTAATAATACAGCTGATTTATTGTCACAATATAACTTAAGTGGTCTTTCAATGCCTTTCACAATTTGCAGCCACGTGACAAAATTTCTCGACCATATTCCATGATTTGATGCCTCATAGCATGCTACAAATTCTTGACATCCTGCAAAATATGAGTCAGAAAATCCAGCGATCTCCAACTGGTCTGACCTCCTATATGTGAGCATATAATCTTTTGTTCTCTTTAAATATCTTATGACCCTTTTTGCTGCTTTTCAATGGTCTATTCCTGGATTGTTTAAATATCTGCCTAGAACCCCAACTATATATGCTATGTCTGGACGCGTACATACTTGGGCATACATCAAACTCCCTACAGCTGATGCATAGGGAATCTTTTGCATTTCCTCAATTTCCAAATTTCCCTTTGGGCACTGATTGAGACTAAACTTGTCTCCCTTAGCAACTGGAGTATCCCCGGATTTACATTCATGCATGCCAAACCTTTTAAGAATTTTTTTTTTCGATATAGCTCCTTTGTGATAATCCTAAAATACCCCGACATCGATCTCGGTGTATCTGAATTCCTAATACAAAAGACGCATCACCAAGATCTTTCATTTCGAAATTCTTTGATAAAAATTTCTTGGTTTCGTGCAATATGCCTATATCATTAGTGGCAAGTAGAATGTCATCAACATACAAGATCAGGAAAATATACTTACTCCCCTTAAACTTGTGATATACACAATCATCAACAATATTCATCTCGAAGCCAAATGAGATAATTACTTGATGAAATTTATAGTACTATTGACGAGATGTTTGTTTTAGTCCATAAATGGATTTTGTCAGTTTGCAAACCATACTCTTTGAATCTCTCTGCACAAAATTTTCTGGTTGCACCATATAAATCGTCTCATCAATGTTGCCATTAAGAAACGCCGTCTTGACATCCATTTGATGAAGCTCCAAATCATAATGTGCTACAAGAGCCATGATTGTCCTAAAAGAGTCTTTCGATGAAACTGGAGAGAAAGTCTCTTTAAAATCAATTCCTTCCTTTTGGGTATAGCCCTTAGCTACCAGACGAGCCTTATACCTTTCCACATTACCTTTAGAATCTCGTTTGGTCTTAAATATCCACTTGCAACCAATGGGTCTCATACCTTCTGGTAATGGGACAAGTTCCCAAACCTTGTTGTCTTGCATGGACTTATACTCCTCCTTCATTGCTTCAATCCACTTTTCAGAGTTAGAACCTTGCATGGCTTGACGGAAGTTAACTGGGTCATCTTCCCTCATACCATTGTTTTCCTCATGTTCCTGAAGAAATACCATGTAATCATCCGAAATAGCACTTCTTCTTTCTCTAGTGGATCTTCGCAAAGTTATTGGCTCATGATGCACAGGTTCTTGAGGATCTTGAGTTTGCTCTTCATGAACAACCAAATCATCTTGAGTAAGGGGTTCATTAACAATACCTTGTGGAGGTTCCGAACTTACTTCATCAAAAGTAACTGTTTGAATCGGTTCTGGAATTGTTACCGATTCTTCCTCCAAGACAAAGTTCTTGATTTTATTCTTCCCCCCAAACTCAATATCCTCAAAGAACGTAGTAGTTCCCGTCTCAAAAATTGTCTTTAAGGTGGGATCATAAAATTTATATCCCCTGGATCTTTCAGCATAACCAATAATATAACTACTTACTGTTCGAGAGTCCAATTTCTTTTCATTTGGCTTATAAGACCTTGCCTCAGCTGGACATCCCCATACATGGAAATGCTTCAGACTAGGTTGTCGCCCAGTCCAAAGCTCATAAGGTGTTTTGGTAGCTGCTTTAGTTGATACTCTGTTTAGAATATAAGCTGTCATATTTAGTGTGTAACATACTCTCTACCATATCTTTAAGAGTGTAACATAAGCCCAAACGTTACAATTTGATGTTACCTGATTCTGCATTAAGGGTTTCATTATAGGTGGCCACAATATCAAGTAAATACTGATTATCATAAATTAAAAGTGAACCAGTTCCAACAATATCTGAATTAAAAGACAAACTGAACTTATTGTTTCCAAATGAACACAAATAACCTAATTTGTCCAGATAAGAAACTGAAACCAAATTTCGTCTAAATGACGGCACAACAAAAGTGTCTTTCAAATCCAAATAAAAACCAGTACTCAATAACAATTTAAAATGCCCTATGGCTTCCACCTCTACCGATTTGCCATCTCCAACATATATCCATCTTTCAGAATCAATTGGCTTCCGGTAGCTTAGACAACTCTTTATAGAAACACTGATGTTAGTAGTTGCACCTGAGTCTAACCACCAAGTGTTACTAGGTACTGACGCTAAATTGACTTCAGAACATACCAAAGTAGGAAACATGCATTTGAGGATCAGAACATAATTTAAATTGGCAGATACAGAAGCAATTGTAGCTGGATTAGAACAAGAGAAATAAACTAATTATGCTCACATTATAAAATAAATAATTATAAATAAAATATATATTCAAATAATGGTTTAACCCATCTCAAGATACCCAATGCACCATCAATATCAAGTCTTTGGACAGTAATATTAACTGCTAGAGGTATCTTGTTGTAATAATCAAACATTGACAATAAAGCACGTCCAACAACAAACCAGTCTTTGGATTGATTTATCATCGACAAAACAAATCCTTATAATTATCACATGTTTATCATTACAAGTGTGTATGTAATTCGGCCAAATATTAATCTTCCTTTGGGCCGACTAATACTCGCATGAATATACACAAACACTAACATTCAATATTTTTCATGAACTGCCCAATTCAAGAGAAGTTACTTTGGTGACTTCTTGACTCAATTTGCTCACAAAAATTATTAAACTACCAAAAATTGAATATTTTATTTATATAACAAAACCAAATATTTAATATTTGCAAACTAATTCAAAAGAGAATCATCTCATTAGAATTCTACTAAGGATGAACACCTCCCTAAAATCTCATTAGGGATGAACACCTCATTTGAATAAATCAAAGGATGAAAAAAAAAGGCCTCATCTTCCACCAATACATAAAGGATTAACATCTCCCTAAAATCACACTAGGGATGAAACAGAGATAGTTCTGAGTCTCTTTAGCATACTGCTCTAAACCCTAAAAGGGGATTACATAAAGGATTAACATCTCCCTAAAATCACACTAGGGATGAAACAGAGATAGTTCTGAGTCTCTTTAGCATACTGCTATAAACCCTAAAAGGGGATTAAACAGTAATCACTCAAACCCTAATTTAACATCAAATTTTCTTTAAATTCCTAGGGGATAGAGGCAATAAAATAATAACAGTCACACATGTGAAAACATTCACCAGTTGCCTAAGATTCTTTGTGTTGGGAACTCCACAAACACCACCCCCAATTCCAAACCCATAAAATTAAATAAAAACAAAAAATTCAAAAAAGAACAGAGAACCCAATACAAGAAAAATTGAAATTTGAAATACTGTTTCTTTCTCGATAAAACTTGAAACTTAAACTCGAAACAAAAGGGAAAAACGAAGAAGAAGAAGAATCCATAACTTCCTCCACGGTTCCAATAGCAAGCAGAATCAGATTGCGGATGTTACCCCCAAATTTAAATTTTAGGGTTCATGAAAATTAGAGATTATTCTCCACTTAGGGTTCATAAAATTGGGTAATATGAATTGTTTAAAACAAAATTAATCCTAATTTTCATAATTAGGGTTCTATAAATTAAACAAACATGAATCAAATATGGGCGGCTCTGATACCAATTGTTGGAAAAACAATAATAATAATAATAATAATCCTGATTTTGATTCTAACGATCAAACATAAACATAATCCCATACTGATAAACATGCTGTAAACTGAATGCGAAAGCGTACCTGAATGCGAAAGCGTACCTGAATTAGCCATAACGATGATGTCTTTGTAGAACACTATATTGATCTTATGGTCTTCCACCCGAAGAGCACCTGTATTTCCCTCTTGATTTTCTCTCTTGATGGGGATAGAAAGAAAGGAACGGGATCGATTCTGTGTGTGTGCTCCCGGAAGGGACCATGACCCTTTAGATAACCAGAATTAGGTTAATTACTTAAGTTTTAGTATTTCCAATTTGGCCCCTCATCAAATTAGAAATTGCTCTATGGTCTCTACACAATTTTATTTTCATGACATATGCCTTTAGCCAAAACTTTAATTTAGTCAGATCACTTTATTATTTGGCTTAATAAATAATGACCCTAACACATTTAAATATGTATCATATATATACATGACCCAAAATTTGCCAACATTTCTTTCTTATTTTAATATTAGACTTAGAGTAACATAAGAGTTTCTCACTCAAGTATAAATCCTTGATATATATTTCGAGCTTACTTTTCATATATTATGGTTCATTATAAATCCTTCTGCATTAATATATCTTCCGAGCTTACTTTTCATATATTGTGGTTCATTGTAATAAATCATATATTTTTTATATTATTTAACTTTTTTATTCTTATTTGACCTAAAAAAATTGATGAAAGAGAAATAAATATTGTCCTGGAAATAAAATAGAGATGTCTCTAATTTTTTTCCCTCTCGTCCTTTATATTCAAATTTCCTTTTAGGGTTTTTCTCTTTACGCATATATCGAGCTCAATAATATCTTATTCTCCGTATTATCTACACATTGGGTCCATTAGGTATTAATCAAGTTCATCTTCCCCAAATAGGTTTATCTTGACCTACTTTACTCATGTAGTTGGACCCGAGTCCAACCAGATCCAATCTCTATGCACATACCACAACCCTCAAGTCTTAAATTAACAAAATTTTTTTAATGCAAAGACTAAAAACCGAAATAAACGTCGAATACACTTCATTCTTTAATATTTCATGATATAATTGCAAAGTTCAACCACTTAAAGGGAATAAACAACTCTTAAAAGTCATACTTATAGTGACCGTCGTCTTGATGTAGAGTGTGAAAATTGCTTCCGTGTGTACTTGAATTTAGACAAAAATTAACCTGCTTAGGTTGTATTTCGACTATAGTGCGCATTTTGCACATAACTCGCATTTCGACCATAGTGCGCATTTCGCACATAGATCGCGTTTCAAGTCTAGGTCACATTCTGACCCTAGTACGTATTTTGTACATAGTGCGCATTTCGCACATAGCTCGCGTTTTGAGTCTATGTCACATTCTGACCATAGTACGTATTTCGTACATAGTGCACATCTCGCACATACCTCGTTTCGAGTCTAGTTCACATTCTGACCCTAATACGTATTTCGTACATAGTCGCATTTCGCACATTGCTCGCATTTCAAGTCTAGGTCACATTTTGACCATAATACGTATTTCGTACATAGTGCGCATTCGCACATTGCACGCATTTCGAGTCTAGGTCACATTCTGACCATAGTACGTAATTCGTACATAGTGCCACTTCGCACATTGCTTGTATTTTGAGTCTAGGTCCTATCGGAACAGATAAAAAGAAGAAAAGATATTTTCATTATCAAGCCCCCAAATACATAAATTGAGGAGCCCATTACAGCTACAACATGCCGATTCCTAAGAATCATGGAGACCTATCTGGGACCTGAAGAAATAAAACTAATTTGGTTAGTGTGCAGAGATTAGAAGTTGAGCTTCCGGATTGTTACAATAAAGCCGTCAAGTCTTGATTTTGTTAAAAAGAGGAAGGCAAGATGAAGTCGACAATATTATAAAAATAAGAGTGGAGCCAAATTGTGTAAGTCGAAAATAATTTTCTTATGCACTTGACAAACGTTGTCTGATTCCGTAGAAGTTAGAGAAACTGGTGTTGCGGCTTTTCTCTTTTGGAACTCCATCATTTTCTTTTATGAAGGTAAACCAGTTTGGGTTTTGAATGTTTCGTTGGTATGACGTAATTGTTTTGAACGTGGAATATGAAAAGTTTTACATGTCCCATGGTGTGCGCCAATGTTATGGAAATAAAAGAGAGATGTCTCTAGGTTTTTTCCCTCTACCTTTTATAATCAAATTTCCTTTTATGGTTTTTCTTCTGACATATTTATCGGGTCGAATAATATCTTATTCCTCGTACTATTTACACATTGGACCCATTAGGTATTAATCAAGTCCATCTCCCCAAAATAAGTTTATCTTGACCTACTTTACTCATGCAATTAGACCCAAGCCTAACCAAACTCAATTTCTATGCACATACTAAATATAAAGAGAGAAAAAAATATTATTTAAATCTATATAAACATGAAAGAAAAAGTGGATAATTTTTCTATTCATAAAAATAGATAAATAAATAAAATACATGATTTCAGTATTAATACAGATTTTAATGTAATTTTTTTTACAGTTAAAGTGTTTATTTTCATTTTAGTTTTTATTTAAGAAAAAAAAATAGAAGAAGAAAGTTTATGTAGATAGAGCATAGAAGGAGGGCATTTTAGTCCATACAAAAAGTGATACCTGCTCAGACTTGCTATTGAAGACTTATGTTGATGTACCAACCGAGTACAGAGAGAAAAGAATTGTAGTGGTTAATCTTTCCTCTGTTCTTCTTCTATGCTTCACGCTCTGATTTTCTCTCACTATTGACTCAGCAATTGGTGATGGCTGTACCCGTCGAGGAAGCCATTGCTGCTCTATCTACATTCTCGCTCGAGGTACTTTCTTCACCTACAGCTCTCGTACCTCAATTTCTTTCTCTATTTCAATCCAATTTCCGCCACATTTTTCTCACTTCTTTTGTTACCAACATTGAAATGCACTTATCGATCCTTTTTCTCTTTTGTGCTTTTGCTAGTGTTTCTCTTATTCACTCCATCACTCGCATAATTATTTGTTGCTAATTCTAATTAAAGAAACTTCCATTTTGGATTTGAAGTTTGTTGAGTTTGTTATCGACTGAGTATCGCTTTTTAATTTTCTCTATCCGAAATGTTTATTAAGCAGATAGTAACTGAGACAAACTTCTGATCTGTGAATGCTAGATTTACATGGCATGTAGTTTGATGTTGAGGTCCCAAATTAACACATTGCTGGAACTTGAGATGTCCTTATGCGAGTTATTTTTCATGTTTTCCCTGTTTTTTTGTTTGAATTATGTAGGATGAGCAACCAGAGGTGCAGGGACCTGGAGTGTGGGTATCTACTGAGAGAGGTGCAACAGAAAGTCCAATAGGTACTTCTGTTTTTTCTTCTATTTTTTTTTTCTTTGGATATGTCATGCATTTATGCTGTGATGATTGTATATAAAAGCTTTAAAGATGCATAGTGTTATTATTAATCACCGTTTACCACCGTCTTCTTTCGTAGAGTACAGCGATGTTTCTGCTTACCGACTATCTCTATCGGAGGACACAAAAGCTCTCAATCAGCTGGTATGCAGCCCTTGAGCTATTACTGTTATTTAATCTACCCTTTACCTTTAGTTTATTTTTTTCCCGATTATAAACTTCAACTGCTTTTGCTAATACAAAATGCAGAATGCCCTTAGCCAAGAGGGAAAGGAGATGGCATCAGTGCTTTATACTTATCGCAGTTGTGTCAAAGCACTTCCTCAGGTAAAATTTCTCCAAAGCCACAGGTAGTTGAGGAGTCCATCAATGAATATAAAATACATTGTCTTTTAGATGCATAAAGAAAATCTGTCAGAACAAAAAGAGTTAATCTTTGGATCTGACGTACATTAAGTTTAGAGTTTACTGGCACTAATCCAAACTTGCTCTATATGTTGTTTTTGCAAAACCTAGTTTTTTGGTGGTATAGAATGAATTCAAGTAGACGAGGCTTTGTGTAACTGATAGTTTTGTCTAATGCAGCATGATATCTTATATGCTGCCATTTTCTTTTGCTTTGTTGATAATTAGCAATATTAAATTGACCATACTGGAGATCCATTTTAATGTTTCCATATGCCTATATTGTTTTATGTAATTTATGCATTTTCCCGAAATGGGGCAGCTACCTGATTCTATGAAGCAAAGTCAAGCTGACTTATATTTGGAGACATATCAAGTTCTGGATTTGGAAATGAGTCGTCTGCGTGAAATTCAGCGATGGCAAGCATCAGCTTCCTCAAAAGTAAGGGATGCTCTTAATATATTATTAGACACTTTGTTATTTTGTCAGAAGCTTAGCTAGATCCAGACTTAGCACATTAAGTGAATCTGTACATGTCATTTTTATGCAGTTGGCTGCAGACATGCAACGTTTTTCTAGGCCTGAAAGACGCATTAATGGCCCTACAATATCTCATTTGTGGTGTGTTATAATGATTATTTTTTTGTTATTGATTTTTGTTTTAGTTTTTTTTTTTTTTGGTATTTTTTAATAGCTTTGTTCTTGACTTCAGGTCTATGTTGAAGTTGCTTGATGTTTTAGTGCAACTTGATCATCTTAAAAATGCTAAGGCAAGCATACCTAATGACTTTTCATGGTATAAAAGGTATGTATTTTATTTATGCCTACCTCACTTTGTGTTCTGGTTGAGGGTCTTCAACTTTTCTTTCGGGTTCAGTGCTTCAATTTATTCTGTTGAGCATTTCTTCTTGGAACTCTTTTTTATGCATGGTGCTTTAGCAGTGTGTCAATTGTATGTATAGTAATGAGCAGAAATTTTATCTGTTTATCAATATTATTGGGTTTCCAAAAATCTTCAATATAACGTATGCAGAGTTGATTTGTTAGAAATAGTTCTCTTTGTACTTTTCTATTAGTCATTCTGTAATATTTTCTTTTTCTGTTAGTAGTACTGTTACGGCTATGTGCTTTCTGTTATAATGATGTAGTTTGGTTAGTTCTAATAAATGCTGCTCAAGATCTATTCTCTAATCTTATATATAGGGCTTGTGTAACAGAGAATTGTTAGGTTTTCAGTTCATGTATTCATTTCCTTTACAATCAATGAATGATTTCTTTCTACTCTAATATGATCTAATGGTTAACCTTCTTAGAATTTGAGTTTGGGTCTAACCCAACCCCAAAAGCTAGCTCGTAGGGGTGGGGTTGCCTCCCTCACTTATATACATTATCTTTGCACTATCTATAGTCAATGTGGAAGCTAGGTTTAGGGAAGTATCCCTGACATATGTACAAGAATATTGGATTTCTTTATTCTGGGGCATTCAAATGGATTTACAAAAATAGCTCAGAAATTTATTTTTGTCCAGTTGTATTTATTTTTCTCTAATAAAATTTCTTTTCCTTTAAATTTAATCAGAAAATTTCAGATATGTGATGTTAAATCATTTAGCTTTAGGGTGCTGATATGGTCATTTAGGTGATAGTATGAATATAATTTATGTTTCTTTGTTTGGATTATGATTGAAATAGAGAGGAAAGAAATAGTAAGGATAAAAATAAAAGAGGAATAAAATTCAAAAGATATATGGTTTGGAAGTATATAAATGAGAAGGAAAGAAGGGAAGAAAATTCTCTCCACTTGATAGGATAAATAGAAGAAAGTGAAAATAATTAAATAAATTATATAAAAATTATTTTTAATCCACTCTTATTCTTAATATAATTTTATTTATTACTTATAACTTATAAATAATTTTTTAAGAAATTAAAACGAAAATAATTTAATACAAGATGCAGGAGATAATTCTTCAAGGAAAGAATTTCTTACCTAAATTGGGAGGAGTTTATTTTTATGTGAGTCCCACAAAAAAATCACATTTCCCCTTCATTTCATTCATAAACAAATAAGGAAAGTTAATAACTTTGCTCTTATTTCCATCTTGCCTACAAGCTGTTAATCCATCTAAACAAACTGTAATGTAAGAATGTTGAAAATATGATTTTCATTATGCCTATTTTAAGAAACATAAGTTTATCCATAACTTGTAGTTGGGAAAACTATAAAAGTGGCTTAGAATGTTGCCAAACTTCAGATTAGAAAAGTGTCAAACTTTCCAAGGTCCATGCTATTCCTGATAATCTTTAGGAATATTATTATGCAATCACCTTCTCACCTGATTTAGGTTTTCCGTATTTGAAAAGTTACTTAATAAAGTTTTAATCATTCACATTGTTTTTTTCTTCCTCTCAATTTGTCAGGACTTTTACACAAGTCAGTGGTCAGTGGCAAGACACTGATTCAATGAGGGAGGAATTAGATGATTTGCAGGTGCATAATTGATGAAATTTCTAAGTTTGTGACATATAGAGAACTGTAAATTTGTTATGTATTGATTAATTATGAAAAAGAGTCTTTTTGTAACTTCTCCATGTTGGAATTGTACTTTGGAAATTGCCAAACCAAAGATGGATGGTGAGTGATCTTTTTTTTATTGGATGTGCAGATTTTCTTGAGCACAAGATGGGCTATTTTGTTGAATTTGCACGTGGAGATGTTCCGTGTGAACAAGTATCCTGTATATCTACTTAACATATTTTTTGTTCCATATGACATTCTTGGCAAAACCACAATATCTACTCTTTAGGTTTAACATGTAAACGTTTTTTTTTATTTTAGATATTTTTTTGAAAAAAGTCATTTGTGTTTGTTTAAGATGTATACAGAAACTGATTCAATTGACAGATAAGGTGGTCTCTCAAAACGAAAAATTGAGTGCTAGTTTGTGTTGAACTTTTAGTGATGATGAGAGTATGTAGGAGACTGGAGGATTTATCCTTAACCTAGGTATACTTTCATCCAAAAGAAGCAGGTAGATTTGGTCAATACTTGAGTTGAGAAATAAAGAGAAAACTGGTTGGCTCTCAAATCCTATTTCTGATTAGTTATACAAGTTTACAGTTTAAAGCAAATCTAACTGATGAGGAGTTTTTAATTAAAATTTAGGGTTGGCTTTTGTCCTTGAATACTATCACAAAGAAGTTCTAAAAACTCTTATCAATATATCACACCATGTATCAACTTTTATTTTGTAACTGTTTAAATATTATCCTTTTTTATTTCTTAGTCAAATCCTTAACCTGATATAGTGTAGAAGACATTCTTCAAGTTCTTATAGTCTTTGTTGTAGAGTCTTTAGAATTGGACTTTGCACTTCTCTTTCCCGAGCGCCACATTCTTTTGCGTGTTTTGCCTGTTCTTGTTGTCTTAGTGACATCATCAGAGAAAGATAGCGAATCTCTGTACAAGAGGGTGAAAATCAACAGACTGATCAATATATTTAAGGTACCATTTTACATTTTATGCTCTGAATTCTTTCTCTATTGCCAAGAAGTTCAAATTTTTGTATCATTTTATCCTTTTTTTTTTACAGAATGAAGCAGTCATCCCTGCATTTCCAGATCTGCATTTATCTCCTGCTGCAATATTGAAGGAATTATCAACATACTTCCCAAAATTTTCTTCTCAAACTCGCCTTCTCACCCTTCCTGCACCTCATGAGCTTCCACCTCGTGAGGCACAAGAATATCCTCCAAATTATTTTATGTTGTTACTGATAAGTTTATACTAAGTTGTTATTATGGAACCAGATTTCACTCCCGAGTGTCATCCATGAACCAATATTACATTTTAGTACCACTCTAACTGCAGATAGATGAGTTGTGACCACAGTATATACTTCTGGTTATCAAATTGCATGTTTTCTGTGCATTGAAGTTGACCAATGGCAGGAGGGGGGATCTATAGTTCTTTTCTGATTATTGGCAAATTTATTATGTTGTGTATAGAATTGAGTAATATATGAATTAAAAACTGGAGTGGTTATAGCTTCCTCAAAAACATTGGTGTTTACGGTTAATTTTTTCTTGCAAAATTTTGTGTGTTCATTGTTGGCGATAGTGGTTATAAGCATGAAAAATTTTGTAGGTTTAATTAATTTATGTTATTGCAGCCTGTGATGCATTTCAGAACTTAGATTAATTTGTAGTTAAGATTACTAGTGGAACTTCTATTTAAAAAATTGTTGAGGAATTCTTTTACTTTTGAAGTGTCAAATTTTATAAACTTATGAAGAATCTTCCTACTGGCTCCTTTGGAATGTAAACTTAACATTATACACTTATCAGAGACATTATTTGATCATAAATCATATCGGAGCCATCCGTGCTGAACATGATGATTTTGTAATTCGATTTGCTTCTGCAATGAATCAGGTGCTGCCCTCTGCTCTGCCTTGGCTGAAAATAGAATGCCTTCCCTGAAATCTGATTTGTTTTGTTTCTGTTGACTGTTTCTTAGCATTTAATACCTGCTAGTTAATTGTTTATCTCTATTTTTACAGCTGTTATTGTTGAAGTCAACTGATGGTTCTGATGTTGAATGGAGCAAAGAAGTCAAGGGGAACATGTATGATATGATTGTTGAAGGTTTTCAGCTATTAAGCAGATGGACTGCACGCATATGGGAACAATGTGCTTGGAAATTTTCTCGGCCATGCAAAGATGCATCCCCATCATTCTCTGACTATGAAAAGGTAAGGAGTATTTAAATCTTCTAATTTTTGCTCTTTAGATCCTTGTGATTTTATTCGTATCCTTTTTTTTCTGTGGTTATGATGGCTGATTGATGTTCTAATCTGGTACTGGCATTACAGTGTATCATTTTTTTTATTTGTATAAGGTAATTAGCTATTTATACAGAATAGCAATTCTACATCACAAATTAAGTTGATTTAGTTTTTCCATTAGACACATCAAAATTAACCATTTTCACTCAAAGCCAAAATTTCCTTAATTTTTTATTTGTTCGACTATGAAACAATGAATTTAGAGCAATTCCAACTTGTGCTTTCAGTAGTGTTGATACTCCTTGTTACTTCAAGCATGTTATGCACTTAAAACTTTGACCTAGCCAACTTTTATTTTTTACATTAGCCACATAAAACTTAACTATTTATCATACAAATTAATTAAATATTGTATCAGTTAGCCACTAATTCTCTGTTATTTAGTTATTTGTGTTAACCACACACAAAGGTGATTTTTGGTTAATTTTGATTTAGGTCAAACTTTGCACCCTACACTTCAAATTAAAATCTACAATGATTTCAATTAAAAAATAAAATAGAAATTACCATAAACATCGTGTTTCTTGTAGGTAGTAAGATATAACTACAGTGCAGAGGAAAGGAAAGCACTGGTTGAGCTTGTGAGCTACATAAAGAGTGTTGGATCTATGATGCAGCGTTGTGATACACTGGTTGCTGATGCTTTATGGGAAACAATACATGCTGAGGTCCAAGATTTTGTCCAAAATACATTAGCTACCATGTTGCGGACTACCTTCAGAAAGAAGAAGGACCTCTCTAGGTAGTATTCTATTTCACATTACATGGTATAAAATTGTCACATTTATAAGTTGATAGATGGTATGTTCCTTGGCCTCGGTGTTCTCATGGAATTGTTAATTAAAGTCCTAAAGCTGCTCATAGATTTTATTATGAAAAAATAATTCTTCTTCTGGATCATAATCAACTATGTAGCAATATTTTCATTTTGCAAGTTGAAAATAGTTGGCTTCAAGATACAATTTTATGTTTGTACAATTAGACTGGAAGAAGAGATAAATGCTTCCTTCCTGTTGAAAGTGTGGAAGAGACTGGCTTGTTCTGTTTTTGTTTTATTTATACCAAGAATGGGCTGTGGATGTACATCTTGTAGTTTAATCTTGTAGAATAAATACCAACAGAAAATTTAGTTAACTTCCCTGTTAACTTATTTTTATTTCACCAAGTATGTAATCTGTTGGATACACTGTAACATAGGAAGTAGAGTTAGATTTCTCTTGTAAATTGTTTCATGTATTTATTAGATTTGCAATAATCATGTATATAAATCTGAGTGCATTTATTCTCAAGCTTTTCACTCACAAACAGTCTATAAGATATTATCTCCTTTGATCTAAAGTTAATCAAAGAGCTACTGGGAGAGGTTTCAAGTTTTAAATACACAATCTGAAGATGTAATGAAATCCAGGGGAAAAGTTTAAATTTCAAATAATAAATATTTGTATTTGTTATTTGTTAATCAAAATTCTCTTGTGAGCTGATATAATTTGTTTCTGTTTCTTGCTGTATTTCCTTTGTTGTAAATTGCATTGCCTGATGCTTGTGACATATGTGAGCAGCTTAGTGTGGCTAGAGTTTAGACTGTCAACAAAACCTGGATTTTCGTTTTGCAAAATTTTACTTATGCATTATTTCAGTTATTGTTATTTGGTAGAAATTGAGTTTTATTAATTTTATCTGCAGTATTTGATGACTTTTTGAATTATCCAATGATACTTCACTTCTTTATGGAGTTTTTGGTTTGGATTCTATCTCATCATTTGAATCCAAAGAAAATTTCCAGGAAAATGGCTCATTGATTGAAAAGTCTGCACCAATTGTTTCTTAATTTTTTTCTTTTTCATAGCAATTACCCAAATATGGATTTTCAGGATTCTTTCAGATATGCGGACCCTTTCAGCTGATTGGATGGCTAATACAAACAAATCAGAATCCGAGTTACAGTCCTCACAGCATGGAGGTGAAGAAAGCAAAGCAAACATATTTTATCCAAGAGCAGTTGCCCCAACTACTGCTCAGGTCTGCATAATTTTCAATTTTCTTGCTGCTCCTCTTATATAATTTGTTATATTGATATGCATAGAAGTGAAGAGCTGCATTTATTAGAGATTAAAGTTTCAATGCTATATATTGAACTCTGCTGTCTGTATTGATGTTTTGTTGAACTAGCATTTGGACTAACCACTGCTGTGATTGAAGCAAATAAATAAAGATGCTCAAGCGTGCCTTTATTTTGAAACGTTGAGAATTTATTTATGTGATCATGCATATAGGTTTTATGTTAAGATTTCAAAATACCTTATCATAGATTATTTTTTCAAACTCAGGTCTTTTGCATGAAATTTTCTCCTTCATGTGTGTATTCACATACATCATAGCAATCAACAAGTTGTTACCAAAAAGATTCTATTTCCTGGCTGGGGCTGCATTACAAGTTCTTTCTGTGGATATATGTAATGCTGTGGTTAGCAAGTAATTGATGCGTAGCTAATCTCTTTACTACAGGTGCACTGCTTGCAGTTCTTAATATATGAGGTGGTTTCTGGTGGTAACCTTAGGAGGCCAGGCGGACTCTTTGGCAATAGTGGCTCAGAAATCCCCGTTAATGATTTAAAACAGCTGGAGACATTTTTTTACAAGCTTGGTTTTTTCCTTCATATTTTAGACTACTCAGGTAATGGTCTTAGATTGATCCATAATGATACTGCAAAGACTCATCCTTTAGACACCATCAATGATACTGACAACCTCTTCCTCTCACTACACCTGCACCATGTGTCCTCTCCTACATTCGGGATTTAGTTTTGAAGCATTACATTTTGTTTTATATTGCTGTTCATAACATACATGGTTTCATGGTGCACTGCTTCCAACCTATACGGGGATATTCTACTCCCTCCCTCTTGGTTTTTATCTGACAGAATAAAAATATTCCAAACATCTAGAAATTGAAATAGAGCATACATGCAATGGAACTGATAGATGATTATTAACAATATCACTTGGTGTTCATGAAATCCTTGGGCTCTTTCAAAAGTTAAAACATCTAATACTAGACTAAACATCGTTGAATTGAGAGGGTACATGGATATTTAAATGATGGCTCAACAAAACAATAAACTGACATCTACTTTCTTGAGTTGAATAGTGTCCGAATAAATTTCAGCTCTTTGGGTGCTATTTAGTTGTCTGATTAATTTAGATTCAGATTATGTTTTCCCCTACCATGTAGACCAAACAATGAAGAGTGGTCCTTTTAAAGGATCCAAGCTCATTTTTATGCTTATGATTCAGCTGTCACAACTTGTTTTTATCTGGTCATCATTGTACCATAAGTATACCACTTGGGTGGTCATGGTCACCAATTTTTTTAGAAGGTATCCTAATAGATTTCAATTTTTTGGACTAGAGAAGAAATACATTAGAAGGTAGGAAATTCTGACAGATTTCGACCCTCCAACTTCTGAAACAGTTTAATAATGTAGAATCCTTTGCATATGCCTTATTGCATCCTTCGGTGTAGTTGACTGGGTAATGATGCTTGCAGCGACTGTTGCAACACTGACAGATCTTGGTTTCTTATGGTTTAGAGAATTCTATTTAGAGTCTTCACGAGTCATTCAGGTAATACTCATCACCACAACATTATTTGAATTTCAAATCTACCATGTTTACAGCAATCACTCTTGATAAGACCAGCTACAATTTTCATAGCTCCTTGCAAAATATTGATTGCATCAAACATTCACTCATATATTTGTCCTTGTAATGGAATAAAAAACTCAAATACTGGTAGGCTAGCAATTTGAAATGTGAATTGTTAGATAGTAGGATGATGGTTCGTGTCTTTATTTTTTTGTCTCCCAAATATCTCTTGTTATATTGAGGTTTTTCTTTATCCTGACCCTTTGAAAGTTAACGTCTTGTCTCCAATGCTGTAGACTTTAGTTGCCCCCTATTCCCCACCCCATCCTGGTTATGTTAATGTTACATAAACTACTCACAAAGACTAAAATAACATTCAAAAGAATGCTGAATATTTCGTAGAAACAAGTTCTGTCAAGAAAAAAAAAAAGTTATATGTTCTGTGAATCTGATATTTCTCCATTCTTGCTAATAGTTTTTTCTGAACTTCAACATTACTCTATTGTCAAGAAGTCTTTCCTATGTAGCGGGTCTCTCTTCGAGTCTTTGTTGTATTTCAAACTTTGGAATTTTCAAAATCTACCAAAATTGTGATCTTTTTCTTATTCTTTGCTTATATGGATCTTTTTTCCCCCTCCCCTTTTTGTACTAAATTTAGTTCTTATTTAATGTAGTTTCCCATTGAATGCTCTCTCCCCTGGATGTTGGTGGATTGTGTACTTGAGTCACCAAATTCGGGTATTCTCGAGAGTGTTCTGATGCCATTTGACATCTATAATGATTCAGCTCAGCAAGCCTTGGTGTTGCTGAAGCAACGGTTTCTATACGATGAAATTGAGGCTGAGGTATTAGACATTTTTAACTTAAAGGTTAATTCTTGTTGATTATATGGTGAATTTACTGGAGCAATATAATATCTGATACTGATGATTAGGGGCATATAGTGAAGTGCACTAAATTGATGGGGTTACTAAATGTAAGAGATAATATAAGAATACCAGGGGAATTGGGGACAAGAGGTATAAGTGGGGTATCCTTGTGATGGCATCCGGCATATTGAGTGAGGACCTATGGACAAGGAGGGTGCAGGACCCTCGCTGAACTTGCATTTTTTATGTATTTTCTTTTATATTTAAGAGTTCTTTTTGTAAATTCATGTGTTGTGACTTATGTTGATATCAGTTTATACCAGTAGCAGAGAGTGAATCATGTTGTTATTACAATCGGATTTTTGCTTCTGATTACCAGTTCCTGTCATATGCTTTCTCCATTGATCAACTGTTTTTTGTTTACCTTTTATCATAGGTGGATCATTGTTTTGATATATTTGTTTCAAAATTGTGTGAAACGATTTTCACATATTACAAAAGTTGGGCAGCAAGGTATGCTCATTTTTCACTGGCTCAACCAGATTTTCTCTTCATTATTCCTCGGACTTAACTTTTTCCTTACTGATGGATGCCTAAATCATGCAGTGAATTGCTTGATCCTTCGTTCCTCTTTGCTTCTGACAATGCAGAAAAGTATGCTGTGCAACCCATAAGGCTCAATATGCTACTTAAAATGACTAGAGTGAAGGTTAATGAATTACATTATCATAATGTTTCCTTACAATTTTAATTTGGTGCATTAAAGTGTAAGCTGGGGGTATACTACCTGCTTAACAATTTTTGGATATTAAAATAGCCCAAGGTGGGGCATGGCTGGGAGGATTGGAAAATGTGTCCATGTTGTTAGATCACCTGTCTCGCAGCAGTATTTGGAAACACTTGACTGAAGCCCTACTTTAAGTGAACAAAGATTAACTGTTATATAGCTTATGTTTTTAATATGTATCAGGGTGTTATCACTCCAAACCTTAGTATCTTCAAGTGACTTTGGAATCTTGGACATTCTATAACTTTAGAAAGTATACAAAAGACATCTTTGTGTACTATTATAAGCAGGAATAAGTTGTTAGTATATTTTTCCTCTAGAATTTGGTTTCATACTGATTATCAGTCAGTTTCATAAAAATCATCCCATGAGGTAGCAAAGCTTGTTGATCAAAAAGTCCTGGTTTGAAATCTTTTGAATAGAAAAACAGGTACTGAGAGTGTTTTTGCTTTAATTGTTCAACCTAACACAACTTTGATTAGTTAGGTTTTTAAGTGGCTTTTACCAAGAGTCTAAGGTAGTGTTTGGTCTAACTTTTTGGGACTTCTCCTCTCTTTGAAAGAAGAAGCTGGGCCAAATACAATCCTAGAAAAACTATTAAGTATAAGAGTAGCTTCTTTCTAACTGAACTCATGAAGAAAACATAAAAAGAAGAGCTTTTGGATTATCCAAATTTTAGTAACTTATCCTCTCTCCCTTCACTTTTCCAAAGCCCAAAAAATAAACTTTTAAGGTGAAAAAAATATAAAATTATCAAACATCTTTAACTATAATTTCTTATTTTTACTTTAACTTTAAAGTTGTTCTTAAAATCCAAAACGCAACCTAGAAAAGAGCTTCTCTAAAGTTGTTGACTGAGAGAAGATAAATATCTTGGTAGCTGTTTTAGTTTCAATATCATAATTTTTGGGTAATTCCATTTTTTTAATCATTATTTGTAGAAACTTCTGGTGTCAAAAGCATGCAAAATAGGTTCCAACCATCTTCATTTTCACATCCTGCACAAATTGAAGGAGAATGTTTAAGAAAATTATTATGAAGGCTAATATTGATACTTACACGATTTATAATTTTTATATTTTCATGGTGTGGTGTAATCCTTGTTCAATTTATATGATCTCTCTCACACACACACACATGCTCTGCTGGATGTCATAATTGCAATTTCTCACATGTAATTAAATATATTTTGATGTACAGCTGCTTGGAAGGATGATTAATTTGAGAAGTTTGATCACTGAACGGATTAACAAGGTTTTCCGTGAAAATATTGAGTTTCTGTTTGATCGCTTTGAGTGTCAGGATCTATGTGCCATAGTGGTTCGTGATTTTACCTTTGCTACTTCCCATGGCGAACAATTATGAATTACTTTTCTTTTCTCAATGTTCATTAACTAAAGCAATACTCTGACTATTTTATTTAAGGAATTAGAGAGGTTGTTGGATGTCTTAAAACATTCCCATGAACTACTGTCTAGAGATCTTTCTGTAGACTCTTTCAGTCTCATGTTGAATGAGATGCAAGAGAACATCTCCCTTGTATCATTTTCTAGTCGACTGGCCTCACAGGTTTGTCTTATAAGCTCTAAAGACATACTTGACTTTTGATTTCTCCCTTTCCTTTCTGCACAATATTGATAATTAATTTCACGGTAGTTTTTAATATTGAATCTGCATGTTGAAAGCTGAAACCACTATTTAAGTGGTAATTAATGATTTCATGACTTGGTCTGTTTGCAATTTCATATGATCTATTTTATGTATGCTAGATTTGGTCAGAGATGCAAAGCGATTTTTTGCCAAATTTCATTCTGTGCAATACTACGCAACGTTTTATCAGATCATCAAGGACTGTTCCTGTTCAAAAGCCATCCGTACCCTCTGCTAAGCCTAGTTTCTATTGCGGTACTCAAGTAAGAGTTCGTCTCACTACCTTTAATGGTACAACCATTATAAATGAGTATCAATATTTTTAATGGCTTAAATAATCATCTATTTTTTTTATCATAAACATATTACATACAAGCAGTTCAACGTCTAGCTCAACTCAGATGTTTACATGTGTAAGTGTTAGTCTTTTGGCAAGTGTACCAATATTATCAATCGCAGTACAGTATTTCAATTAAATAAAAGTCGATCTCACGAGGAACAGTTTCACTGGAAATTCCGAATCATATGCTTACTAAGGGTATTAACACAAAATGGATTTTTCATAAACTTTTGGATAGAAAACAAACAGTAAAAAGCTATAAAATATATTTAGAAAAGATGAATTATGAGAACTTAGGATTGATTTACTTCCTTTTCCCTCTTTTGTATAATGGCTAGGTCAAATTAATAACATCAATTAACCTATCAATGTTGATGTCACCTACTCAAATCATTCATATTGAATTCTCAAACATGAAATTCATAAGAAAACCTTGTAAACATAGATTCCAACATTTAATAGATTTTTCAGCAAATAGATTTAGGGTATTAAGCAATTGAAACATCCATTACCATTCCTAGCAATCAACGTATTAAATATTCTTAACCTAATCAAGGATTTCAAGATATATTTTCCAATATATATGAACATCCAGGATAAAAGCATTAACAGACACAAAGGATAGGAATAACAATATCAAGAACATAGATTAATATCTCAAAATATCACCAAGATACAAAAGAGTTCAAAGGAAGTGCACCCAATCCTAAGAGAATGAAGTTAGTCACTCATGATGGTTATTACAATGATCCAAATGAAGATGAATTGAAGATTGAACGAAAACTTGATCAATTGTCGCGTCTTTCTTCTCAAAACCCTCCAACAACCTTTCTCAAAACACATCTTATCTTTTTATAGAAAATTTCGCGTCATTCGCTCAAGCGGAACGTTCGCTCAAGCAAGTAATGATGATTTTCGCTCAAGCGATAATTGTTCGCTTGAGCGATTGAATTCCCAAGAGCTTTAACGTATTTTCGCTAAAGCGAGCGTCTGTCTCGCTCAATCGAATTTTAGGCTGAAAATCTTCTTCCTTTTTTCCAACTTTTCTTCAATTAACTTGATAATTATGATCCTTACTCTTGTACCCAGGTATTTTGCAAATTCATCCTACATTGGAAAAAAAATATATTATAATCAATATAATTTAAGTGGTTAAATAACAATTCAAAGCATAATTACATCAATTTTTGCCACTTAACAGTAAGATAATGTGTCATTTATTCACTTTTCATTTTGGGAAGTTCCGAAATGTATGTCAGCATGTGTGGACCTTAGGACCATGTGCCAGGTGTCTGTTCCAAAATGTATTCTCTTGGAGTTTAGATCACTTTTCTCAGCTTTTGCTCTATTCTATTTACTATCATTTTTCTGTTTCTTATATTCATTTTTTCAGTACACGTTCAGTGTATTTATAACAAGGGAGAGGGAGATGAACCATTGTGTTTGTGTGTACTTTCTACAATTTTCTATATCTACACACACATACATTCACGCTCACACGAACATATGTAAATAAGTTTCTCACTGTCTCACACTGATAGGATTTGAATTCTGCCCATCAAAGTTTTGCACGACTGCATAGTGGATTCTTTGGAATACCTCACATGTTTTCTATTGTTCGACTTTTGGGATCCCGATCATTACCTTGGCTTATTAGAGCCCTTCTTGATCACATATCAAACAAGGTATGCTGTTTTTATAATTGCTAAATTCTGAATAATTAATTGCACATTTGTTTTTCTGTGGAAACCTCCTAAATACTATAAAATACAGCTGTATATATACTTTAAGTTTGATAATAAACTAAACTAGAGAAATTTGTGTAAGGTAAACTAATTGAAATTTCCCTTGCTTCTTACACCTTGTCACTCTGATGAAGTTTGTTTTCTTTATCAACAAAAAATTCCTTCATGTGTATACATTTTGTATCCTATTTCAATAATAGGTTATACCGTGCAGAGTTTTCTTGGCTACGGAATATTGATCAACTGACTCTTTATAATCATTTAAAAATTACTTGAGCAATGAATACATAGTTCAAGGCTTTGCATAATGGAGAGAATTGAGTGACATTCACAATAGTTTTTACCTTAATAGAACCATATTAAGCAACTGATTGTTATTTATAGATCGACGCACTTACATACTGGATGCTTGTAGTTTGCATACGTCTATATTTATTGATATTATAAAATTTAGATATGACTCACTAACAACGGAAATGCCTGCTATTCCCAGATTACTTTGCTTGAACCAATGATTACAGGATTACAAGAATCTTTGCCAAAATCAATTGGGCTTCTTCCTTTTGATGGAGGTGTGACAGGTAAATGGTGAAATTTCCCTTCTCAGTTTTTTTTTTTTTTTTTTTGATTCAATGTTTAGAAAATTCTTTTCAAGTATAGAAATTTGTGAAAGGCAAATCATTAACAAAATATTAGTGAGTCTTATCATGTAAATAGTGTTGGTGGTTCATTTGCTTGGATATGCATGCATCAGACGATATTCCAAATTCTTGGTAAATATGCACCAACCGACTACACAGTGCATGACCAAAAACATTTCTTAGATAAATTTTATTTATTAGTACTTAGTAGTTAGTAGCATGCATATCTTTGTTCTTTCTTTTAGTTGAGTATTAGTATATACATTTCTTTGTCATGGAGTTGAAGTCGTTGGCGTGTACTTTCTTTCTTCTTTTGTGTTTCTTATATTAGTAGAAGAAACCTTAGAGCATAATGCATTTTTCAAAATCTCAAAAGCACTGAAAGATATGCTAGAAAAATTTATCAAGACAGTTATACTTCACGCTCTTTATGAATAATTTTCTCATAAACAAATTATCTACAAGGAATAAAGTACATAGATACATGATCATATCTGAGAAATTAACTTCAGATTATTTCTACACAGGTTGTGTGAGACTTGTCAAGGAACATCTTAACTGGGACACAAAATCAGAGCTGAAAGCTGAGGTTCTTCATGGCATAAAAGAGATTGGAAGTGTATTATATTGGATGGGGCTTCTAGATATTGTAATGGTCAGTAACGCAGTGCAATTACCAATTTATTTGTTGGAATTGCCATTGACATAAGCTGAAAACTTAATAAATCTGCTTTACATTTCAAGATAATAATTGAAGACAAAAACAGTTATTTTGGCCAATTGTAGGATACAAGTACCCCAGGGTACCTATAGTCAGGAACCTTTATTGCTGACTTTAAAAACACTCTAGATATTGAAACTTGAAACCCATGAATGCATAGGATGCGTAGTGTTGAAGAATAAATTTTGCAAAATTGATAGTGTTACATGGAAATTAAGGAGAATAATTGCATATTTCCCTTAATTGTAGTCTTGATGTTTTCATGTATGCTACTTTAATTTGTGAGTAGTAGTGATCAATACATTGCATTCTTGACAGAGAGAAAAGGATTCTATGGATTTCATGCAAACTGCTCCCTGGCTGGGTTTGCTTCCTGGAGGAGATGGTCAAATAGTAACTTCTCAAGATGGAGGAGACAGCCCTGTTGTTAGTCTCTTTAAATCAACAGCTGCTGCAATGGTTTCATACCCTGGTTGCCCATCACCTACCTCTTTTCATATTATGTCAAAACAGGCAGAAGCTGCAGGTGTGCTGTTGGATATGCTTTCTAATCTTTTTTGCTGTTATATATATATTGACATATTTCTTTGTAAAAATAATTTTTCTAATGCTTGATATTAAAAAATTAGTTGAGAAGTTTATATTTTAACAATAGGATATATAAGTGTAAAACTCAAATTAGTTTAGTATTATCATATGCAACAGACATGAATGTCATTGTCTAAACATCATCAAGGAGAAATTATGGTGAAAAATTAAGAGTAGAATGTCTTTGTCAGAAGAGCCATGCAACAGCAATAACCTTATCTTACTATGCGAGGTTGACTATATAGATCACATGACATTGAACTTGGTCAAGAAAACAAGTTCTTAAGAAAATTGCACAAATAAATTTTATACCAGTTCAATTGCCATCATTTTGATCTACATATTGTCCCGAAAGAACCCTTCAGGAATCCACAAAAATCAAAATTCATCCAACCGAAAGACATTTCACTTTTGTTGTTCTAGTGATCCCACAACCCAAATGCCTTCAGCCAAGAGATAATCCACTCTTGATATGTTGAGATGCCTCATTCGAACTTCACAAAATAGAGAAAAATACAGTGTTGCAGTAGCACACTCCCTTAGTGCATGAATGTTCCAATGAAAGCTCTAAAATCTCAATTTAATTGAATGTATTTGGCTGGAAATTTTGGTAGCATAGTGTTACTTTTTCCAAGTTAAGAAAAATGGCTCCAGTGTTTAGAAATTACCCCTTTATATAGAAATTCAAATAGCCCACAAAAATGACAAATCCGCAGACAGTAATATATTACTGCACTGATAATCGATTACTCAGTTATAACTGCCAAACTAACTGTCTAATTGATTACTGCACCAAAACAATCAATTGCATTATTGCACAAAACAATCAATTACTTTGGGTGGATACTCTCGTAATTGGTCAATTTTCCAATGGCAGTTGCTATGATTAATCTTTCAAAGTCAATTTTGAGCCAATCCAACATTTACCATTTAGTGAATTTTAACATTATTACTAGATCACTCTAAAACCATAGACACAAAACCACTCAAAACCAATTAAATTACAATAAACAATTAACTAATCTAAAAGTGGAATCATCAAAATCATTTGAGAGAGGTATGTAATCCAAAGGCATTTTGAGGGGCTCAGCATCTACATTTACTGCCACGACATTCTTCTTTCAATTCTTATCCACAATATATCCTACTACATCATGCATTATGACTGATTTTAAGCAGCTAATAGCATGAAATTTTACTGAGAAAGAAATTTGTTAGAATAGACTGAGATGGCCAAAAATATCTTATCATATCTCAAATAATCCTGTGGGATTAGTTTTCTTGTTTCCTCATTTATCTCTTTAAGATTATTTACCATATTTCCTTACATCATCATGATTTTTTTATCTGTTTAGGTAGGATTATGATTGGTATAAATAAGGGTTAGTGCTGTAGGTTTTATGACTACATCAATGCATTGTAATACATCGCATTTGAAATCAATTAATGTTATGCTTTGTGTTCATTTACTTTGTGATCTGTAATTTTAGGAGAAGAAAATTATATTTTGTATTATACATTGATCAAAATTACATGCGAGATATATAGGCAGAGCTGGCTAGTAGAGATCATAACCACCCTGATTATAAAACAAATTCAAGGATTAAGATAGGGAAAGGGAGAATCAGATCAGATCAGATCAGATTTAAACAATCTCATCTTGATCATAAGTACCTAAATCTTCTAAAATCCTTCTTTGAATTTAAAATATAAGCACAAACATGATCTTTTATTAGTAGTTCAGATCTTGTTTCTTCTATTGCAGATCTTTTATACAAGGCTAACTTGAATACCGGAAGTGTGCTGGAGTATGCACTTGCTTTCACTAGTGCTGCGTTGGATAAATATTGTAGCAAATGGAGCGCTGCACCCAAGACAGGCTTCATTGACATTACGATTTCTAAAGATTTCTATCGAATATACAGTGGTCTCCAAATTGTAAGGAGCAACCTTCCTCATCCCTCTTCCACTTTTCAGGCTGCTTAATAACTTGCTAGTGCTTTGAATGATGAATTGACTCCGCATATGAAATTCTTTACGTGTAGAGTTTAATTATTTGTATCTGCACACACCTTTTAGCTCCATGGTTTGGTTTGTTAAATTGGCCCCTGTTTAGTTCCATGGGAAGGGGGGGATGAAAACTGTCTGAAGCATAGAAGATTTAAATGTCAAGATGGATAAAATTTAGCGTGGACCACTTTGTAACATCTTGTTCGATACATTAATGAATTTCCTAGTGTCTATTTTTTAAAATATATTTTTAATGTGTGCTTTTGCTTGAGCTACGTAGGGATACTTGGAAGAGTCTTCTCAAGTGGCATCAAATAGTCATGAAAGGCTGGGGGATTCAGTTGCTTGGGGGGCCTGCACTATAATTTATTTGCTTGGGCAGCAGCTGCATTTTGAGCTCTTTGACTTTTCATATCAGATCCTTAATATCGCAGAAGTGGAGGCTGTGTCTGTTATACAAACACATAAGAACTCACAATTTGCTGTGCAGGTTTATATTACTTCGTCAAATCGCCCAAAAGAATACTTGCTTCTTTTACATACTCATTATCTATTAATAAAATTACTGCCTTCATTATTGTCTATACTTCAGGCAAACATTATAGAAATGTTTTCCGTCCTGCTCAACAACCTATTCTTCTTTACTGCATTTCTAGAACGTTTTTTCAATTTAACACGATGAAAAATATTAAATCAACTTCAGTTTGACCATGTTAGAACAAATCAAATTTAATTTAGATAGATGTCATATCAGATGTTTTAGCAATATCCAAATGGTACATAGTTATGAAGAAGCTGCGAACTGGTAGTGCAGTTTAAATTCCAGGTCTTGTGTGCTGCTTACAAGCATCTATTTTTCTTTTAACAGGGATGGGAATCCTTATTGGAAGCAATGAAAAAAGCAAGGAGATTAAATAACCATGTATTCTCTATGCTTAAAGCACGTTGCCCCCTTGAAGAAAAGACAGCTTGTGCTATTAAGCAAAGTGGTGCTCCAATACATCGTATAAAATTTGATAACACAGTTTCAGCATTTGAAACACTGCCGCAGAAAGGTGCTTAAACGAGTAGTCTAGTTGTAGGCTTCCTGCAAAGTTGTGCTTGTAACTCTGGTGTTGTTGTATGTAAAAGATATTAAGTACCGCGTGTATATGTTTCATGAGCTTGAGTTTCTATGCTAGAGGAAGCAACATTTTTTTAAATATAGCTGCCAGAGTAAAGCTGTTATGAACTCGGTCAGTTGTAAGTTACAACTATCACTTGCTATACCGGTGGCAAAACGTGAGTCCATCCTTTTTTGGTCCGTAAGTCTTTGACACGCTAAAAGCACGATGGGTGGGTTACAAGTTTAAGTTTATTTCGATAATTGATCTGCATATTTTTTATTTTATTATTTTTAAATTAATTTTTTTAATAAATTTAATAATAATATTATCATTGTTAATTATTTAATATATATATATATATATATATATATATATTTCAAATTAATAATATAAATTAATATAATATTTTAATAAATTATATTTTAGAACAATTAAATTAAGATAATTTTATTTTCAATTTCATTTTTATTGATGATATTATCAAGATCACAAGTAGATTTATTAATTGAACTATCCATTTTTTATTTAAAATTAAAAAAATATATAATAAAAAAGTATGAGATATATATGATTTTTATAACAAGAAGGAAATGATGAGTAAGATGAGAGGAGAGAGAGAAGGGTTTATGCTTGAAAAATGAAAGTGTTTTCGTAATATGAATTTAGGTAATTATAAAACTTTTTGAATTTTCTTAGTAGTGAGATACTCGAGATTTTATGAATTCTCTTTACGAGACATGAGACTTTTAACATTTTTTTTTTCATAAATCTTTATATTATATATTGTATTTCGACTCTTTGTATTATATTACAATAAAAAAAATTATTAATAAAGTGAGTCGCCAACTAACTCAATCCGTTCCACGGGTTGGTCCGGTGGGAATTTGACAGGATGAGCCAAAACAAGCCAACAACCAGAAACTAGTAACCCATCTTATCATATTATGATCGACTGATGACCAGTTCACTGGACCTGACTCGTCATATATATTTATTTTTCTTTTTATTTTTAAACCCTAGACTCTTTATTTCCTTCTATAACCTAATAAAGCATGATAATGATTCGTATAATTAATTTTTTTTATGTTCTTAAATTTAATTACATGTACATATAAATCGATAATTCATATATATAAGGATGATAGAGGTCAAAATCCATAGAAAGAGAGATTGATTGTGATAATCAAATCACTTGATTTGATTAATTACTCTTGATGACTTTTTTTAGTTAAGTATTTGATAGATATAAAATGTTTTTAGTTAAGTATTTGATAGATATAAAATGTAAACTTTATGAACATTTAAAATAATATTTTAGAAATATATTTTTATAAAATATTTTTGGATCAATATTAAGAAATCATCTGTTTGGTTTTGCTGTACTATTTTATGCGTTCATTTTTTATTTCTTTCATATAGTTAATTTTGTAGTGTTTTTTGGAATATATGTTTGTGTGATTAGTTTAGAAACTATTTTTATATTGAAATTAAGTGTATTCTAAAGACGAAAATATATAATATTGGGATTATTTTTTAAAATTATTTATTTTTTATATGAAATATTTTAATTTTAAAATATACGATTTATTTAACTCGTGCAAACATTAATATATTTCCATATTTTTCTTGATTTTTCTTATTTCAATAATTAAAAAAAATTCACAATAAAATATTTAAATACTTTAATTGATCAATCGTTTTCATATATATGAATTACTGAATAATAACTGATAATTATTTTTGGAAAGATTTATTATAATGAATTACGTGCTACTTGGCATTCAGTCAAGTAATAACAAGTTTTAATCAGACAAGTAGATATTAAAATTTTATTTTACTAAATAGTCATTATATTGCGTATTAAATATATTTTTCTAAAGTAAATACATTTAAAGATAAACACAGTTTACAACCCAGAAAAAAATATTTAAAAATAGAAATAATTTAAAACACTTAAATTTGATAGGTTTTGAATAAAAAAGAAAATATTTATAATACTTGATAGAAAAGTAATCATATTTAAGACATTAACATTATGGCAAGATGTTAAATATGAGGATCTCTTCTGATAGACATTAATAATTAATTGTGATTTTGTCATTTTATATCATTGACTAAGTTCTTTTATTACAATGAATCAGTTTCTGATTCTGCATTCCTTAAAAACCTGTTGTTGGTTGTGTTAATTAATATAGGTAGAAGGTGACACGCGAAAATAAAAGAGAAACGTGGAAGCAAATAAAAAGTACGTTCAAATTCAATCCACGCGCATATAACACATCAGCTATTTATATGGGCCGGGCCGGGCCCTGTGGGTCGGTAGCGTGCCGTTACTACTAGCTTATTTTATTTATTTATTTATTTATTATTATTGTTATTATTAGAAAGGTATCACCCTACTACGCTACACAGTATCTACACTCTGCACACACGCACTCACAGAGAGAGAAGTAGAGAGTTAAACTGTGTTGTGTTCTGAGGCGTGACGTGACAGAGACACACGTTGCTTACGGTTTATAATTTGGTTAACTGTCATCATTCTGATACTAAAGAGAAAGAGAAGTGAGAATTTTGATTTGTTTGAATTGGAAGAAAGAGAAAAGGGGAATGAATTTGGGGAGTTAATAGGAATAGTAATGGCGAAGAGGGAGCGAGTGAGAGGAGTGTCGGCGTCGGAGTTGAAGGAGAGGTTGAGGGAATTGGTGAAGGCTATTGTGGACTCCGACGACTACACGGTGGAAGCCGCGGACGAAGCTATCGCCACCCTTTCGGCTCTCAAACATTTGAAGTCTCCAAACTCTTTGGACGACTTTCGCCTTCCTCCCGAATTTCGATGCCCCATTTCAACCCAATTGATGACTGATCCCGTTATCTTATCCACCGGTCAGGTTAGGCTATTTCCTCTTTTCTGTTTCAATTTCAATTTTATTTTTTTATATCAGTGCTCGGTGTTTATAATTATTCCTTTAGAATTTAGAAAGCGTGACACTGATTAATGAATGAATGAATGTTTTTGTGTTTTAATTTCATTGTTTTACTGCTTCAGACTTATGATAGGCCATTCATTCAGAGGTGGTTGAATGAAGGCCACAGAACGTGCCCGCAGACCCAGCAGGTTCTGTCTCACTCAATTCTAACTCCTAATTACTTGGTCCGAGACATGATTGTGCAGTGGTGTAGGGACCGTGGAATTGAGCTTCCTAAGCCTGTTAAGGACATTGATGAAGTGGTTACTAATGCGGATAGGAACCATTTGAATTCGTTGCTTCGCAAGTTGTCGTTGTCTGTTTCTGATCAGAAACAAGCTGCCAAGGAGCTTCGCCTTTTGACAAAGCGAATGCCTTCGATTCGAGTCCTTGCTGGGGAGTCCAGTGATGTGATTCCCCAGTTGCTGAGTCCGTTATCATCGCCTGGCACGGCTTCTACTGACCCTGATCTCCATGAGGACTTGATCACCACGGTTCTCAATCTCTCTATCCACGATGATAACAAGAAGGCCTTTGCAGAGGATCCTGCAGTGATTTCTCTGCTTATTGATGCCTTGAAAAGTGGAACAATTCAAACCAGGAGCAATGCTGCCGCTGCTATTTTCACATTGTCCGCGCTTGATTCCAACAAACACATCATTGGAAAATCCGGGGCAATCAAGCATTTGCTCGAGCTTTTGGATGACGGACAGCCATTGGCCATGAAAGATGCTGCTTCGGCCATATTTAATCTTTGTCTTGCGCATGAGAATAAAGGGAGGACCGTGCGGGATGGAGCCGTTCGGGTTATTCTGAATAAGATGATGGAACACATTCTAGTTGATGAGTTGTTGGCTATATTGGCACTCCTATCTAGTCATCCCAAAGCTATTGAAGAAATGGGTGATCTAGATGCTGTTCCTTTATTATTGGGGATTATTAAGGAAAGTACATCGGAGAGGAGCAAGGAAAATTGTGTTGCAATTCTGTATACCATTTGTTTTAGTGATAGAACAAAGTTAAAGGAAATTAGAGAAGAAGAAAAAAACAATGGTACGCTATCAAAGCTTGCACAATGTGGAACTTCGAGGGCTAAAAGGAAGGCTAACGGTATTCTTGAGAGGCTTAATAGATCCCCCTCCTTAACACACACTGCTTAGTGAAATTAAACCTCGGGGATTGGGAAATCACCACTCTGTAAATAGTGTTCTTGTGTTCTTCTGTACAACCGCAAACCATCTCGGGTAGCTGTAAAAATGGGAAAGAGAAGTTCATATATTATGTACAGAACCTTCACTTACGGTGAATGAGCAAAGTGTTTTTTACTTATTCCTTTATTTCATTTCTGTTTGATTCTTTATCCCTTTTGAGAAAGCTCTTTTCTTTGCTAAAGTGACTATATTCTTCTATTTCTCTTTGCCTAACTGACTGCCCGTGATTGCTGTCTTTGCTATCTAATTTGTAAGTATTCTTCACTTGTTTGTCACGTAGCCAACCAACTTTGAGTGCTGACAAAGTGTCTGTTTGTATTTTGTTAATGGTTCTATCGTTGTATTTGTATGTGGTTTTCGTTGCTGGTAACGTGGTATCTTACAGCTGAGAAGGGATAGCTAATCAAAACGTGAGTGTATGGGAGTGGGGTAGGGTAGGGGCTCCTTTTGTTTTCTTTCCCTCGCCAACCACTGACGAGTGTCGGCACCGTTTTTGTTGCTCTATCTTTACCCAACTTTCTTTCATTACACTTTTAGGCACCAATTTTGCCCATGTCCCATAGATTTATGAATTGATTATATATGATGACGGTCACATACTTTTATCTCCAAATTGATATGACTAGTATTTTGACTTTTGCGTTTCTTTTATTCAAATTAATATTTTTAAGTTCAATTCCATGGTTTCACCGATAGGCTAGAATATTCAAAGTTACTTGGGTCATGCATGCCTAACTATTCAGATTCTTAATCATTTTCCTGACTGCTGGTGCTGACTAACTAGATATTCCATAGAATGTGTTTAGTTAACTTGTCCCAACCATCTATGGCAAACGTCATAACGAAGGAAAAGAAACAGTGGGTTGGTCACATATAAATGAAGAGTGATAGGAAATAAGAACGATTTCAGGCTGAGTACTGCTGAAATCGTGCCTTTCTAAAGTAAGGTTCTTTGTACCTAGAGCTTTTATTTCGTTCACTAGTCGCAATGATAATGATTATTTCAAATAAAATAATATTGCCATCATTTGTCGCTTATTATACTATATCTAGTGAGTCGAGTTATGACTGGCCTACTCACAGAATTCAAGTAGGATGGCTGGATTTTGGTTCAAGTTGATTGATTTTAAACTTTTGTTTAGAGGAGTTTTAGGAGTAAATTGTGACGAACTGTTGCATATAAAGTTCCCTCACAGGGAGCCCGTGTGGACAGAAAAGTATAGTCATCAGTTATTTGTACAATAAATTATTTTATATTAACTTCTTTAAAATGTCTTACAAATTATTTCATTTTTTTCTTATTTTCTTTCCTTAACATTGTTTATGAAAGAAGAATCTAAACGGATCTTAAATTATTAAAAAAATAGACTTAACCCACGACTTCTTTATGGATGAGGTCGAATCCCTCTTGACACTCATGCCTGTGGGGCTAATTCTTCTCCTAGAGATTCCTTAACATCCAGAGAATAGTTAAATAGCGGTAAATGAATAAAAGTGGTTGTGGTTTGGTGAAATTGGATAAGTATATTATCATTGTTGCAGCATGTAGCATGTGATTAGCATAATATTAGGAGAGTTTTTCTGTTGTATCTCTTCTCTCCCAAAGAGAAGCAGTACTTATGCAGTTCATCTTAAAGCAACTCTTAGGAGTTAGTTACATGGGCATCGATGCTCTTACACGTATTGTGGATAGACCAAAATTTGTGTTCAATTTTGAAAAATATTTCATATTTGTAGCACTCTACACTACTCTTCTTCTCTTAACATTTTTGGCAAAATTGACTGTAATAAAATAATTGCATAACATAGATGTATGGATAATAATAGTGTAAAGTTGAATTGGAAAGAAGACAAATGCAGATGGAGAGAAGAGTTTGGAAGGTCCTTTTCATGGGCACCATAAAACGCTACCCACTGATCCCAAAAAGCTGTTATTTCTATCTAGGCACTTCGTGATGGACTCGCTCACGGGCTCCACATCAATTGTTCTAAAGTAAACTATGAACTGAACGCCACTATTTGATGGTCGAAGATGGAAACTGTGAGAATCTTACTCAATGTAACACTCTGTCACATTTTTGGCTACTGTCTAGGAGATAATGATAACGTCCGCAACAGCAGCCACATCCAAAAGGGACAAAAGCCCTGTAAAAATCGCTTCCCTCAGGAATCTCATTCAATTCATGGAGCAAATTTTACCGGTGAACCAGTTTATCATGCTTAAACACCAGTGAACTTCGGAACTGAACTTTCTTATCATGTAAGTTAAAGATGGTTGATTATTTTACTAGCACACGAAACATGATATAATAATACTAGTATATAATTATAATCAAACTCCTAACACTAAACCTTTGTTAACTATAAAGTGAAACTATTGAAGTATACCATTTTTCTGAGCCCTCCTTTTTTAGTTTCTTTGAAGTGGTCCTTAATTTACAAAGTGGACACACAAAGTTGTGAGATAGACTAGCAAATAAAGGAGAATGGTACAACTACCAATCACCTATCAACATGCAAACACAAACATGGCCCCCCAACATCATAACCTTTTGAATAATGTTTTGTCAATATTTTAAATTAATATACATATTGAAAGAGAGATAATAATATAATATGATAAGTGTATAAAAGATTGTTTATACAATAAGTAAAAATGCTTTTTTTTATTATTTATGTTCTTTTTTCTTTTGATTAGTTTAACTAATATACTTCCCACATACTTTTAAACTTCCAGATTTACACAGATCCATGGGATTTTCAACAATATATTAACAACAGTAGTATCTAATGACACTGTTCCCAAAAGGTTTGACATTGTACATCAACTTCTGGTCCATCTATTCTCAACTCTCAACCCAACATAAACAAAATTATTATTTGGTACTAGAGTTATTTTGAACTCCCCCTATCTTGCATTTCATGTAAATTTAATTTGGTACTATTCCCTGATCTACTCAAATCCACATGATTTTCAACAATACATTGATAAAAGTAGAATCTAATTACACTGTTTCCTAAAGGCATGACATTGTACACTAACTTCTGGCTTATCAATACCCAACTGTCAAACCATGTTGTGTGCAGCAATTTTTGTTTATTTGGTCAAACTCAAATTCAAGTGCCCACACATTGCCGTGTGAAGAAGGAGTACAGTTGTAAACTTAGTATGACTTTAATTTGACATCCTTGAAAATGGTGAAAAGAATTTCAAATTGTACACACATTTATCCATTGTGTCTTGTGTTTGTTCAGTATAGTTTGATGGGCATGAAACTAATTGTATAAGGTAAAAAGGATTTTATGACTATTTAAGGAAATTATTACTTTACTGAAATCAAAAATAAGAAAAAGAAGAAAATGTGTGCAACAAGACATCAAATATATATAGATAGATAGATAGAAATACATGTAGGGAGTATCGATCCTAATATAATTGAAGGTTTTTTCTTACTGCACCTCCTATTTTTATTTTTTTTCCTATATATCCCATATTATAGAAAATTAATTTTGAAATATTTTAAAAAAATAGAAAAAAAAACAATCTAAAATTTAAATCATACATGAAGAAAAATTATATATAGGTTTAGTTTCTGGAAATTTTTTGGATAAACCTTTTTATAATAAAAAATTATATTTCAGAAATTATAATTTAAAACCTAAAAAAATTTATGTACTTTTGGGTTTATTCATCCCAATTTTTTCTTAAAATTTTCAATCTAAAATACTTCATAATATATTTGTGAATTATCCATCACACAAAACTAAAAATATTATTATATCTTTAAATAAATAAGAAATACAAGTAAGCAACATTTTTTTTTAAATGAGTTTTGAGGTGAAATTTTTTTCTGATTAAATTTCTTTATAGAGTCTTCACAAGATAATAATTGATAATCATAAAATAATAATTAAAATAAGATATTATAACAAAATAAATATAATTAATAATAATATAAAATAATATCTTAATAAATTTGGACAAAATAAATATAATTAATAATAATATAAAATAATATCTTAATGAATTTGGACAGGCCTTAATAATAAATTGATATATTGAAAATAATTAAAATATTTTTTTTATCGATCAAAAATGTAATTATATATTATTTTTTATATATAAATAATTATATAATCTTAATTTTATGCGTTAAATTTTATTAAAATTTAATAATTATATAGTAAAAAATCATTTTGTATTTTAAAAGTATATAATATGTCAGTTTTGATGATAAATACAGAATTAACAAATTTACGCGGTGATAACTTTTAAAATGTGATATATACTGACTGTTTTGCTCGTCTTTATTTAAAATAAAATGATTTTTGATAAAGTAAACTCCTTTGTATATATTTTTTAATGTGTCTAACTAATATTTTCAGTTTTAAAATAGTTTTTTCTTTTTACCTTTTCACGGATAAAAACATATATGTTTCTTAAATAAGTTATTTTATAAACATTTTAATTTTTTTAAAAATTCACTCATTATAAAAAAATATATGTAATACAATACAACAGTAGATTTTTGAAAAAAAAAATCTTTTCATCATTTTGTTTGATAATATAATAGTTCGTGTAATTATAATGATGTGTTGTCTAATTATTCCTTTTGTATTTTTAGAAAAAATTGTAATTTTGACTTTATTAAATGATATTATATTTAAATTATTTAACTATCACAATAAATAACTATATTGTAATAATTACAGTAAGAAATAAAAACGTGAGAAAAAAATCATTGATTAACACGCTCATATTCTATCGCCCAAATTACACAACTAATTACTTATTTAACTCGATCTGTGGTCAAATATTTGTAAATCAGGGGAACTTTTAACACAAACTCAAATCCAAACAATTTTGTTTTTCTCTTGTCAAAGTCAAATAGGTATTCATGGATTTGAATTTCATTATCATGTTTAGTATATAGCGCGAAAAAAAAAAAAAAAAAAAAACCATGCTCACTTCCAAAAATCAAACACATATTATATAAATATATGTAGCGGTAACAAAGATTTAATTGAAAGCAAGAATAACATTAATGCTTCAGAGTTGAACTCATGGTAATTGAGGGAACTATCTCTTCTACCAATGGCCCCCTCCATCACTTCATAAAACATTCATTTTTTATCCATCTATATCAAGCTATGGTAACTTTGATTTTTCTTTTTAAGATGTTTTATTAAATGATAAAGCTAAAAAATAATTTAAGAACAGATTTCACACAAAAAAATAAAAAACTATATAAGGAATAATAAAAAGTTCACAACTTTGCAGGAACCCCATCGAATTGTGGTATAAGAAAGAAAAAAGTTGAAGTAATCAATAACATTAGTATGTTACCATAACACGTTACTAAAACTAGAGCAAAAAACACAAAGGTCACTCAAATCAAGGTCTTCTCTTTATCAATTACAGGTTTAAGCCAGCATCTAACTGCGATAAGGCCAAGAAACCCACCATTAAAACTTCGATTTCATAATTTTGAATTAATTAAATGGAGGCTAAATTTTGGTCGAAATTAGTTGTTAATGAACTTTTTGCCAAGAAGGGTAGCACGCAAATCGGCGACGTCAACCTCGTTGATGTTCTCTGGTTTGTAGTAACCAGTGACAGGATCTGGCACCCACGAAACCTCGTATGTGGACGCTCCTTTCTCTTCCCCTGTCTTGCCTGCTATGGAGGCCACTCCTCCCCTTGTCGCGCTGCGTGTTGCAACAGAGTACCCGCGTCTGTTTGATAAAAAACCAGATAATTATTTCACCGATTAACAAGTTAAGCACCCTAACAAGGATTAAAATTGAGTTAAAGACGAGAAAATAATTAGGGTACCTGGTGAGAGCGTTGGAGAATCCGTTGAGGAGAAGAGCAGAGAAAGTGTTGACGGTAGCGAAAGAGCGAGCCATTGGTGATTAAACTGAAAAAGGGTGTGAGATTGGGAGTGAAAGTGGATTACAACTGAGTAAAGCTTGTTGTTTTACTTTGAGAGAAAAGAAGCTCCCACAGTGTAATCTTTTTTAATTTGAGTTTGTGATGTGAGAGAAGAGGTGAGGGTGGTCATTATATAAGGATATGGCAAAGGTGGTGAGATTGGGACATAGGAAGGAGAGTGCGCTGGAGTGAATGGTGGTGTGAGTTGAACCTGGTCATGCTCTTGACTTAGCAAGTGGTTGATATGCTTTTGACTGCTCAATGATCATCTCTAGAAGAATGCCGAAAGTTAGGAGAACCTTCTTAAACCTCTCTCTCTCTCTCTCTCTCTCTGCAAGTGCTTTTGGGGTAACCAATGAGTGCAATTTCGACTTGATTTCCTCGTTGCTCATAATAGTTTATGTCAGCCAAAATACAAGTCACGGAAAGAGAGAAGGGTAGGGATTTCATATATTCGTTTTCCCTTTATTTGATTAAACAAGGAATGATAAAAAAGATAAAAGAAGACACATTTAACAATTATTGGTTGAACATGGTGAGTGGTTGAGTTGCTGTAAATTCTTCCTACGTGTCCAATTCATAAGGACAGAAAAATTAGAGGAATGAAAATAAAAAATAAAAAATAAAAAGTGAATTGTTTGGATTGAAAAAAAAAAGTGAAAAAGAAATGAGTAAAAATATTATAGAAAAATATTTTAGAAATGTAATTGCTGTAATTAAATAAAAAAATCAAATAATAATTTAAAATATATATTCGTTAAAACATTTTATATTGATAATAAATAAAATAACTATAAATTAGAATGTGATATATTTTAATATAAATTCATTAATTTATATTATCGATAAAAATTTAAATATATAAAAATTAATTTATATTTAAATTATAAAAATATTTTGTGATATTTAAAAAGTATTTTAATTTTATTTTTTATAATTATAAAAATTTAAAAGTACTTTTAAAATTTTTAAAAAATATTATTCGGAAAATTATTTGAAAATAAATTTTAAATTATTTACATAATTAATTATAAATCATGTATCATTTTATTAATTAAAAAAAGTATAATTAAAAAACATAATAAAAATAAATGTATATATTAAAATTACATTATTAAAAAAATTAAAATTTATTAATAATATATTATAATATTGATATATTTAGGGTTTAGGGTTTATAAATATCACAAATGAATGAAACAAAGATAATAAATCCAGTAACAGATATATAAATATCTTTATTTATTCTAGTATAAACAAACTACAACTTAACATTCATTGGGCAATCAAATGAAATTTTGAGGGTAGAAGATTTTTTGGCCCAGTAACAGAAGGTAGACCAAAGCCCAATTGTTTTGAAAATCAGCAGTAGCTTCCCCCGCCGTAGCTTAGGGTTTTACTTTACCCCGTCGTCGAAAGCTCCATCTTCTCTTTCACTTGGAGAGCGCAAAATGTCAGAAGTGAATGCTACCCCTGAAATTTCTCAAAACAACACTATATACATCAACAATCTCAATGAGAAGATTAAGATTGATGGTACGTTTTTTTTTTTTTTTCGTGTTTCCGCGGCTTCAATTTCGATGCATTATATTCTTTGAATTGTCGTATGTTGGATGCAGAGTTGAAGAAGTCTCTGAACGCTGTTTTTACACAGTTCGGGAAGATACTTGAGGTGTTAGCTTTTAAAACCCTAAAACACAAGGGTCAAGCTTGGGTGGTCTTTGAGGATGTCTCATCTGCTTCCAATGCCCTGAGGCAAATGCAAGGTTTTCCCTTCTATGATAAACCCATGGTATCATATCTTCTATTTCGCTTTTTCAAATCCAAAATTTATATCTGCTTTGTAATTTTTATTATTTTTTATAATGTGTTTGGAATTGGGGGGTGTAGTCTTAGTTAATTATGATTAATTTTTCTAGTTGGAATTATGTGGTATTGTGTGATTTTAATTTCTAATGCTACGATTTGTTTGGAAATTAAGCATAATTTACGTGCCACAAGGTTAAAGAATTCTTCTTATTATAATAGTCAAAATGAAGAATGTTGCAGAGCAATGCTTATCTATCATCATCAGCAACTGTTTTCTTTTCAACAGATATTACTTTGTTCATGGGTAATGAAAATGCTGAAGGAAGGAGACAAATGTCGTGTCAAATTGTTGTCAACGTTTGACAAGTGGCAACAGTGGCTATCATGTTTGCTATGTAGTCCGTGGAATAAGTTGTGTTTATTAATTAAGTTCTAATCTCATCACTTTACCAAACAAGAGAGGAAGATCTTTTCACGATGGTAGGAACAAATTATTTTACATAGCAATAGCCTAGAAATCTAGGCAAAACTGATGCTAACGAACTGGCTGAGTAGAACCTGTCCATATTCTTATCCTCAAGGCCTAGGATTCATTGACTAAAAAATACATTTATTACAATTTAACGGACTTTTGACTCAGTAGTTTACCATTTTGTGCCAAATTAACTATGCCATAGTATATTGGGCCCCAAGGATACATCTTATTATCCTCAGTAGATTCCAAGGGAAAGTTGTAATTGTAATTCTATCCAATAAGCTTTGATCTTATGTTCATGAACCAAATCAGAAATTAGATTTATGTAGCAGTGTAGCACTGAAAAAGAGAGAGGAGATAGATGGTTTTGTATGACTTGGTCGACTTCATGATGTGGCATTAAAGGTTCACAATCATTTCCATCTGAATTGCCGATGCAAGTCGCACATGTAATTTTCTGTTGCAATAATGGTTACCCACTACTAGGGGCTTCACGTGCTATTATCTATGACATGAATTCCACTGCATATTGTTGTTGGCTTGACCTGATTGATAGTTTGCAAACCTCTAGTATAACAGTTTCCATAAGTTTTCTCTTTAATGTCTATTCATGTTTCCTCATGCCGAAATTGAATTGTGACTAGAAGAAATCACGTAGTCAAATAAAAAAGTAGTAGTATTTATTTTAGAAATGAATTTTATCATAATCATGCATTTCATTGTATTCTTTCAATGTGAACACTTCTATCTTTTCTTTTTCCTTTATATATTTTAAAAGGAACTGATTGGTCCGAACAATTTGGTTATTTTACTTAATCTCCTTACTTTCTGCTGCCGATTCATATATCCTACAGTTTTCTCTCAATTTGTGTCAGTGCTATATTATCCTTTTCTACAAATTGAATTTTATTGTCATCTGTACAGAGAATACAATATGCAAAGACCAAATCTGATGTAATAGCAAAAGCGGATGGTACTTTTGTTCCTAGGGAAAAACGTAAGAGGCATGATGACAAAGGTACAACACTCTTCAAGCACTCTATTCTTTTTATTTAAGGATGTTTCACTTAAAAATTTTAAACCCATAGGCCATGTGGGAACAAGAACAAAGAAAGTTATAAGTTCATCACTTAGGTCCCAAAGCACTTAATGGCCGACAGTGACAATATGATCTAATTGATGTCATGCAACTGTCTCCTCTTGAAAATCAAAGGACTATTCTGTTTCTTGGGGTATTGTCTCCCTTTGAAAATAGATTAGTCTTTTTCATGTAACCGTCACATGCCTATTATGGTTCAAATGGATTTCAGACTTTTGTAACTGATAATACTGAAGATGGAAAGTTCTAAGAAATGCTATATCTGACTCCAGTGCCTTCTTTAAGGCTCCTAAGGCATGTGTGATGGATCTTATAAATCACGTCTTTAAATAAATACATTATATAATAAGAAATTCCGTACTTGGAAGTGTGTCATTTTTATATTTTGAGTTAACTGTTGTGTTTCTGTCCACTAAGGACAGGGTTATTCTATACTTTTGAGCATTTTGGTGGATGTAACTCTTATGCTGAAAAGCTGTGTAGTATGGGCCATACAACTGTACATGTTTTGTGAGATACATTACATAATCAACAAACAACTTTATTGGAAGTAACCTTGTTATGTTCTGTTGCAGGCAAAAAACGGAAGGATCAACATGATGCTAATTTAGCCGGAATGGGACTAAATCCAGCTTATTCTGGTGCTTATGGTGCGACACCTACTGTAAGTTTTTTCCTGCTGTCGAGTATTTTCTTGGGGGAGGGGTTGTCAATCATCAATGGTCATGTGAAAGACCTACTAATATCCTAGTAATATGTCTCATCTAAATTTAGAACCTTTTTAGGGTTTTTGTCCTGTTTCGTAGTAATTTGTCTCTATCAGACAGGAAAGCCTTTTCTTTCTAGTTCGCTGGTTTACCTTTGAAAAATAATTTTGATTTTGCCTTAAAAGGAAAGAGAAAATGTTCTAGTAGAAAGTGAGATTGGGAGAGATTGTAATTATCTACAGAAACTATGAGATGATACATTATCTGTTTTAAAGCAAATAATTCAAATAACTGAAGCTTGAACAACCTTGTTTCATGTTCTTTTTGGTCTCCATTGTTTACTTAGTTCTATATTTGTTACATATGTCTTTTTAACATGGAAAGAGAAAATGTTCTAGTAGAAAGTGAGATTGGGAGAGATTGTAATTATCTACAGAAACTATGAGATGATACATTATCTGTTTTAAAGCAAATAATTCAAATAACTGAAGCTTGAACAACCTTGTTTCATGTTCTTTTTGGTCTCCATTGTTTACTTAGTTCTATATTTGTTACATATGTCTTTTTAACATGGAAACTATCACAGATACCTTATCCAGGTGGTGCAAAATCTATGGTACCTGAGGCTCCTGCACCACCAAATAACATTCTCTTTATTCAGAATCTTCCCAATGAGTCAACTCCCATGATGCTGCAAATGCTCTTTCTCCAATATCCTGGATTCAAGGAAGTTAGAATGGTTGAAACAAAGCCGGGAATTGCCTTTGTGGAATATGGAGATGAGATGCAATCCACAGTGGCTATGCAGGCGCTGCAAGGTTTCAAGATAACCCCACAAAACCCTATGTTGATAACTTACGCCAAGAAATAGATAGCGGTTTCTTGAACCTGTATGAGAAAGGCGGGAATCACATCCTCAGCATAGAGTTGTTAATCCATTTAATGCAGTGGTGTAATCTTAACTGGCATCTACAATTGGCAAAGCCTTGATTCGAGTATGATTGTAGTTACGGATAATTACTGTCATTTTTATACAAATATGTATTTATGAAATTGCTAACTAGTTCAAACATCTGCCGGGTGAAGTTCAGTAAGTGAGTACATGATGTCTTCCTTCCGCAAGTATACAATCATTTTGTTATCCTCTTGTGACGGGCCATCCCTGCTTAATTTTTGAAAATTTGGTGTTTCATTTGTTCGTACATCGGCCAAAAGAAGAGTATAAGGTTTAAAACTTTTCCAATGTCTAACATAAATTCTTAAAGCAGCCAATTTGGATTTACTCCAGTAAAATATCATGTAAGCACACGAATTACCAGTACTTTACGATTGTATAAATCAAACAACATATGTTCTTTGACTACATCAACCGTCATTTATTCACTGCATAAAATCCAAACAAGCTTTTTTATGCTGTACTGTCAAGTAAAGTAAGGTGATTATGAAAACTGCAAAATTAGGAACTGTATGTGTAAAATGTGCTTGGTAGCTTTACTTTCTCAATTAAATTGTAATAAGATTTGTTATACGAAAAACTTTTGTACTGGTATACCCTATGCAAGCGACGGGCATAGGGTGCCTTGATTCCAGTCCCATGTTCCGTTTTCTGGTCTCTACTCCATGGATTTTGGCGAATAAGGGCCATTTTTCTTACTCTGATATTAATTGGTTGCATTTCATTAATATGAGGGTTGGTCCGACTTGATGACCAAAATGATAACAGAATGAGGTAATTGATCCATACTGGCAATCTAACACAAGTCATTGTTCAAATGTGAATAGGTTCGGATTCGGAGCAAATAAGTGGCAAGAATTTTTAGGTTCTAACGTTTAATGGACAAGGAAGCAAACACTTTTTTGTTGGGTTGCTGTTCCTTTTCTGAAGCATATTAAAAAACACACATCAATTGCCGTAGAATTTTAGCCGTTTGGGAGCATGGTTGAGTCTCACATGTGTTTGAATAACAAGAGTGTATGACCAAATAAAGCTTTTACTCCATACCAAGCGTAAGATGCACACGCCAATATTTAAGTTTTAGATTTGACAATGATCTCATCAAGAATCTATGTTCTCCTTCCACAAGATAGAGAGCATGGCAATTTTGAAGTGATATCAGTCCAAGCCATTTTTTAAATGACACCAAAAATTTACTCTTCCTTACATTGACCTCATCAGCTCTTTAATGCATCAGACGCAAGCCTTCATGAAAAATTAGATATCCACTGTCACAGGCAAGCACCATTGCACTTTGTTTTTTTAACCTTTGCGCACATTTCAACTTATATGGCAGTGGACGATTCACCAAATCGAAATGATGACCGCGTAAGTGAGAACGTGGCCTATGTAGAAACTCCTCACTGATATATAACCCAAAGTCGCACGTCACAGATTCTCGCATGCTGTGGACTAGACTTCGCCATCTGCTATGAAAAACACGACTAGATATGCGTTAGAGGCAAATCCCAAGTGCATTACAAAGAAAAATGAGCTTTGAATTTGACTAATATCAACCCCAAACAAGAGAAATGCAAATTTATATACATAAATATAACATTTCTTAACCTTCTTAACCACACCGTGGCTGTGCTTGCTGAGTGTTAAGTTTGCCCTGGTGTGAAAGTTGTGTCCTTCAGAGGCAGTGTTCATTCATTGTTTACTTTTTCTTCTCCCGGGTATTAATGCTGCCTTTGAAATTGTTGTAGTCTACCCTCTGTTAAACCACCAAAAACTTTGGGGGAAAAGGTAAGGACCTATTACATATAGGGAATGATATCTACCTAGGGAGCCCCAACTTTCTCTAAAACTCCCACAAGCACACACATGCACTTGCCATACTCAAAAACTTGCACCCAACACGCAAAGCCTACATGCACTCATATTATTCTTCTCCCTCTCCTTGCACCATCCAATTCTTCTTGAATGGAAAAGGGCAACAAAGAATGGATGTGGGTCCCAAAATTCTTGATCCAAAGGCTTGCATTTGATTCAGTACAAGGAAGAGCTTGTCTCCTTGCTGCAGTGTGAACATCAAATGAATATAACAAAGTACTTGGTGGCTTTGTTAAAGAATACTCTCCTTAATGTGAACTTTGTTTATCTTTTGTAGTTAGCACTTCAGAAATAATAATGTTTCTGTGCAGAATTTTAGGTAGAGATTTTTTGCTGTTTACTTTGTCTATGAAGTTAAAGCAGCCAACACTCTAGTTGAGTTTCCTTCAATATCGCTACGTTTGTGTACTGGCATGGCATGATGGTAAGGTATGGCAGAGTTTTATTTTTTTAATTTTTCTACAGAGGAAGACCTGAATTTCACTCATTGTTCCTGCCAATGTCCTTATATGAATCTATTTTCTCTCTCTAAAGTTGTATCTATAAATATGAGCCTTTTTCCCCGTCTCTAGTTCAACTTCAACTTCAACTTCCACTACCGTTCTTAGGTGAAACTGCCCTTACTTACTGGTAGAGAAACTCCATGTTGGAGAAGCAGGGCACGTGCAAGATTCTTGGCTCTGAAATGTCACACAACCTTTGCACGTGCTCCCCTTCTCCAACAAGGGTTCCTCTCCTAACCAATTGTGTATATCACTTCATGAGGTAATTGTTTTCCTCCTATCTCCATTTGTTCCTACGTAAAGTTTTGCAATATGCATCTTTTTCTTCTTCAAGAAACTAGTTGAAGCACTTTCAAACTGATCCAGTAACTACAGATGAAAACCTATAAAAGGGATGCTACCATTTTCACTAATGACTACCGAGTAATTAGTAAATGTGTTTCATGACTGATAAACACCATAATATATAAAGGTGTTTCTATTATGTATCTACATTTTATTGCTGTCATCTCTATGTATATTATTTCATCAGATTCTGAACTTGAACATTGAACACCTTTAAGTTTACGAGTCTTGGAATGAAAGTTAAGGTAATGTAACTGAGTGCCAGACACAAAGCATACTATGGTGTGCGGAGGATGGGGTTTGTGTGGAGTGTAATGCATTACAAACTTGAACAAAACCACTGCTTCCAACTGTGGAGCAGCGCAACAAGGTTTGTGAATTGTGATCTGATCCAACTATTATAACTAGCTTTTTAAATTTCTAAAATTTGATGATATTTTATTTATGCAATCTTTGGTTTTCTTCCCTCTTTTCATTTGAACATTATTGCTACTTTGGCTTCAAAGGTAGTATTGTCATCGCTTCAGAAAGCAACAAGTCTAAACAAAACTTTGTTTCTCTTTTTTCGTCAAAGAAATTTCTAGAAAATTTGAATCTGCTAATATTTTTGTACAGGTTTTACACCTTTAAATTCTTTTTGTACCGTTTCAACCGCAAAACTCAACCATTTTAATAATTGTGTCAACAAAGGGGACAAAAAAAAAACTTAACTTATATAAACATATAATTTTTATATAGAAAAAAAGAGCTGTAAACTGAGAAAAAGAGGAAGAACCAAAAATCAATTAAACCTTATTTTAACATATTTTCTATACCACTTTCACAACACCCATTTTTTTTTCTATTTCTCTCATTTACATTTTATTTATACATATGAAAACAAACAAAAATAAAGAAGTATTATTCTGCATTGAAATTATGCATTGCATTTAGGTCAATAAGTCAACGCGGCAATCATTTTATCTAATTGTAGTCAATGACTTTTAAGAAATATATACATGGAAAGTAATTTTAGTACTACTTTTATATTTTATTTTATCAGAACATCTTTTTTAAACAGTAGTGTCTAATGTAGTATGTAAGAATATGAGTGGTTGTTTAAACACTTAAAAAATAATAAAAATAAATTTTATAGTTTGATTGAATTGTATTTGTGATATTATATTTATCCTTATTAAAATTTTAATTATAAAAATATATTTCTTTAAGTATGACAGAAAATTAAAATTATGAATATTAACAATCATATACAAAATAATTCACAACATATGATTTTATTTAACAATTTTTTATTGTGAAATACTTAATAGCAGAACTATAAAGACCGTACTTAGTAAATTGAGAACTATAAATAGCAGAAATTTTTTTGGGTCAGCCCAAACGGTTGGGCCTGGTAACAAAAATTCGGATGTAAAATTAGTGAATTACTTTTTTTACTAATTTTTTTATTGAAATCTTAAAAGATTCTTCTCTTCCGCTCCTATGACGTACATAGTTCTTGTAATTTCGTTTTTATCGCGATTTTACATTCATTGAATATTACTTTTAACCCATAAAATAAAAAACTATTAATATTTTGTATTTATTAGATAAAAACTAGATTAAAAATAAATATAAAAATATAAATTATTCGATCTAAATCGTATTTTTAAATATGAAAATGAATTTCAGAATACTTAATTCAAAATGTAGTTTTGAATTGAATATTTTAAAAATACATTTCAAAAATAGTTAACCCAAAAATTATGGAAATGTAAACATATTTTAACAAAAGATAAAATAGAATTTATTTAATTATGAAGTTCAGGAAAAAAATTATGAAAGTGAAAAAAGAAATCGACAAAATTCAACCTGGAAATATCATCAAATATCTACAGTTTTTTTTTATTTGACTAAACCGGTTTTAATAATAGCTTAAGTTACTCTAAAAAATCATTAATATTATCAATGGGGAATTTTCTTCTTCTTAATTACAGGTATAGCTTTCACGCATAATTCATTAATTTTTATATTAAATAACATAATGTAAAATAATATTATGCTTATGCAAAATTTTCAAGGATAAAACAGAATTAGTTTGATATAATTGGCTAATAAGTAAATTAATTGTTTTTCTTATCGAAACGTAAAAAAATACTAAAATATTAGGAAAATTTGAAAGTATGGAGAGAAATACGGAGAATTAATGGAATAATGATCAAAAGTACTTTAAAATTAAACACATGTTTACTTTGAAAGACCAAACACGAGATTTAATGCAAATGATATCCATCAATACAATAAATTTAAATAAAACATTTAAGGAGAACTTGGACCACATGTGGAAAAAAATTGTCAATGTCCAAAAGAATAAAGAAAAAAAATGTTATTAGCGTGGCAAGTTTATATGAAAAATATGGTATTTATTATAATACTAGGAGTTATATAAAATAAATAAAAATAATAATCATGAACACGAAATTATAATATTTTGTAAACCAATTAAAAGAAATGAATCTTATATACTTGAAAAAAAAATATTTTCATAAACCCTAATAGAAGATAAATTATTATAATGAAATTGATTTTATCATTTTCTTTTTCTCATAAGTATTTACAGAGAAGCATCTTTTTAAATTAAAGGAATTTTAAAAAATATCTTTAAGATTTGAATTTTTCCAATTGTTATACCTTTTTAGTACTCAATCATTAATTTTATATTTAATGATTATTAAAATTAAAAGTATAATAAACTTATTATACAAATTATTATGAAAGAGTAATATTATATTACTATAGTTTGTTTTTTTTTCAACTATTCTACTATCTTTAATATTAATGTTTAACCATTAATTTACATTTAATAATTATTAAGATTAGAACTATAAAAAATAATTATACAAATTATTACTAAAGAGCAATATTATTATAATTTGAATATTTTTAATTGTTCCACTTCTTCAATTTAAATCTCAAGAAATAATTTTATTCGTAATGTTATTAAAATAAATATTAAAAAAATTGATTATACAATTTGAAAGAGTAATATATTTCTTTAATGAGGTAAATGGAGAGGATCATGCTGTTCTCTTAATTAAAATAAAATTCTTAAAATTGATAAGCCTTTTTTAAATTACCAACATTTATAGCAGGAATTTGATGGTTAGAAATTGTGTGAGAATGAGGATTAGTATGACATCAGACATGACATAATACCCATTAATAATCATTTAATACCAATAAATGCAATCACAGACTGCAATGAATGGATGAACCCATTGCAAAGATCCTTTTCCATTGATAAAAAACACTATTCTAAAATGTTGTTTTTTCTCTTAATTCCCTGCTTTTAAAGATATCCTTAATTTATTAACATATAAAGAATAATAAATATCCAACATGAATAAGATAATTTTTAAATTTTATTTTGGATATAAATATATAGTTTATCAGAATCTCACTTTTACACTTTAAGTTTAACCATGATAAAAACAATTTTAGAACAATAATACTAATTATTGAATAATTTATTATTTTAAACAAATTTAATTGTTTTGGAAAAACGATATACGCAGGTAAAATAAAGTTACTACAACCCAGGAAACACTGGTGACCACCCTTTGAGACAAAATGCAATCAACAGATGAACCCAGTAGGAGACAAAACCCCACATTTTTTTCTGCATTATTATATTCTTAAATAAATTGAAACCAAATCTTGCTTCGGGTTGCGCAAAAACTAAATTCTATCCTCAAATTGTGACCCAGTTGTGAAGTTTGCTCATAATTATGTATTGGTTGAAGTGAAGAAACAAAAGTCATTTTTGATTGGGATGTTGAGCCATTTGAGTTTCTTCTTTTCCTTCTTCTCTTATCAGGAAAAAACTACCCACTCACTCTTAAATATAAAAATAGTTTTTTTTTGTAAGAAAAATAAATCTAAACACAGATTTATCTCCATCTGGAAAAAGGGTTTTTGATTTAGAAGTTGTTTCTTTTGTAGAAATTTACTACATATATAATTTGAGATCATAATCACTATATCAACCAATACTTTTGAATCATTCAAATTATATCAAGATATTAATTAAAATAACTTAAAATGATATATGGTTGTATAATTAATTTTAAATAATGTCCTTTTATTGAATTGATTATATAAGTCACGAGTTCAAGATAACATGATTTTTATTTGGATAACAAATATTAAACGATGGATTATGTTTCCAAACGCAATCACAATTAATTGATTTTTGGATGAATATTAAAATGACTTGAGTTTAACTAAGGATATAATGAAATAAATATCACAACAACTAAGAATATACATAAATTGAAATAAATGACTTTAGTCATTATAAATGTCATAAAAGGGAAAAAAACATTTTTCTTTTCATAAATTAATATATAGAATTTTTCGTATAACTTCTCGAAATTCTTATTTTAATTTATGTATAAGTTGATTTAAACTCATTCAAAAATACATTTTATTCTATTTTTATTTTTAAAAAATGTTTATGAAGAGATTTGTCTAAACAAACTCATTAATACAAAATTTATATGCATCTTATTAGAAGGTACAACCTACCTTTATAAAAGTTGGAACTTTTTTCATCTACAACCTACCTAATTAGAAGGTAACTTTATGATAGTCCTATTAAGGTGTTGTATATTAATGTCTTGCCATGTAATTTCAAAGTTAATCTTAACCCATTTACTAATTCTTAAAAAAAGTAAAAAAAGTTTACTTTGTTGAATAGGGAGAGATACACATACTGTACTCATATTTGAGTTAATGGTAATCAACATGTGGAGCCTTTTGCACGACCAGATAGCAGAAGATACTGAGAAAGAAGGAAAAGATAACGCAGGAGTCCCTTTTTTCAAGTTTTTGTTTCCCTTAATTGTTCCATGTTTTTATCTTACGTTGTTTGTATGTCATACATGAAAACCACCTTATTCCTAAGAAGAAATAAACAACATTTAATGTTGTTTGTAAGAACTATTAAGATTGTTTTGGTATTATGTTCATGCCACGGTTAATGAGCTTATGTTCGTCTATGTCATAGTGAATAACCGAAAGACAAGTCAAAGTCCACCATTTTCTCCATGACAAGGCGAGACACGCTGAAGAACAAAATTAGAGTGGTAGAATGCTTTGTTCATAACAACAAATTGAGACATGCTGCTGTTTTTTCTGTACCAGACTAAAAGACATATCTTAAACTGCATTGTAGTATTGTGTATGAAGGTAATATGGTATAAGTAATTGAACTTGATCTTGAGCATGTCAAGTCTGGAAATTAGTCTTACAATTACAAATTAGTATCATGTTTAATCGTATATTACCATCTTTTACCAATTAACCAGTTAAGCATAGTCTGTGGCTTCGTAGAACTTGCTAGTAACTTACTAGCTAGGCCTGCCATACGTTCTGAACGTAAGCCTATGAATAAACTTAAGCCCAAACGTGGTTTCGGAGATGACACAATTAAAGCTGGATGTGAAAATGCATGAAACCCTATCTAGGACCTGTCAGATTCGTGTTTGAACAATGTTTCATAGGGCACTTAAAAACCATAGCTATACCAACAAAAAAGGTATGGTTAGGGCTCCACTGTGAAAAGTGAAAACAAATACAGTTATATGTTCTTGAATCGTGCTTGTCGTACAACTTAACCTAAACCTAAACAAGACTTCAATTCAATCAACTCTGAGTGTGATGATGATGCATTTCACTCCCCAGTTAGTTGTTGTGTGCTTGATTGGTTACTTACCATCCAAGAACCCACTTATAACAGCGCATATTAATATTTCACGTGTTTTACGCGCATACGTAAGAGGTAAAAGACGCGGACCCAAACACGCGCTTTCTGGTAATAAACACGAGTATTAGCATGACATCAGGCATATGGTCTTAAGGGTCCACCCAACAATACCAACAAATAATCATTTAATTTCCAAGATAATAATAAATGCAAGCACCGACTAAAGAATAAACGAAGAAGGAGATGAATCCCTTTAAACTGAAACACAATTACTTTACTTGCTACATTCATTCTCAAATTCTCAACATCACAAAAATACTTCTTTTGTTTCCTAAAAAGTCATATTAGCATCGGGATGCAGCATAGCTTCAGGTTAAAAGACATGTGCAGTCTCATGAAACGCAAGCCGCAGGAACCAGACACTTGGAAATGAAACCCAGCATTTTCTTCTGCACATGCAACAAAGTAAAAAATATAGACAAAAATCGTGAATTGTATTTAGATTGAAACACCACTAAAATATAATAAACAAGAAAATAAAAAACACTAGGTGACTAACGCGCTTAGTTGTGCGAAGTAGCTCTGGAGGGATCTTGTAGAGATCTTCATCGACAGGTTTGGGAGGTCTCACGGCACGAGGTGGCGGAGAGAGCGGAACGGCGTCGTGTAGATGCATTTCTTTCCTCACTGGCTTCCTTGCCTGTTCCGTCACGTCGCACACTTTTCCCTGCTTCCTCATGTTCACCTTCACACTATCTTTTTCGTTATCCTTGACCATAACCTGCGCACACCTCCTTTCCCTGTTCCTTGTCGCCTGTGAAAAGTTTTAACCATGGAGTTGTTTTCTTTGCCCGTAACAAATAAATAAAAAAACAAAACATAAAGTATAAACAAACATGTGGTTTCAGGTTTCATGTCCTGTCTCAACCACCGCATTATTAACCATGGGTCACCGTGATGCGCATTTATGTACCTAGTACCCCAAACATGGCAGAGAAAGAAAATGCAAAAGCAGCACAACTTTTATTTTACACTTTATTATAGTATAATGGAATAATAAATATTTTAATTAAGGTAAAAACACTACAGTGAGTAATGATTGTGGAGGTTGGATTGAACGGTGAAAATTAGGAAAGAGTACGAAAACAAAATAAGGTAAATTAAGGAGAAAGGAGACCTTTTTAACAGTGGATGGTGGCATGTTCCGAAGAGGTTTCTTAAGATCAACGGCGTAGAGATCGCGATGGGGACGCACGCAAGGGTCGCTTTCGCCGGAGGAGGAACTGTAACGAACTAAACCAGCTTGTCTGGCAGTCTCGAAGTACTGGGTGATTGGCAACTCATTTGCGTAATCCCAGTTTCCAAACGCAGGTATTTGCCCGCTCCTCTTGCATTCCTGTCAAATTAAAAGCAATCATAGCGCAGTTAATTCATTAATTAATTAATTGGATGATTAAAGCACATCCATCCATAATGATTACTGATCTGAAAAACATAAAGGGAAAGTGGAACAAGGCTTACATCCATTTTTGGCTGCTGAAGTAGAAGTGAGAACACAAGGGCACTGGTTGTTCTTGTGTTGTTTTGTTGTGTGCTGTGTCCTACAAAATAAGGTTGGGGTGGGGTTGGAGGAGTGGTGGTTTGAACTATAAAGGAATAATGAGGGCAGAAGGGTTAAAGAAAAGACAGGATCCGTAGGGAGGGGCTTCCCGATGAAACCTCAGACAGGGATATAAATTCCCTGGTCAGACTTTGGAGGAGAGAAAAAGAATCTGAAAAGTGAAAAGCAAAGGAGGGCAGAAGCACAGGGTGGGGTTAAGTTAAGATAAAACCTTTTTACCTCCTTTCTTCTTCTTATCATAAAAGAGGATATAGAAATTAATGCAGCAACTTGACAAGAAACGAAAAACGGGGCCTAGGTAGGCATTTTGTTCCCTCTACTACTGTGAGGCAATTGGTGGAGAAAAGAAATAGAAAAAGAAGGAAGGAGTTTTGTTGGTGTTGGTGTGGTGGTTGATGGGAAAAGGAAAGAGGGAATTGAATGAGGAATGTGAAGAAGGGTGATGGAGGGATGGGGAAAGTGACTGGTCGGTTGTGATATGGAAGGGTATGTAGCTAGATTTGGGGAATTTAGAAAGCGAGTGAGTGTTGCTGACAAGTAGGTGGGTGTTACTGTTGGCAAGTATGACCAATCTGAAAAAGGTTTAGAATTTCAAATGCTAATGGCTGCTGCCTAACTGTCACTGTTGACTCTCCTCTCCTCTCTTCTCTTTACTTCTCCTCTCTTCTGCACCACTTTGCCATTATAAACCATACCAATGCCTATGGCCCCCCACCTCCTGTCTCTGCGCCAAACTGGCTAACAAAGTCGCCAAAACTTTTCTATGCAAGTAAAAAATAAAACCTTTTTCTTTTGGATTGGATCTTTTTATTTTCTTTCTCCATGCCGGATCTCACGCATTTGTTTTATCTATGCCACTGTACCCTTTTTCTTATTGTAAAATAAAAAGGCTCTTTGATATCAGATTTCCTTCTCTGTATTCCTAAATATTTTGTCAAGTATATGTTTTCAAACCAGAAAAAGGCGAAAACTATAATAAATAATGGAGAAGAGAGATAAAGAAAGAAACCTTTCTCTACCATAAATTTTGATTAGAGGGTAAAGAAAAACGAGGAAGATTGGACGATGGTGAACAGCATAGAGTGTACAAGTCAGCGAAGAAAACGGATGTGGTGAGACAAGCTTTGCAGAAAGAAAGCATAGTCAAACCAAGCAGCAATGAGTCAAACACGATACTAGCATAGGTTACAAAGGACCACTATTATACTACTATTATCACCACCCATTTTCCTCCATTTACATCAATTATTTCTTTTTTTCATTTCAAATTCACTACTCAATTTAGTTTATTCACATGTTTCAGTTACTTTCAAAACTTCAAGACTTTCACACATTATTTGATGTCTATCATTCAAGGAAAACTTTAATGATTTTTAAAATAGTCACTATAGATATTAATAAAATTTATTGCATATAACCGTTTGGGCTTGTGTTTTTTTATTCAGTTTAAATTATTTTTCTCAATCAAATGTGACGGAAAAATGTTTTGGAGGAGAGGATGTGATAAATTATTTTTATTAGAACTAAGTATATATAATAAAATTTTACATCTACTAAAAATATAATAAAATTATAAAATATAAATGAGTATTTTAAGATTGAATTAAATATTTCTTAATTTATAAAATAATTTTAAAATTAATTATAATAATATTAAAACATAAAAAATCTCGTATCCACTAAAAATATAACATATAAGTAGAACTAAATTTCATTTATTAAATCAATTTAGACATTTCACCATTCATAATAAAATGGTTGATATGATGAATCATATTTGAATATATTTTATAGAATAAAAAAATATACTAATATTTTTAAGGTAATAAAATCATAAAAATACTATTATATTAAAAAATATGAATTATTTTTATTTTTATTGGTTGTCTCATTCTCAACAACATTACTATTTCTATTAATTATTATTGAAATTTTTTTAAATGAAATTAATTGTAATTTTAAATATTATAATCTTATTCAACGAAGAAAAAATAATAAACACATAAAAGTCAAAGTAAAAATAAAAATATTAAATTTTGCAAATAAATTTATTAATATATAGCTTTGACGTGATGTATAATAATTTCATTAAATGCATAATAAATTATATTAAAAATCATAAATAAAGCTAGTTTTACTTGGTTGGTAATTATAGTGTTTTTAAAACTTTAATTTATCATAACTAAAGAAATTAATTACTTACTTTAGAATCGATAGTACAATCTCAAATGGCGCGTGAGAAGAAGAAAAAAAAAAAAAGGAAAACGTTGAAGACAAATGTCAAACATTGAGGTGTAACGGAAAGAGAATTTTGTCAAAGGTTAGATAGAGATTTTGAGAAGAGTACAAAGCACGGTGTGGAATGGAAATGCCAAAAGTAACAAATCCATCGTGGTGCTCGTGAAATGATTTATTATCCCAAGTTTGACTTTCCCTTACTAGTTTTCAACTTAGAAAATTATTTTGTTACACTTTAATAAAAACAAAGAGTAAAACGCACGTCTTGATTAATAAATTAAAATTTAATTTCACTTAAAAGTTAAACCTACCACGTAGGGATGGCAATTAAATCCGTACCCGTGGGAACTGACTCGTCCCCGCCCCGAGTTTGACGAGGAAACCCCGAATTGACCGGGGGCGGGGTCGGGTTCGGGTTTTCCCGCTTTAAAAAGTCGGGGACGGGGCGGGATGGGTAATGCAATCCCCACCCGACCACGCCCCGTCCTCGCCCCGACTTTATATTTAAATTTAAATTTTAAAATATTAATATTTTAAAAGTATTTCATTTTCTTTTTCTATTACATATAAGGTTATTTTTTTATATTTCACCAATTTTTATTTTTCTTCTACCCACTTTTTAATTTTTTTTATCTTTCTCAATCTCTTATATCAATTAATTTATTATATTATTCTCTCCCTTATCTTTCAGCTTTTCACATTTTCTTAGTCTCTTCCATCAATTTGTTTTTTTTTCAATCTTTTCAACCAATTTGATGAACACAAAGTTAATCTTTTTTCTTTATCTTTTTCTAAATATTTTACATCAATCTTAGTAGTAACTAATATTAGTTTATTTATAATTTATATTTATTATGCCATATATTTTTTATCTTATTATGCTTATTTATCATATATCAAATTTTATCTTAATAAAATAATTGCATTTTAAAGGATTAAAAGAAATTAATAATTTAAACTTTTATTACTTCAAACTAATTAAATAAGAATTAACTTATTAAATATTTTCTTATAAACTATATATTGACAACTTAAAAATGAATTAACTTATATGTATAATTAAATTTTTGAATACAGTATTATAATAATAATGTTATAAATATTCAAATATTTGAATACAGTGTTATAATAATAATAATAATAATGTTATAAATATTATATATATATATATATAAATAAAAAATAATTAAATATTTCTTTTACATATATATTTTAATATAAATATAATAAATTAAAATGTATATTTAATTAATAATAACTATAAATTATAAATATTTATTTATATATAAAAATACATAGTAAAATTAATTTATTATAAATATAATTATCTTTTTAAAAATAATATAAATTGGGGACGGGCGAGGCGGGAACCGAAACCCAGCGGGACGGGGATGGAGACTTAATTCCTAACCCCGGCGGGAATCGGGGGCGGGGACGGGGATGGTTAAAAAAGTCGGGGGCGGGGACCGCCCCCGCCCCGCCCCGTTGCCATGCCTACTACCACGCACTTACAATACCAATGCATTCATAGTAACCAAACCAATAAACCATAGCCAACACAAAAGTGGTGGCGGCAACTGGGTTCGTGCGGATATAACCATGGAAAATATGTCTCATTTCACACTTTTTCTCATTCCTTAATTAATAATTTATTAGTGTATTTTCAAAGTGAAGTCTTTGGTATTGAAAAAGAGTGAGAAGAGGAACAGCACATGACATGACATGCGAAAATGAGGTTGAAAATGTGGTTTTTCTTCCATAATACGACACATATGTCCCCTTTCTCACATCTCATTATTTTTTGATCCACAACTGAAAAACTAAACTCGTGGCAATCACGTGACCATCCCCTCTATGCATGCGTAATTGGTGGAATTGGATTTGGATGTTCTCACAGTAATGTGCATCGGGCAGTGAAATTATGCCACTCTCATTCCTAACACCAAATTCATTCATTTCCGTGTAACATTTCTACCACCGCTTCAACTGCATCGTAATTACTGTGAGATAATTAACAGTTTGGGATAGTGACTGTGTTTAAGTTGGACTTTAGGCCCAAGACAATTTGGGTTGACTATTCCTTTGTGATCCATGTTTTGAGCCACACCTGCATTTCTATAAATTCATATGTACTCTCATTAACTCATAACTTCTACTATGCATAATTTGCATGTCCTCTACTTTTCAAGAAAAATGAACTGATATTATAAATGCCTTGAACACAGAGAAAAAGTCATTCAAAAGAAAAATGTTTAATCAACCGTATCAAAAGTTTCGTTGCAACAAAAAGGATATTTGCATTATAAATTTTTCAACACATTTGATAACTGAGAAAAAGAAATGAAATTACAAGTTGTAATAAAGGATGAGATATGGAAAATAATAAAGGCAAAATGAACATACTTTAAGTTAATGAATTAGTAATAAAAAAAATAACAACCAATTAAAAGTTAGGGTTGATATGACCTTAAGAAAAATAGAATAAAAATTAACAAATTAATGATTACCTGGAACAGGAATATTAATAAAAAAGTGATTTTTTTTTTTGTTATTTCAATGGTTTGGGAAAGAATAACGGATTGAAGAGGGAAAAAGGTTAACGTTGAGTACATAGAACAAGCCAAAGCCACAACTATTAGCTTCTAAATGGGACATGTCAAGTGTGTATATATAGATAAAACACGCTATGAACCTGTGCAAATACAATTGTCTGAATATATACAACAATGATAAATGCAGTGACATATATTTGAATATTCGTTAGTATATGTCAACTTAAAAGCAATGATTACGGAGGAAGGACACCTAAGCCCATGCATATTATATATAGTGAATGAATAAAAGCAAGTAGAAAGTTAAGATGATCAAAAAGATTTTGATGTCAACTTATCTTGGAGGACATGGTTTTCAGACTCATCTCAGTTTCCTTATGGGCAAGGCATTTCCAAAGAGCTTTCCTACTTCACTGGCTTCCATTTTGAGCCCATTAAGTATCTCCATTTCTTCTTTTGAAAGCCCTTTCAAGAAATTTTCCTCATCTTCTTGAAATATTTTGAAACCTTCAGCCAACTTCTGAAACAAAGTGACCTCCTCTTTCCCCACCTCTTCTTCTAGCTGTTCAACTTCCCTCACAATGGTCTCCTCTCCTTCCTCTACCTTTTTTTCCAACCTTTCCACCAGGGAAGGCTCTGGTCCACATGTGTTATCTGTCTTGATGAACTTGCTAAAGTCTCTTCCCACACTCTTAGCTGCTCTTTCAAGTTCAGGAACTATAGATTCTGGCAAAACTGCACTTCTTGTGTACACAACAGCACCTCCATAACCATCCCATGCATCGTTTCTGCCTCGGTAGTATACAAATACGTAGTCATCTGGTTTATTCTCAATCTTTGATGACAAAATATACCTGCATATATATGTCATTGTCAGCAAGTTCAGTAAGTTTACACAAGACCCCTAATCCAAATACATTACAAATGTGAAATGATTTAAGGTGTGCACACGTGAAAGGAATGGCAACATGTATGCTTTTTCTGAACTTGGGAAAGTAACATTTACTTCCTTCAAACACTTGAATCTCATCTAAATAGCTTACACGCAGTGTGTGTGGTAACTACTATTTGTAACATTTCATTGCACCCCTCTAATTACTTTACGTGGTCTTGGTCTTGATCGATTAGTACTATCACCAATTTGAATTATAGGACTAAAGCGTTTAAACTCTGCTTTGAAGTTGAACCTCATGTATTGGCCGTGCATGCATGGCATACTTTTGCAATTTTAGTATATAAAATTTAAGCTTAACCCAAATCGGGCAAATGAGGTATCCTTGAAAAGCTTATTTCATGGACTTGTAGTTGCACCGTCGTTTATGCATTTTTTAGTTTCTTCTTTGGTGATTGCTATGGAGGTCTAAATATTTGGATTCTGGCACTTGTTTTTAATTCTATTTTGGATTCAAACATCCCTTTCTTTTCTGAATTTGTTTGCAAGCATGATTATGCCTGAACTAACTCTGATTGGGTCTCGAAATTCATTTCAGAATTTAGTTTCTACAGGCTAGACCAACAAATTTGTTGTCTAAGTTAATTGGATCATTATTAAATCAATGGTGTTGCCAATGCAAATTGGTGTTGTCATTCATTGATTGAATCAGAGGAGATTTTACGGTAGATAATTCAACTATTAACAATAATTGGATCTAGAATAAATTTAGTGATCTAATGAACTCCACCACGTGTGTGAATTACTGAATTTCTTAAGTTGAGCTTCATATCACTTGCTTGAATTTTTATTTAAATTTTGTTTGCTGAATTTTTATCTACTTATAATGATCACAATCCCTTTTCTAATTCCCCTAACTTGATAGAGAAATTCAATTTGGTCAATGGAAGAATGACTTAGGCTGTGCCTTACACTGCAAGTAGGAAGCTGATTTTATTTTGGCTGCAGCATAACACTCATGTAGAAGTAGTTGCCGACAACTAAACATGTCTAGCTATGTAAAAATTGAAAAAGAGAGCTTATGAGTAAGAAATTACCAGTCATCTTGATAGTGAAGGTACTCGTTGTCATGATTGTAGAGGATTCCAGGATAGGAAGGATCTTGCACAAATTTCTGCACAGCGGACCTAGTAAGAAATCCAGCATCTGGAGTCCGTACCCTCCATGACAAATTACCCACAAGCTTGTTGGATTCTGTGTGAAATTCATGTAATTGGCAGTCAAAGGTATCAAAGGTAGGATTTAAGCCACTAGTGATGAACCACTTGCCACTGAAATCCGCAATGTTGAAGCTATTAACAAGGACACCAGGATTTGGAGCAGGAAATTCTCCCACATCAGATTTCTTAGGTACGCATTTCTTCCTTGAGACTGCACACTCATTGAATTCATCAACCACACTGTTTTCAAACAGGTCCCCACATTTAATCTGACAAAAATTAGGAAGAAAAAGAAGCTTCCATAAGCAAGTTTTGGAGACAAGAAAAGTGATGCAGGCATGAATTACATCTAAAGCACAAGACTAACTTGGCATTCAGTCTCATCAGGTCGATTGTTGCAAGTTTGGAGACAAGCAATATTGGCAGCACAAGATGGGTTTGAAAGACACTTAGCCAGTTCTAACCTGCATATACAAAAGAGCATGAAATCGGAGGCTATTGTATAACTTTCCATCATACTGTTAAGGTGACATGCAAGGTATATACGTTATTATGGAAGAACAAGCACAAGAGAAAGAGATATGGCAGACCTGCAATCCTTCAGTAAGCAAGTACAAGTTTTAAGAGCATCAACAGCATCAGCTGATGGAATGATCATTAGCATGGATACCAATATGCCAGATACTGCCATAATGCGTAAATTATTCCAATTCCAATCTTTGAGAACAACAAGCATTCGTTCTGCCACAAATTTGAATATCTGCTTCTATCCAAACAACGGGTAAAGTAAACTCAGAACATGAACATTGGATATAAAGGTGTTATCTTTAGGAACAAAATTTCAACTTTCACAAAAGGGAGAAGCATGATTGCATTAATAACGAAGTAGGATAACAAAGCAGCAGTTACTTACCCGCGGTATTTGTGTAGTGGTGGCAGAAGAATAATCTTTCCCTTGGTAGTGTTGCCTCCTCAAACTACAATAAGGTCTTAACAAGCCCAAGCGTGTTGGCTTTCTGGCGGTGGAAAACACTCTGAGCACTACCACACGAGGAGCATATTTAAACAACTCTCTTGTTCTGAGAAACCTTAAATCACCTCTAACCGTAAGACTTGATTTTATAGATACATGGGGAGTGCCTGTGCCTTCCCCATGAGATAACGGCATTGAATGTGCACCCCACGTTGCCATTCATACATATAATAAAACAATAATATATGTATGTGTACGTCCTCACCTCCAAATGCAATCTGATATCCCCAAAAAAACGGAGCATAAATCAGCAAGATCAACAGCATATAATTTAGATAGCAGAGTGATAATCATGCCCCAAAATGGTATGTTATAAACTCTAATATAAAAGGAAAATATATTGAATACCCAGTAGTTGTCATCTGTCAAGTTGCAAAATTTAGGTAATATATAGAAAAAGTAATAGTAATTGAGAGAGCAGAAGAACGATTTAGAATGAGCAGAGTGTGAAACATGCCTTGCGGTGTGTATGAGGCGAAATGCAGGTACAATGAATGAAAAAAAAAAAGGAATAAGAGAATGTAAGAAGAAGAAAGAAGTGGAGGCGTAGCATAAGATGAGTTCCGGGATGGGATGAGATAGATAAGAACATGATGGTGTTCGTGTGGCCTGCAAACATACCCGTCACTGCTGCACTCTGCAACCACAAAGCACACGTCCTCGCTTCAATTTGCTTCCAATTTTCTTGCAAATGGACTCAATGTTCCTAGTCCAATACCTTGTTTCAAGGCCCACTTCATAATATCACAAAACAAAAAATAAAATATTTTTTCTATTTATGAGTATCTCTTTCAATAAAATATTACCGACAAAACAAGGAATTTAACCTAAAAATCAAATAATATTGTCGGTGATGAAGGATTTTTTTTTTTTTTTCAAACTATGAAAACAAATTTTACTATATTTAGAGAATTAGTAAACAAGTTTTTTTTTAGTTAACCTAATCTAGTAGGCAGAAATGTTATTCTACCAATCAGAGACAAACGAAAAATCTGATTCCTATCGAATCAAAAGAAAGAACTTAGATGGTAAAATACGAAACATGGTTGCTTAAAAAAGAACAGGTAGTGCATGTAAGAGGCTTAGAAACATTCGGTATAACACATTCTTTTGAATTATTTAAAACTTATTAAAATATTTTTTTTAACTTCTATCTTATGTATAATTATCTTAATTTATGATTTTATACTTTTGAATAAATTTTAATTAATAATAAAAAAATGTGCTAGCAGATATGTGATTAATATTTTCATGCGTGTAAATCACAAGACAAACAAGAACATAACTAATCCTTGATCACAACATCTTTTACAACTATTGGTGGGTAAACCCTTGTGATTTTCGTTCATTGATAACTTGTTGGGCGACACTGCATGTATTTTGTTGATTTTCTCTTTAAACTACTATAGAAAAAGAATTTACTTATTTTTAAAGAACCAGAAGTAGCTGCATCATAGGAAACAAAGTTGACAAAAAGAGAGTAGGATAAATTGGATAAGGCAGAAGGAAGAGTATATATTGAGAAGTGTTATTGTGAGATAAGGAAGAGGTTTCCCCATGATACTAATCCATTTAAAAGTGAAAGTGCATCATGAAAAGTTAGAAGGAAAATAGAACTAATAATTTTTAACTAATTTATTCATTCAAAGTCATGCTTAGTCGGCTAAGGGGCATCAGAATAAGATTAAAAAATATGTGAAAGGTTACAAGCTATAAAAGTTGGAGATTAAAGCGAGGCATAGAACACAAGCTGTAGTCTGAGGGGAGTATGGGAGCGAGAATATCAACATCTATAACGATGTTCACGATGAAAATTGACACTATATCTTCTCTATTCCATACTTCTCATGGAAAAATTTTGGTTGCTCTGCCATCAACGTTACGCTGCTTCACAATGGGCTGACTTTGTTTCCGTGAAGAGTATAAGAGCTTTACTTTGGACATGAAAACAAACATCCACTTACCTCGCCACCTTTTTTTTGCATTTCTTATTCTTACAACATTCCCACACCTCGTATTGCCTGCAACCGATGATCCACAAGGTCAAATCTTTTTCCCTTCTCTTTTCACTCTTCCCATTACTAGTTACTCTTTTCTTCTGCATGTTTTATGCTTTAGTAATTTAGACATGTCATAATACATTGATCCTATTTTGTCTAAATATGTTATCGAGAAATACAGCCAAATCTAATTAAACTCATCTTAGATTAGACAATTGAAACCAATAGGGTAAGTAAGTTCAGAAATTAAAACATAGATTGGAGGCATGGAGTTGTGGAAGATGTAGTGCTTACTAGTATCTACGTAACTTGCAGGTTATTAATTTCTGTCATAAATAGTAATACAACTACCCTGTCACGTAGAAATTAGTTGGTGTAGATCATACGATAAATTTCAACCAAGTGATCGACAGAAATTTGAGTAGCCTTGCAAAGTTCTAGATTCAATGCTATCCTTGGTACAGGTTCATGTGTGCTGAAGTTCAATACAACCCAATATGTGGCATTTGATGAGTGCAGCGATGTGAAAGAGAATATATACTTGTGGGGTGAGGATGGGTTCCCGACCTCATTGTGCTGTCGAAATGCTCTCACGATTTTGTCCAATGCGTTGGCCTCACGAGCACTGAGCTCAGGAGGACAACTGTTCCTTTCCCAAGATCAATGGCAGAGTTGCTCTCCGCCATTTCACCCGCAACAAGGGATGTCACTTGATTCATGTGGTTTTGACAACTTGTACCGAGGCAGTTCCATATGCTCCAACTTCATTTTGCAGGATGTTATGAACCTGCAACAGTACCAAGACGCATTGAGCCAGTGCTCCCACTTCGACCAACGTTTTGATCAATCTTGTGCAGATTGCACCAGAGGAATATTGAGCGTGAGAGATGCTTTATATTATCAAGTGGGCAAAAACAATAACGACACTGACAGAGCCATATGCGGGGTAGCAACTATTGTTGCTCTTGCAGCTGGGAGACCAAACGATCCTCTCGTTGACAAATTCTTACGATGCTTGCAACCTTCAGCTTCAGGATCAGACAAGAGTAGCCATCTCTACCATTCTTATATTTTGAACTTGTAAACATTTTACTTTTGGTTTTAGTTGGAATTTTGACCCAATACTGATAAAAAATGTTTTTGGGTTCCCAGGAGGATCTTTGTGGAAACCCTTGCTGAGTGTGCCAGTAGTTGTGGTTACAATATTGCTTGTGGTTATTATGGTCAAATGTTTGTCCAAGAAGAAGGGTCGTAGACAGGTTGATTTGAAAGAGATCACTGCGTGGTCTGGATTGTACTGGTTCTGCAAAAGGGAAATTGAAAATGCCATGAATTATAGTGGTCGAAAGATAAGCCTTGGACGTGGAAGTGCAGGGCAGGTATATAGAGGCGTTCTACCCAGTGGTCAAATCGTGGCCATCAAGCATTTAACAAAGAGTAACACCTCTGAGTCTTTCACCCGAGAAGTTGAAGGCCTTTCAAGGCTTCGCCATCCAAACCTGGTTTGCCTCTTTGGGTGTTGCATTGAAGGGGATGAGAGATATTTAGTCTATGAATTTTGTGCAAACGGGAATCTTGCTCAACATCTCTTACGTAATGTCCTCTCTCCCCTAACACTTTACTCTTCATCAATCATTTGACAATGTGCACAATTAATGACTTTTGTAGACAAACAATTATCTAAATAAAACACTATGTATATTATCACTTGATATATTTGCAATGAGTGATGCATGGTCAATTTATAAGCCCTTTGGATATGGCCTCTCAACTACATTCATTTAATACAACTACTACCTTTCAACTACATACATTCAATACAACAACTACCTCTCAATTACTACCTCTATAACCACTACCTCTCAACTACATGCATTTAATGTTTACCTAATAAAATTCCCCCATAAACTTAAATGCTTTTCTTGTCCTTCATTCCAAGCATCTTCTTGTTGTTCTCAAACAGAGTGGTTGACAGAGGCTTCGGGAATATATCTGTAGCTTGTGTTCGGGTTCCGACGTGCTCTAACCCTACATTTCCTTCTTTCACTTGTTCTCGGATGAAGTGAAATCGAACATCAATATGTTTGCTTCTCTCATGATTGACTGGATTCTTTGCCAATTCAATGGCCGACTTGTTATCAACTCGAATCACAGTCCCTCTTTCTTGCTTCAACTCCAGCTTGCTTAGAAGGTTTCTAAGCCAAACTGCATGACAGACACTCCAGGATGCTGCAACGTACTCGGCTTCACAAGTTGACAATGTTACAATGGACTGCTTTTTTGAAAGCCAGGTGAATGCTGTGTTTCCCATGAAGAATACATATCCAGACGTGCTTTTCCGGTCATCAACATCTCCACACCAGTCACTATCCGAGTAGTCTACTAGTCGATAATCATCCGTCCTAGTATACATTAGGCCAAGTGACATTGTTCCTCTCACATACCTTAGAATTCTCTTTAGTGCCTTCCAATGAGTATACCTTGGCTCCTCCATATATCGACTTGCTATTCCAACACTTAACATTAAATCTGGTCTGGTATTTGTAAGATACCTAAGACTTCCAATCAGACTTCGGTATTTGCTCGCATCAACTCGGTCTCCATCTGCATACTTAGAAAGTTTTGTACCAGGTTCCATAGAGGTGGAAACCGGGTTGCAACTTGTCATCTTAAACTTCTTCAAGATCTCCTCAGCATACCTTTCCTGCGACACAAAGATGTCATCCTTTCCCTGAACAACTTCTAAGCAAAGAAAATACTTCATAAGACCCAAGTCAGTCATCTCAAACTCCTTCTTCATCACTTCTTTAAACTCTTCAATTAGCTCGGCATTATTCCCCATGAAGATAAGATCATCAACATATAGGGCAACAAACATCACATCTTCTCCTTTCTTCTTTATGTATAGAGCATGTTCATAAGGACACTGCTCATATCCATTCCTTTTGAAGTAAGTGTCAATTCTTTCATTTCATGCTCGTGGAGCTTGTTTCAAGCCATAAAGTGCCTTCTTCAATCTCAGCACTTTCTTCTCTTCTCCTCTTCGCATGTATCCGAGTGGCTGTTCAACATATACTTCCTCTTCCAAGATTCCATTCAGAAATGCCGACTTCACGTCCATCTGCAAGATTGCCCATCTGTGTTGAGCTGCTAAGGAAATCAGCAACCTAATTGTTTCCATTCTCGTCACTAGGGCGAATACTTCGTCATAGTCTATTCCTTCTTTCTGCTTGTACCCCTTCACTACGAGTCGAGCTTTATATCGTTCAACTTTTCCTTCAACATTTGTCTTCTTCTTGTACACCCACTTTACGCCGATAGGTCGTGCTCCTTTGGGCAAATCAGTTAGTTCCCATGTGTTGTTGCGTTCTATTGCTCCGATCTCCTCGTCCATTGCCTTTCTCCACCTTTTCTGCTGCACGGCCTCTTCAAAACTTAAGTCTTCTGAATCTGCCAAGAGACATACAACATGCACTTCGTCAGTGTTGTATATATCTTGTAAACTTCACGCTCTGGGCTGTAGAGGTTCATCTTCTTCATCAGAAGTCTCATGATCTCATGATCTCTCACAGTATGTGATGTATCAACTTCCGAGCTTCTACTTCCTATGGACTCCTTCTCTGGGTTGTTCCAACTCCACTCGCTTTCTTCATCAATTTGAACATCTCGGCTCATGATGACCTTCTTAGTTATTGGGTTAAACAACCTGTACGCCTTGGTTTTTTCATCATACCCAATAAACACGTACTTTTTGCTTCTATCTTCGAGTTTGGTCCTCTGTTGAGCTGGAACATGACCATAAGCTATGCTACCGAACACTTTAAGGTGAGACACACTCGGTTTTCTTCCACTCCAAACTTCTTGCGGTGTCTTCTCGTTCAGTTTAGCATGTGGACATCTATTTTGCACATAGATGGCACATTACACTGCTTCGCCCGAACTCCTTTGGCACGTTTTTGCTTCTCAACATTGTTCGAACCATGTCAAGAATGGTTCGATTCTTCCTCTCGGCAACTCCGTTTTGTTGTGGTGAGTATGGTGTCTGTCGAAATCTCCTTATTCCTTGCTCCTCGCAATACTTCATGAGTTCGGATGAAATGAACTCGCCTCCTCGATCAGACCTAACAGATTTGATAGGCATGTCAGTCTCTTTCTCAACCATTGCTTTAAATCTCTTGAACACCTCAAACACCTCGGATTTCTCCTTCAAAAAATATACCCAGGTTTTTCTTGAAAAATCATCTATAAAAGAAATGAAATACCTTTTCCCACTGAAGGACTCAGGGGTAATCGGTCCACAAATATCTGTGTGAATCAATCCGAGTTGTTCTTTTGCACGGTACTCGGCCGTCCTCGGAAATGAGGTCCTCGGATGCTTCCCGAGCACACACTCTTCACATAATTTCTTTTCAAATTTCATAGACGGGAGTTCTCGCACCATCTCTTTCTTTACCAACTCTGTCAGTCCGCCAAAATGCAAGTGGCCAAATCGAAAATGTCACATCATTGCTTCATCCTTCATGTCAAGTTTCAAACACCTCTCTTGGACTATCTTCAAGTCCAACTTGTACATTCTGTTCTTCTTCATTTCTACTCGGGCAATCAAACGATCCGACTTGTCCTTCAGGTATAGTACTCGGTCTTTCATCAGAACCGAGTAGCCTTTCTCCATCAGCTGACCCATACTCAATATGTTGCTTTTGAGATCGGGTACATAGTACACGTCTCTGATTTCTCCAACTCGGCTATTCTTCTGCAGGTACCAGATTGTACCTCTGCCTTTTACTGCCACCTTTGATGCATCTCCAAATGACACGTGTCCGACCTCAACTTTAGTGAGCTCCTTAAAAAGGTTTTCGTCCCTGCACATGTGGTTACTTGCTCCTGTATCAAGATACCAAACCGAGTTGTCAGAACAACTCGGACTTAGCTCGACATCCGAACTTCTTGACATCATCAATACTCTTTCTTCCTCAGTGTCCTCAGAGAGGAGGTTTGTCTCCTTCTTCCTCTCAGATCGGCAGTCCTTCGCGAAATGCCCAACCTTCCCACAATTATAACATTTGATACCTGAATAACAGTCCTTAGCAAAATGACCGTACTTCCCACATTTGAAGCACTCAAATCCGGAATTGCTTGACTGACCACCTCGGCCTCTACCGTCACAACCTCTACCTTGTCTTCAGCCACGCCAGTTTTGTTGACTGACTGGCTCCTTGCCTCTTTCATATTCTCCTCTGCCTCTACCACCTCGACCTTGAGTGTTCTGAGCATAAGGAACCTTCTTCTCCTTTAAGGTTGCCTTTGCTTGGAGTGCTTGATCAAGAAACTCCTCTTTCTTCTTCCTTCTCCGCTGTTCATGCGCTTCAAGCGACCCGGCAAGCTCTTCCACCGAGAGCACCGACAAGTCCTTGGACTCTTCTATTGCACAAACGATATTCTCAAAATCGTCAGTTAACGACCTTAAGATTTTCTCCACCACTCGGCAAGTGGGCAGCGTCTCTCCATTTCTTCCGAGTTGATTCACCACGGTCTCAACACGGGAGATGTACTCGGCAACCCCTTCGACCTCTTTCATCCTCATGCTTTCAAGCTCGCCTCTAAGAGTTTGAAGTCTGACTTGCTTCACGCGATTATCCCCTTTATATGTCTTCTCCAGAATATCCCACGCTTCTTTTGAAGATTTAGCATTTACTATCTTCTCAAAGCCGGACTCATCAACAGCTCGGTACAGTACGTACAAAGTCGTTTTGTCCTTTACTCGTGTTGCTCTCAATGCAGCAAGTTGAGCAATCGTCTGCTCTTCAATATTCTCTGGTTCTTGGTGCCCATTTTCGACCACATCCCATACTTCTTGGGAACCAATGAGAGCCTTCATTTATAGGCTCCAGTTATCATAGCTTACGCCTTTTGATAACTTTGGTAGGGGCATGCTGTTAGCTAAGTTGGTCATCTCAAACAAACTCTCTAACTCTCAAACACTCTCTCTAACGCACTCAGACACTCAGGCTCTCAAGCTCTGATACCAATTTGTAGACAAACAAGTATCTAAATAAAACACTCTGTATATTATCACTTGATATATTTGCAATGAGTGATGCATGGTCAATTTATAGGCCCTTTAGATATGACCTCTCAACTACATTCATTTAATACAACTACTACATTTCAACTACATACATTCAATACAACAACTACCTCTCAACTACTACCTCTATAACCACTACCTCTCAACTACATGCATTTAATGTTTACCTAACAACTTCTACTGACCTCTATTTAGATATATAATAATTCCCTTTACCCTTTAGGATTCTTTTATATTTATAGTTTCACGGTACTTTCGGTTCTATTATCTTATAAGAAATAAAGTTTCACCTCAGTGATCTATATTGATATTTGATGAAATTGTTGGGTAAAACTTCAGTTTTAATGGGAGAAGAAAACCAAATTTGTCCATATAAATGCATCTAAATCTTGTACTGTTGTTGATTCCCTTGGAATGTTTTATACGTGTTTGTTGTTCAGGAAGAGATAGTCACTTGACTTGGGAAACAAGAGTAAGAATTTTGAGAGATTGTTCATTTGCACTCAAGTACCTCCACCATCATATGGAAGGCTGTGTTGTCCATAGAGATATAAAGGTACGTAATACATGCTATGAAAATTTGAATATGTTGTATATTATCCACTTGAAATTAACAATGTTTTCAGTTTGTACATGGTAATGTCTCTCACTGATTTTAATGAACAGCTTACGAACATTCTTTTGACTGAGAGATACCAAGCCAAACTGTCGGATTTTGGACTGTCAAAGGTGATGGGAATCAAAGAGAGCAAGGTTTTTACCGATGTAAGAGGAACCATAGGCTACATGGATCCGGAGTACATGAGTAATGCCAAGCTAACATGTGCCAGTGATGTATACAGTTTTGGTATTGTTGCTCTACAAATATTGTCTGGACAGAAAGTCATAGAGTTGGATCTTGATGCCAGAGATCAGCTCACTAGGAAGGTTCTTAAAAATATGTGTATTATATTTACATGCCCTTCAACTCAAAGTGAGATAATATGAAACTGCTTTTGTAGGCAAGAGATGTGAGTATGGGAAAGCGTCCATTGTCTGATTTTGAAGACCCAAGGCTAAAAGGAAAGGTGGATAAGGCAGACTTTGAAGCCATCCTACAGATTGCAGTGTTGTGTGTTGCCAAATCAAGCAAAGGTCGACCAACCATTGAGGTTGTTTTTGAAGAACTGGACAAGGTCTGGACGGACACAGAAACCAGGATGGTAAGCATGTATTTGCCAAGTTACTCCTAAACTCATTCATAGCTAAAGTTTGTGTAGAACTTAATGTGTACAAGCCCTTTACTGCTAGCTAGTCCTAGCTTTGTTTTTATCAAATTGACAATAGAAGTTTTTTTTGTTTATGCAGAAGACAAAGAACGATGAGAGCTCATCATCAACATCCACCCCCAGCTCCAAATCCTCCAAAACAGCTCCTATTTGACATAAAGGGTAATGTGTTGTGCTGGTTGCTACATTCGTTTGTGAGATGAAAAATGAAAAATGTAGTGTAAATGGAAATTAGAGAATGAAGATATATTATTACATATGATACTATTTTCAGCATGTAATTATTAAGACGGCACAAAATTAGGAGTGTTGCGTACATAAATAAGTTTCCCATGTGGATCTCTCTCGGTCACAGTATCTTCGGCTCAACCCCTGCTCCAACAAAATAATCCATGTGGCGGGAAGAGAATCAAATTTTCTGTCGCAATCATACAGATCTTAGATCTTAGAATGTGTTATTATAGACTTACAGTAATACCAATTTAAATCCACAACAGCTCTTTTCTTTTTCTTTTTTTTCCTCTTTTTTATTTTATTATTGCATGAGCCAGCTTATTTGCAAATTTAATAATCAAACTCAAACCTTCATAGACAGTGTGGTTAAGCAAATATTATATTAAAAATGGGTTCGTTTAATCTAATTTTATTTTAATTAGTTTTTTTTTTTTAACTTTCACTTATCTATTACAAAGGTTAATTGGATTGATTCATAAATATGTATTTTATTTTATTTTAAATTATTAAAATCAGTGAATTAAATATATTGAATAATAAAAATATTTTTTATTATAGATTTATATTTAAACATAAATATAACTTTTTTTAGAGATTTTATGTATTTTTTATATATAAATATTACAAAATATCTTAATACTTATTTTAAATAAAATATTATAAAATAATATTTTTAATATTTCTTGTTATTTTAATTTAAATTTGATATTTTTTCCTCTTTTTTATAATTCTAGTTTTTTTTATCATCTCTTCATCTAATTTTATTGTTTCATTCTTCATTTTTTTGTTCTTTTGATCTTTTCCTCTTCAAGACGTATTGATTATAGCATTTATTATATCATTAGTAATTTTGTATGGAATGATTGTTGATATTGGGATATTTATTTTTCAACAATGATATGAATTTTTTGGTTTTAGGATTTTATTTTCTGGAGCTCTTCTACTCCTCATTTGTTTGATATTTTTTTTTAAATAATTTTAACATTCTTTAGATTATTTTAGATTACTTTGTTTTTTCCTTACCCTCTTCCCTTTTTCTTTTTAATTTGATTTGTGTCATTGTGAAAATTTCAAGTAACAAATCCATGATGTAATAATTTTCCATAGCTTCCATAAATCTAATCAATATGATTGTATTTTCTTATATATTGTAACTTTTATAATTGAGAAGTAAAATAATTTATAAAAAACTTCTTTCTTTCTTTTTTTAGAGTGTGTTTTGGATGAAATATGTCTCCTATAAACATGTATTTTATTTATATATATAAAAAAATATATTAAATATTAAAAATATTTTAATCATAATTATTTAAATCAAAATAATAATAAAATATATTATTTTTATTTAAAAAATAATAAAAATTCTCTTCCTATCTTATTTAAATAACAAATAATAAATAACATCTCCAATTTATTTAAACATAAATAAAAAGAAACAGAGTGTTAAAAAAACTTGAATCCACCACTAATTCAAGTTCAACCTATGTAGTTGTGTGTTAAATCAATCGGATTTGATTTAATTCATAATTTAAAAAAAATATCAAATTTTTTAACCTAATCCGGTGACCTGTATGTGTAATAATATCTGTGATATATTAACATTCACATATTTTGGTATTTTAAAAAATTGTTACATCTTTTATCGATTAAAATTAAAAATTTAATTAATTTTTTTTCTTAATTTATTAAAATATTTATTCATGACATCTAAAATTCGAGTCATGAAAATAAGTATTTTATATTTAAAAAATCATTTTGTAAACATTAAAAATAAAAAGCTTGAGCCTTGGCTAGACATAAAAAAGACTCAACCACTATTTTGACCAATCATGACACGGCTGAGATATATTGAGTGTTAATAATAGGTTAATAAAACAGATTAATAGCAAAAGATGCATAAAAGGATTTAAAAATTAGTAGGTATACCAAAATAAAGACTTTTTTTACATAGGTTTTATCATCAATGATTAATCTTATTTAAAAAACTTAATTAGAGATAATTGGATGATTTTAATAAAATAGTCTGTTTGATTTAAATTTTTTGAAGAAAATAAAAATAAAAAACAGAGTATTAATTAGGTAAAAGAAAGTTAAATATTTGAAAAAATAAAACTGAGAATAAATTATTTGCTTTCATAAAAAATATTCTTCAAATATATATATTATTGATGTTAGACACTCACTTCATATGAAAAATATTTAATTTTTGTTATGAAAAAATATAAAATTTATTAGACGTGATAGTACAAACGTTCACCGAGTTAATAAATACACAAACTTTGAGACAAATTATGTATAGGTAAGATTTTTACCTTCATCATATTTAATTAAAAAATGTTCCCTTTATTTTAATATATAATAAAAAATTTATTAACAAAAATTGAATAAGATCAGAGATGTTTATTCAGTTAAGAAAATAAAAAGGTGTACCTACGTGTTGTGTTGTTGAGATACCAATGCCGAAAATAATTTCGAGCAAAAAATAATAATACACATAAGTAAAACACATTACCTTCATGTATTCATAATTTTATATTATTAATTTTTTTCACATTTTTTAATTATACCATATTTTCTGTCTTTATTCTTTATATTATTATATGCTATTTTTCTATTCTATTATATATATATATATATATATATATATATATATATATATATATATTATCTTTCTCCCTTTTTATTATCAAACACGTAATATCATAAATAATAATAATTCTTTATATTATTCTTTCCCGCATCATCAATAACTTAATAAAAATAATATAATTTTATAAACTGGAATACCAAAATTATTTTTAATTTTTTTTTGTTTAACAGACAAATTAATGATTTATTATTTATATATATTTATCTATATATTATTTAAATAAATTTTAGATATTATTGTTTTAATGTAATAATTAATATAATAATAATTTTAAATTATAATTAAAAAATAATAAATATACAAAATAAGATGTTAATTTTTATTTTTAGAATGGTTATATTTTGTATATATATAATATAATAGTTATTCTTACACTAATTTTAAGGAATTTAATTTTTGTAATCGAATATATATATATATATATATATATATTGATTTTAATTTAATCTTGATTTATTTTTTTATTAAAGGTTAATGATTTAGTTGTTGATTAAATTCAGCTATTTTATATTTAAAAGTAATAAATAAATAAAAATATTAAATAGTTAAAAATTATTTAATCGAGAATTGTACTAAAAATGCATGTCGGTCTCTATTCTCATTTTTTAACATATATTTTAAATAAATTTCATTGATCATATAAATATCTTTTCCAAAGATACACACCATAAAATATTTTAAACAATTAAAGTGATAATGTAAAAAAACTAAAGAAATTCAAAATATAATTGATAAAATCACATAAATTACTTTATTTTTCTTAAAAACAACTTTGTTCAATACACGGTTACACACTAATTTTGAATAATCCTTTTACAAAAATTTGAATCATAATTCACCGCGTGACTAATTCCTTTCACTAACTCTTACGATTATCCTTACCCTCGTTGTGTTATGGTGTTATTGTTTTTACTCTCATTTATTTGGACATTATTGTAATTTTGGTGCAAATGATTGGCTCAACGTTTTTCGTTCAACATTTTGTCTAATATCACACTAACCATTTTGTCATTTTCAGCATTGAAGACAGAGATTGGGTGCTGAAACACCACAAAGATGAGATTCTGATATTTTTGTTTGGCATCATTGGTGGGAGATGAAGAAGAACGTCATGTCATCATCTTAGAACGAACACTTCCATGCTCTCGCTAAGCTAACAAAGCCACCGTTAACATTGTTTTCTCCACCAAATCATATCACATACAATATAATATCACGCCTTTGTTTTTTTTTATCCTACCACTCCTTAAATACGAGTCTTGTGTCTCACCTTTGCTTCCTCCCGAGCCAGAAATTGCACCAGTTATCAAAGTGAACACAACACAACAAGTAATGGGATTGTCTGGTAGGCCTAGGAGAGAGAGCCACGTCCTCAAACTGGTGCACCCTGGAGGCTTTGTAGAGCTACATGCCACGCCAATCATGGCTTCTCAAGTCATGAACAAGAATCCTAGGCACTATGTCACACGACCTGACTTTTTCCAGTTTCCTTGGATCGTGGTCAGCCCAGAATCCATTCTTACACCTGGCAACGTTTTCTTCATCGTCCCTTGTCACACCATACGCCATTTGGTCAAGTCCACCAACACTAACAACACCAACACCAACACCAACCACACCCTTCTGTCTTATCTCTTTCCCTATCAATCTTCTCTTCCCTGTAGAATCTCAAACTCCATCAAGATTCAATGCTTCCAAAAACAATTCTCACTATCCAGAGAGTATCACAAACAAACCATAGGTGGTAAAATGCCTCAATCTTCTGCCAGAGAAAAACCTGTTTATTCCAGCGTTTACACTTCATGTGACTCGGGAAAAGTAAAGGCATGGACTCGTAGTGGTAGTTTCAGTGCTAGTTTCAGCCATTCTAAGCAGACCCCTAAGCTGAAACCGTGCCTCAAGAAGGATAAGAACCACAATGCTAGACGGCGTGATCTTAAAGTTTTATTTGTGTTTAACGACCATGACGCCAACAACCCCAACTTCACAACAAAAGTCTTTAATCAATCCTAATCCATGGTTAAGGATTATTGAAATTCCTCGTTAGATAATCGCACATATATTAATTAGTTACAGGTTATAGCACCTTTATGTGTCAACTTTCTGTTTCTCTTCCTTTTATTTGATTTCTATTTTTTCCCTTCGTATATGTAAAGTGGATAGTTACCAAGAATTACAGTGTAAGTTCTCAGTTCGTAATTGCTTCCTGGATTTTTTCTCCCATTCCCTATCAATATATAGAGAAGGCAATATAAATTAACCATTCAACAGTTTTTTTTTTTTTTTTTTTTTTTTCTGTTAAGGCAGATCTTCTGTTTTTATGTTAATGTGTATCTGATATTAGTCTTCAACAAATAAGAATATATGACAGAGGTCCTTCTTTCCATTCATTGAAGAACTTCGATCTTTGAGGTGCTATATGATATTTAAAAAGGTTTTCAAAATCATCTTGCTATAAAGTCAAATATATAGCCAGAATTTTCTAGTTGATAAAGTTGTGAACTCATGGACATAACATATATGTGAACCTAGAAAAGATGTCATTTGAGCCCGTGATCCAACTCTTCTCGTAGGGTGCTAGTGGATCCAATGAATCAATAGGGGATATCCACGGTAGGATGCGAGATTTAATTCTCACATGCATACATGTGAAAACCAAAGGGTCGAATTATTACATAATTCAAACGAGGATCACTATTTCTAATAATATCAAAAATCCTCTATGCAAAATCACGGTTATCGTCTCGCTTTGTTCATGAACTAAGGTAGATACAGAAACATCTGAAACCTAATAAAACAAAAATAAGATATATATGTGCGTGTATATATATGGTTGTTCGAGGGTTTTTGAAAATAGCGGATACCAGATACGGTAATCTTGTTTCACTCGACCATACATACTAATGTTAAACAAACATTGACAGAAGCATACAGAGCATGATGTTATGCCCAATTAAGTTGTGATTGAAACCACGCACGCATTGATAATGGATCTTTATTGTGAATGAACATTTCACTGCTGCTCTAATTCCCTGCTGTTGGTATTATCTAATGCATGCTACTTCTTTCCTCGGACCTTATGCTACTGTCATTGTCTGAGTAGTGAATATTCTCACTTCTGATTAGGCCAATTGAAACGTTCCCTTCTGATGGCCTGCTTCCGCTACGCTCAAAAACATCGCCACCATCATGTTGTGACGCCCCACTGGTGCTTGAATTGGATGAACGACTTTTCTTGCTGCTTAAGATGTTGACAGAAGATTTCTTGATGCTCTTTTGCTTCAGAGAAGATTTCTTACTACTCTTCTGGTTTAAGGAAGATTTCTTTTTGCTACTTTTCCTACTGCTTTTGCGGCCGGTTGAGACGCGTCCATGTTCTGAATCTGAAGTGGAGCTGGTGCTGCTCTTGCGGCTCGATTTGGAGTAGAACTCCTTCGTCTCTTTAGTGAATTGGGGACTGTAATCATGTTGTTTTTCAGTCTATAATAATCATACTCAGTTTCTGAGGTGTCTTTGCTTTCTTGATAATTTCACTAACCTGGTTATTAGCAGATCCATTGTCCTCGCCAGAAGAACTACCGGAGGAGCTGCGGCTGTCATTTTCAGCAGCACCGGGAGCAACCTCTGAAGGACTGGTGGAAAGAAAACTGAGAGCAGTTACAACATCACTCATCAAAGGACGGGCTGCTGCTTCCTCCTGCAAGCACATGGCTGCAATGGCAACAACTTGGTTCAGATCCTTTTCTGGGAAATTTTTCCCCAGATTTGGATCTGCTAAATCTGGATATCTCTTTGGGTCTCTGAATATGGGTTGTGCCTGCTCAGTCATGATAAGGGAATTAAATTAACCTGTTTGATATTGCCATTAAAGCAACCTTAAACATTTTTATACAACAACACGTTTTAAAAGGAAAAAAAACTTAGATACATTACCTTGTATATACCTTTTGTGTTGTTCATCAATCAGAATCAAATCAGAGATTCATGACTTTTCCATATTTTTATGTACAAAACAAACCTTATTTTGCAGATTACTTATTGAATTTTGATTGAAAACAATATTAAAATATAAAGAACTGTATCTGTGGTTTGTCCTCTTAACACATTTTTTTAACTGTTAGGTGGAATTCCTGTAGGAACTATAACTCATTTATGATATATAATGAGAAACATACCAAGTCTACAACAATAAAAAAGTGTCCCCATTATAAGAATATGATAAATTAAGAGGTTGTTATTGGTTTACCCATGAAACTAGATTTTGCTCATCGCCCGATCTTGTGGTGTCAACCGCACGCCGTCCAGATATGAGCTCAAGCAAGACGACTCCAAAACTGTAGACATCTGATTTCAAGGTGAGGTTACCTGTTCTTACGTACTCGGGAGCACTGTAACCGTAGGTGCCCATAACTCTCGTGGGTACAATATTCATCTTATCACCAGCAAGTTTGGCCAATCCATAATCTGATAGTTTTGCATTGAAATCATTATCCAGCAAGATGTTCGAAGATTTCATGTCCCGGTATATAACTGAAGGGTTGGCCTTGTCGTGCAAGTACCATAGTCCTTTCGCCGCATGTGATGCTATTTTCATTCTGTTGTGCCAATCTAAAGGAGGTTCATCTGCTTTCCTATCTGTTATAAAACCAAGCACATGTTTTACTTTGGTTTTACCAGCCTTTTTACCAAAACCAACTAGGTAAGTCAATAAGCACAATAATCTCATGTATGGCTGTTGGGGGAGAGACAAGGCAAAGATAATGCACAGTGCATGCATAATAATTCATCATGTATATGCATGTGTCAAAAATTGAAGAGGGATTATATAAATAAGGTGCGTGAGTATACCAAGAAGAAGCCCTTCTAAAGAGCCACCTGGCATCAACTCATACACCAAAAGGCGTTGATCTCCGTCAGCACAATAACCAGTGAGTTTGACGAGGTTCTCATGGTTCAAGAGACTTAACATCAAAACCTCCACCAGAAAATCCTTACTTGCTAGCCCCCCATTTCGGTCGAGTTGCTTCACTGCTACCACCTGAAGTGGAGAATAAAACACACATGACATGACACATGCAAACGTGAATATATACAAATTGAATTTAATTGTGTTTTATGCACTGAAAATTCAAGGGGTTGTGATATAACCTGCCCAGTTGCAGGAATTGTTCCCTTGTAAACTCTGCCAAAGCCCCCTTCACCCATCAAGCATTCTTGCCGAAAGTTCTTCGTCGCGATTGCCAGTTCACGGAATGTGAAATTTTGTGCTTGAATATTTGAAGTGTCAACCTGGTTTGGTTCATCTGCCTTTGGTTTCTTTACCTCTGTCACACCCAACGTTTAAATTCCAATCATTTAGACCTTTCAAATGGCATTTTTATTCTCTCACATCTATTATGCATTTTGATTAAATGATCAATGGCATCGAACCAAGTAAATTTGATTGTTTATATTCTTACCCGGAGGTGTTTTTGTTGCTATATCTTCTTCCTCTGGTGAAGGCACTTGCTGCTCCTTCTTGCTATTGCTTTTCTTACTCTTTGAAAAACACGGAAAACAACTCATTCTTCTAAATTTCTTGAAACAAAAGAGAGAAAAGGTCCAAGAAGGATTTCGGGCTGGTATATATGTATATATATACTATATATACATATATATATATAGTATGTGAAGGTTTTGGTTCTAAACAGTATTTTCATTCAATTGAGGAACAACAATAATAGTGCAAAGGTGAAAACTTGAAGCCTCCATGAACTCTTTGATTAAATTGAGCGATGGACGGAGGTTCCCTCAAGTGATATTGAAGGACCCCGCATAAAGGGAGCAGGGGCTATAAATTAAAATGAAAGGGAAATGACCAGCAGAAGGTGAAAAGAGGAAGAGTTAGACATGCAGGTATTAGGGGAATAGCAAAATGGTGACGTTTCCTCACAAGACTCGGAGAGAAAAGGGGACAATTTTGGGTGGACATTGTTATGAGGTGTCCTTTTAGATGGCTTCCTACAAATGTGGAACTCATATTTCACTTTTACTATTGTCTTCCAACCCAAGCATGCATGGGTGGCATCTAACGTTTTCCTTTGGTTAATTATGGAATTACATTTTGACTCCACTTTTTTTTTCCATAAATATATGTGATTATCTTGGTTAGACCTTCGCTATGCCAATTCTATATCATCTCCATGACCAAAACATTATTATTGTTGTCATTTTACATGTTTTCTATTGATAGATTGTGAGTTTCAGCTGAGGACAACTCATGGTTTTCACTTCCTCAAATTGGAATAACAAAATGCATTACGCAAGTTCTTCAATTTCCAAGATGAAGTGGAAATTGTGGGTGTGGAGTTGTGGGAGACAGAGTGGTAGTTCAACACGCTTCCTGGTAGGGCTGGGCCCGGTGGGCCGGCCCGCCATGGCGGGGCGGGTTGGTATTTTTAACCCACCAGCCCGCTTTGACCCGTCCGGCCAAACCCATCAATCCGACGGGCCAACTCGTGGGACGGGGCGGGCCAGCCTGCGGTCCGCCTAATTAATAATTTTTTTATTATAATAAAATTAATTATAAAGATAATATATAAAGTTAAAAAATTTAAAAAGAGAATTAAAAAAGTTTTACTCTCACAAAAAATATTCTCCCTACCTGAAACATAACATTTTCTCTCCTGTTCTCCTGGTTCATCCTAAGCACCGATTATTTTTATCTTTATGACTTGAATTAAAGATGTAAGAATTACTCAACCAATAATAATATGAAGTTTTATCAAATAAAAAAGATATAGGTATTAGAAATTTTCAATATAAAAAATATAAATTTTATAAGTTTTAACGTTATATATATATATATATATATATATATATATATATTTGTTATTATTTATTATTATGTAAATTTAATTATTGTTCTAAATTATAATTTCTTAAAATAATGTATTGATTTATATTATTAAATTGAAATAATATATATATATATATTGAATTATTGACAAACAAATAATAATTTTATTATTAAATTTATTAAAAAAAATTATTTTAAAAAATAAATTATATTTTTTTAAATTATGACAGCGCCGGCCAGCACCGCTAACTCGCCCCTTGGCGGGCGGTCAAGGTCTACAACCCGTCTGACTATAACGGGTCGACCTGCTACGCCCCACTTTTGGCGAGGCGGCCAAAACGGACGAGCGGCCCGTTTTGCCATCCCTACTTCCTGTTCTCTCTAACTTCTTTTATTTCCAACATTTATCATTAGAGACCTAGGAAGACATTCAACTTTAATTTTTAATCTTGAAATATTTATAATTTTATTATTGATGAAAAAAAATTGTGTCGTAGTTATTTTAGGAAAAGAAAAAAAACAAAATTAAAAACATAAAACATTTTTATTTTTATTTTAAAGAATCACAAACAAACAAACAAGTCTTGGTTAAATAAAATGGGTCAGAAAAACAGGGGCATTTGTAAAAGTAAATAAAATAATGTAATTTATTTATATAAAAAAGAGCTAATTTAAATAATACATATACTTAATTTTTCTTAAAAGAAAATTGATTTGAGTTGGTAAAAAAAAAAACTCTAAAAAATTAATTTATTGTGATAAAGATAGAAATATAAGTATAATTACTTGTAAAATGTGGTGGATGACGTAATGTGTATGTATGAACATGCTAAAGGAAATGGTACTTAATTTGATGAGAAGCACGTACAAACCCAAATTGAGGCACATGATATGATATTAGACATGGAACATAAAGATGCTTCATCTGTACCTTTAAAATATATGCTAAACCTCCATTCAGTATACGCATTCTACTCCACATCAAATCATGCCATTACCTCTATTATTTGTTGGCAAAATTTGGGTCATGTATATATGATATATAATTTAAATGCGTTAGGGTTATTATTTATTAAACCAAATAATAAAGTAACCTGACTAAATTAAAGTTTTGGTTAAAGACATATGTCATGAAAATAAATTTGTGTAGAGACCATTGAACAATTTCTAATTTGATGAGGGGTCAAATTAGAAATACTAAAACTTAAGTAATTAACCTAATTCTGGTTATTTTAAGGGGTCGTGGTCCCCTTCTGGGAGCACACACACAGAACGTAAGTATCAGTCTCGTTCCTTTCTTTCTATCTCCATCAAGAGAGAAAATCAATAGGGAAATACATGTGTTCTTCAGGTGGAAGACCATAAGATCAATATAGTGCTCTACAAAGACATCATCATTATGACTAATTCAGGTACACTTTCGCATTCAATTTACAACATGTTTATCAGGTATGGGATTATGTTTATGTTTGATCGTTAGAATCAAAATCAGGATTATTATTATTATTATTATTATTATTATTATTATTATTATTATTATTATTATTATTATTATTATTATTAGTTTTCCAACAATTGGTATCGAACCGCCCATATTTGATTCATGTCTGTTTAATTTATAGAACCCTAATTATGAAAATTAGGATTAATTTTGTTTTAAACAATTCAAATTATCCAATTTTATAAACCCTAAGTGGAGAATAATCTCCAATTTTTCTGAACCCTAAAATGTAAATTTGGGGGTAACATCCCCAATCTGCTTGCTGATGGAACCGTGGAGGAAGCTATGAATTCTTCTTCTTCTTCGTTTTTTCCTTTTGTTTCAGTTTAAGTTTCAAGTTTTACTGAGAAAGAAATAGTGTTTCAAATTTCAATCTTTCTTGTATTAGATTCTCTGTTCTCTTTGAATCTTTTGCTTTTGTTTTTATTTAATTTTATGAGTTTTTGTTTTCGTTTTCTTTTCATGGTAGATATGGATGAGTTTGGAATTGGGGGTGGTGTTTGGGGAATTCCCAACACGAGAAAATCTTAGGTAAATGGTGAAAGTTTCCACAGGTGTGATTGTTCTTATTTTATTGCCTTTAGGAAAATTTGATGTTAAATTCCCCTGTTTAGGGTTTGAGTGATTACTGTTTAATCCCCTTTTAGGGTTTAGAACGATATGTTAAAGAGACTCAGAATTATCTTTGTCATCCCTAGTGTGATTTTAGGGAGATGTTCATCCTTTATGTATTGGTGGAAAATGAGGTCTTTTTTCATCCTTTGATTTGTTCAAATTAGGTGTTTATCCCTAATGAGATTCTAGGGAGGTGTTCATCCTTAGTAGAATTTTAATGAGGTGATTCTCTTTTGAATTAGTTTGCAAATATTAAATATTTGGTTTTGTTATATAAATAAAATATTCAATTTTTGGTAGTTTAATATTTTTTGTGAGCAAATTGAGTCAAGAAGTCACCAAAGTAACTTCTCTTGAATTGGGCAGTTCATGAAAAATATTGAATGTTAGTGTTTGTGTATATTCATGCGAGTATTAGTCGCCCAAAGGAAGATTAATATTTGGTCGAATTGCATACACACTTGTAATGATAAACCTGTGATAATTATAAGGATTTGCTTTGTCGATAATAAATCAATCCAAAGACTGGTTTGTTGTTGGACGTGCTTTATTGTCAATGTTTGATTATTACAACAAGATACCTCTAGCAGTTAATATTACTGTCCAAAGACTTGATATTGATGGTGCATTGAGTGTCTTGAGATGGGTTAAACCACTATTTTAATATATATTATTTATTTTTTATATAATGTGAGCATAATTAGTTTATTTTTCGTGTTCTAAATTCAGCTACAATTGCTTCTGTATCTGCCAATTTAAATTCTGTTCCGGTCCTCAATGGAACAAATTTTAAGGACTGGAAAGAGAACATTGATATTATTCTTGGTTGCATGGATATGGATCTTGCGTTAAGGACTGAGCAACCCCCTACTCCTACGGATTCAAGTACCTCTGAAGAGGAAAGAGATTATGAGAAGTGGGATCGCTCAAATCGCATGAGTCTAATGATCATTAAGCGAGACATCCCAGAGGTGTTTAGGGGCACTGTTTCTGAAAACATCACAAGTGCCAAAGAATTCCTTGCTGAAATTGAGCAGCGCTTTGCAAAAAGCGATAAGGCGGAGGCAAGTACTCTTCTTCAGAACTTGATCTCCATGAAATATCAAGGCAAAGGAAATATCAGGGAGTACATTATGATCATGTCTAATATTGTTTTTAAACTCAAGGCACTAAGGCTTGAACTCTCAGAAGACTTGTTCATTCATTTGGTGTTGATTTCTCTTCCTGCAACGTTTAATCAATTTAAGGTATCTTACAACTGTCAGAAGGATAAATAGTCTCTTAATGAGCTCATTTCGCATTGCGTACAAGAAGAGGAAAGACTAAAGCAAGATAAGACAGAAAGTGCTCATTTTGCAAGCACCTCCAAGGCTAAGGGCAAAAGAAAGAGATCAGAGGATCTCGAGAAAGAAGCTGCTAAGGGTCCAGAACAAAAGAAACAAACTCAAGAAAACAAATGTTTCTTTTGCAATAAGACTGGACACGTAAAGAAGAAATGTGCTAAATATCATGCTTGGCGTGAAAAGAAAGGGTTGCCTAAACTACCAGAAGCCAATTGATTCTGAAAGATGAATTTATGTTAGAGATGACAAATCGGTATAGGTGGAAGCTATAGGGCATTTTAAATTGTTATTGAGTACTGATTTTTTATTTGGATTTGAAATACACTTTTGTTGTGCCGTCATTTAGACGAAATTTGGTTTCAGTTTCTTATTTGGACAAATTAGGTTATTTGTGTTCATTTGGAAACAATAAGTTCAGTTTGTCTTTTAATTCAGATATTGTTAGAACTTGTTCACTTTTGATTTATGATAATCAGTATTTACTTGATATTGTGGCCACCTATAATGAAACCCTTAATACAGAATCATGTGGTACTAAACGTAAAATTGAAAATACTCACTCAGGTGCATTATGGCATAAGTGTTCAGGTAACAATCAAATCGTGACGTTTGGGCTTGTATTACACTCTTAAAGATATGGTAGAGAGTATGATTTGTCATTCCACCTTACTGGAATCACTTTGGGGAGAGACACTAAATACGACAACTTATATTCTAAACAGAGTACCAACTAAAGCAGCTACCAAAACACCTTATGAGCTTTGGACTGGGCGACAACCTAGTCTGAAACATTTCCATGTGTGGGATTGTCCAGCTGAGGCAAGGCCTTATAAGCCAAATGAAAAGAAATTAGACTCCCGAACAGTAAGTAGTTATTTTATTTGTTATGCTGAAAGATCCAGGGGATATAAATTTTATGATCCCACATTAAAGACAATTTTTTAGACGGGAACTGCTACGTTCTTTGAGGATATTGAGTTTGGGGGGAAGAATAAAATTATGAACTTTGTCTTGGAGGAAGAATCAGTAACAATTTCAGAACCGATTCAAATAGTTACTTTTGATAAAGTAAGTTCGGAACCTTCACAAGACATTATTAATGAACCCTTTACTCAAGATGATTTGGTTGTTCATGAAGAACAAACTCAAGATCCTCAAGAACCTGTGCATCATGAGCTAATAACTTTGTAGAGATCCACTAGAGAAAGAAGAAGTGTTATTTCGGATGATTACATGGTATTTCTTCAGGAACATGAGGAAAATAATGATATAATGGAAGATGACTCAGTTAACTTCCGTCAAGCTATATAAGGTTCTAACTCTCAAAAGTGGATTGAAGCAATGAAGGAGAAGTATAAGTCCATGCAAGACAATAAGGTTTGGGAACTTGTCCCATTACCAGAAGGTATGAAACTCATTTGGCTTCAAGATGAATATTGTTGATGATTGTGTGTATCACAAGTTTAAAGGGAGACAAGTTTAGTCTCAATCAGTGCCCAAAGGGGAATTTGGAAATTGAGGAAATGCAAAAGATCCCTATGCATCAGTTGTAGAGAGTTTGATCTATACCCAAGTATGTACACATCCAGACATAGCATATATAATTGGGGTTCTAGGCAAATATTTAAGCAATCCAGGAATAGACCATTGGAAAGCAGCAAAAAAGGTCATGAGATATTTAAAGAGAACAAAAGATTATATGCTCACATATAGGAGGTCAGACCAGTTGGAGATCGCTGGGTTTTCTGACTCAGATTTTGTAGGATGTCAAGAATTTGTAACATGCTATGAGGCATCAAATCATGGAATATGGCTGGGAAATTTTGTCACGGGGCTATAAATTGTGAAAGGTATTGAAAGACCACTTAAGTTATATTGTGACAATAAATCAGATGTATTGTTAAGGAAATAGTACAAAGTGGACAGATTTTCATAGAACACTTAAGGACAAACTTCATGATAGCATATCCTCTAACTAAATGACTTCCGCCCAAGGTCTTTCATGAGCATGTTGCTCACATGGGTGTTTTACAGTTTGAGGAATTTGTGGTTTAGTGGGAGTTAGTCACTTTCATATATTTTATGTTTTATGTTTAATTTCATATATGTATACATTGATTTTTGGACATATTTGGTTATCTGTAGATATGCGGTTTTTTCGTTCATTCATTACACTTTGTACATTAAGGATATTATATCGATCTCAATAAGTTAAAGTTTGGACCAGTTGAAAATAGACATGTACAGATCACCTTCACGTAATTTTTCATGCTACACATTTCATGATGAATCCATGTCATTTGGTTTTGTCAGGATGAGTAATCATTGTTGGTTTTAGTTGCGATGATGCAATGAAAAGCTGGTTTGGTTCTATATTCTGATATGATTAATGGACAGGACTTTTGGAGTATGCTAAAGGAATATAATGACAATTTTGAGCTCATAAAGTCTAACATATTTGTAAGGTTATAAGGACATATATATTTGTGACCAGTGGGAGATTGTTGGCAAAATTTGGGTCATGTATATATATGATACATAATTTAAATGCGTTAGGGTCATTATTTATTAAGCCAAATAATAAAGTGATCTAACTAAATTAAAGTTTTGGCTAAAGGCATATGTCATGAAAATAAAATTGTGTAGAGACCATTGAACAATTTCTAATTTGATGAGGAGCCAAATTAGAAATATTAAAACTTAAGTAATTGACCTAATTTTAGTTATTTTAAGGGGTCGTGGTCCCCTTCTGGGAGCACACACAGAACGTAAGTATCAGTCCCGTTCTTTTCTTTCTATCTCCATCAAGAGAAAAAATCAATAGAAAAATACATGTGCTCTTTAGGTGGAAGACCATAAGATCAATATAGTGCTCTATAAAGACATTATCATTATGACTAATTCAGGTACGTTTTCGCATTCAGTTTACAATATGTTTATCAGTATGAAATTATGTTTATGTTTGATAGTTAGAATCAAAATCAGGATTATTATTATTATTATTAATTTTCCAACATTGTTATTTTTGCTTACAAACATTACTTTTGTTAGTAACTTTCTTCTTCTTTTTTCTTAAATTTTATCTATTTTCTATTTCACTTTTCAAAACACTATCTATTTTGATTTACTAATTGTTTTTAATTTATTCACAAATTAATTATTTTGTATGTTAATCAGGTAATGTATTTATTGAGAAAACAAAATGAGTGAAAGTGTTTCTGTAAATTTATTTTAATAAAACACACGTTGTTTTCTCTGTAAATTCATAAAATGTTGTGGCAAAATACATAAAACTGTACTACGACTTGTAAATTTATCATTCAATTATTCAAATTTAATGGTAGTTATATTTGAAATTTGTTACAAAATCTCAAAGCAAGAATTTTATAAAATTTATATATAAAAAATTATATTAGAATATTTTAATGTCACATGACAAAAATACTCAAATCGAGAATCATGTCATATATAAGATTTAATATCTCAAATATAAAATGATACCAATATCACATGTCTTGAACTATGAAAATTAAATTAATATTTATTGATAATACTAACATAATTTTTTTTAAGTTATCAAAATTAAAGTATAAATAAAAAGTTTTAAAAAGTTGTGGATCTTATAAAAAAACTTTATTAGTAAAATAAAATTGTAAATTGTTTAAAAATTATGAGATATTTAAAAATGACACGTCTTGGAGTTTTTTGTTACATGGTAGATTCTGTAAGATGTGAGGTTTGACCATGACTCGAACACCGAAGGAGAAGGTATCACGGAAGAGCGTGCGCAGGGTATAACTCTCGCAACAGGGCATTATCATGTAATTTCCTCACCGAATCCATAACGCATTGTTAAAACGCTCAAAAGAGGACCTGTTTGACGTGGATTTCTAGTACCAATGCTTTTATTATGCAATAAAGTTAGAACCTTTTTCTCTTTTTATTTATTCTTTATCATAACACTACTTGATTCACACAAAACAAATTATAGAGAATAACAACTCTATATAATTTTAATTAGTTGAAGATAATTATACAGTTTAATTAAATAAAAACTCGATACTTTCTATAGTTAAATTATATTTTTTTTCTGTTTATTTTTCTCTTTCAATTTAATTTTCTCCATTGTTATGTATAATTACAATTATTAAGTTTTCTTTAATTATGGTGATATATTAAATAAATAAAAGCTTTTTATTGGGAAATCATGTTGAGATGTATTAAAAGTTATAGTATTTATCTTGTGTGGCGTTCTTTTTTACTTTTGTATTTTTTTAATAGTTTTTTCTTTGTAAAAGAAAAGTTATTGTATGTATTTAGAAAAATAGTATCATAAATAAAAATCCCCATGCTTGGAATTGTGCGGCAAATAAAAATGTGATGAGCGAACCTTAACCGCTAAGCTTCCCCGTATTCAAATTCACTTCTCTTTGCGTTGCATTATATACGAGACACCATAGACCGACACAAAGCGGAATCACTCTTTGCTACTAGTAATATCATGGTTACTGCTAACAATAACAAGGTGATGGTGGTGGAAGCGGAACAAGGTGAAGGTGGCGGTGGCGAGTTCGAGGATCTCCCAGAAGGTTGCATAGCGAATATTCTTTCGTTCACCACTCCTCGTGATGCCTGCGTTCTCTCTTCGCTCTCATCCTCCTTCAGATCCGCCGCACAATCCGACGTCGTATGGGAGAGGTTCCTCCCCTCCGATTTCGACGCCATCGTTTCTGAATCCTCGAAACCTCTCTCGTACTCGTCCAAGAAAGAACTCTACCTCCACCTATGCCATAACCCCCTCCTCATAGACGCTGGTCAAAAGGTAATTCAAATAACAAACACCTTCTCTCAATAATTCTCAATTAACAACTTCTTCGTGTAAATAACCGAATAATAATCAATCACCAGAGCTTTGCACTCGATAAGCCCAACGGCACAAAATGCTACATGCTCTCCGCTAGAAGTCTCTCCATTGTTTGGGGGAACACTCCTAGTTATTGGAGATGGACTTCTGTTCCAGCGACAAGGTACTTCATTCTTTAATTCATTTTCAATTATTTTTATTATTATTTGGATGATTCATCTGAAATTGAAGAGTGTATCAGATTTATATTTTTTGTCTGTTTGTTTGACGTAGGTTTTGGGAGGTGGCGGAACTTGTCAGTGTGTGTTGGTTGGAAATAAAGGGAGGGATTAAAAGTCGCATGTTGACCCCAAATACTCTGTACGGGGCATACCTTGTGTTTAAGCAAAGGAGTAGAGGCGCGTACGGGTTTGAGAACCAGCCGGTGGAGGTGTCGGTTGGGATTGCCGGAGAAGGTGAAGGTAGGCGGCGAACGGTGTACTTGGAGACGGCGACGCCGCGAAGGCCACGTCACCAGATTGTTCCTCGAATATTCAGCCGCGTTCGTTCTCGTTTTCTGGATAGTTTTGATGCTGCACCACCACCGCCGCCACCACCCCGTGTTGATGATTCAGCGGTGGCAGGAGAGTATCCGAAAGAGAGAGACGATGGGTGGATGGAGGTGGAATTGGGTGACTTCTTCAGCGGCGGCGGAGGAGAGGAGAAGGAGGTGGAGTTTGGTGTGTATGAGGTGAAGAGTGGGGAGTGGAAAGGGGGCATTCTCGTACAAGGAATCGACATAAGGCCCATATGCAAAAACTAAAACGACCGATTTACGATGTTTTTTTGTTTGTGTACTTTTGCTTGCACGTAGCGATTCAAATAAGCAAGCTCGGTCTAGAAAAAATTAGAACTATCTTTTTTCTTTTTTTTTGTATTTTTAGTTCATGAGATTAATCTTAATTTTTTTGAGATAGTATTGTTTCAATTTTTAGCGTAAAATGATACAAAAAAATAAACTAAAAAATTACAACGATAATTTTTTTAAGTTATTGATTAATTAAAAATATTAAAAAACTAAAATATGAATAAATACATATATACCAAAACAAATTATTACAATTTCAAGTTTTTGAATTAATTTTAATTCTTAAAATTTTGTTATGATATTTTCATTTTAACCATGTCTCTCCTTTCTATCAAACAAAACACAACTATTTTTCTCATTTTCTATCAAACAAGGTACAAAAGCTATGAGTGAATAACAAAACACAAAAGCTAAATTTACGAAAAATGGAGTGTGGTTCTTATATTATCTCTTAAAATTATTAAAATTAAATTTTAGTTTAATCAGTCTTTTGAACAATTTAATTTTAAAAATATCAATTTACATACAATAATATAGATAATTACTTTTTGTTTTACGTAGAAAATCATGTGGTCGAATTTTCAAATGTTATATATACAGAGAGAGTTAAGTAGATAGATTTTTAATAATAGGTATTTAATTTATTTTTTTTAAAAAGACTAAAGAGATTGTAACAAAATTTAGTAGAAGACTTTTATTCTTGGATAATCTTAACTCAGTTTAAATTAGTATGATTAAATATATTTCTCGCATCCGGTTTTATAATTTTTGGACTTTTATTCTCCTTTACTTTCAATTTCATCTAAATAACTTTTTTCACGAGAAGACAAATTTCATTCTCCCAATATCATTATACGTATTCTCTTATAATCGAATATCATATATCAGTTTTAAATATATATTGTATCTTCAAAATCTTAATTATTCGAAACACAAGACAAATTTCTAATGTGTTTGATATATGGGTTAAACATCAATTAAATGATTTAGAAAACTGTAACAGAATATATGAGAAAACGATTTCGGATATATATTTTATCTAATTTAAATATATTCTTATAATAGGATATATTTTCTCATGGTTTTAATATCAATTTAATTATTTAATTTGTTTTTCAATCTATCATTTTAAGAATTTTTTGTTCTAACTCAAATGTCAGTTTTTTGTTTTTTGAAGTTATCAAGTGAGTTATTATTCTCAATTTACTACACAAATTAATAATATAAGATGAGTTATGTGAGTTAGTACTTGAAATAAATTTAAAAAATGAGAGATAAAAACATTTTAGCAAATTTGTAGTACCCTACTCTGGAACGGAAATTAAAGCAAAAGAAAAAGAAAACAAAAGCAGAGAAGAACAAAAAGAAACAGAAATTTGTTTTACTACGGTCCACCATCTCCTCAAATTCAAGAGACCGAAGCTAAAGAACTACGACAAGGAGGAGGAGAAGGAGAGGAGAAAAAAAAAGAAAAGAAAAAAGAGAAACAGCAGCAACAACTGTAGCACAAACCGTGAATTTCAAACACCAACAAGTGTATGCAAACTAAGGTGCTCTTTCTCTATTTGTGTTTTTTTTTTTTTCCTTCTTTTCCCAACAATGGTTTACACATGTTTTCAGCCAAAGTCCCTTCCTTCCTCCACCTCTTGCTTTGCATCATATCCCCAATTAGCTTTCTGCTTCAGAATGTTTCGATTTCCTTTATGCCAAAAATTAAAATCATTTTTATGAAATACCTGTGTCTGCTTTCTTTGAATTGGTTAAACCAAGGGGAAATCCGACCTCGTAGTTTACGAAATTTAAATTACGGATTTAGAAATTGAAATTTCCTGATTGCAAATGTTTGGATCCGAAAGAGTGTTAACAGTTACGGTCGTGGTTTGATGTATGACCTAGGTGAGCAATGTGGTCCTTGTTCCGTGAGTGTGACGCCTTCATTTGAAGCTTCAATATGAATCTCTTGAATATATTATCAAGAGACTATCTTATACGTGGGTTTTATGCTCTACTTTTTTGTTTGTTGATGCTGTTTGCTTCTTCAGAAGAGAATCATCATATGAAATATAGGGGCAAATACAAACCCATAACCTCAGTTTCTGGATCAAAACGGGCGCAGCTACTACTGCTAAGTAGAAAGATGAAAGTGTTCTTCGTTTTAATGCCTATGAGAGGGGTAGACTGATTAGAGTTCACTAGGTTTTTGTTTTGCTTTAAATGAACTTACGATTACTGTGATGTCCTTTTATATTTCCTGATAAAACAAACACGAGGCAGTGATCCGGAGCAGGCAAAAGTTTTTATGAATTAATCACTGGAACTGTGCACAGGACCAATCAACCATTTGGGAAGTTTAAGCTAGGTCATGTGGCAAAAATGGTATACTCTAAGTAATATTCTTCAGAAATGTGGATTTTTCCATGGAGTTAGATGATGATGTAGAAACACTTTAAATGCAGGTTGTGGATAAATGTAGTTGAACGAGTTCCGTAGCAACCGCCAAGATTAAAATTATCCTTTTATATGGTTCCTGAGCCAGAGCTCTTTCTTCACCTGCAATCATTAGATCTGTCTGGGCAACTTCCGGAATTGTGATTATGGCATTAAAGCATAATTTTATTATAATCCTGCAACTATATAATTCATGTAATGCTTGATTTCAATCCCCATCCCCTGACACCTTAAATATATCATTTTCATCTTCTCTCAAATTAAAATTAAGAAAATGAAATAAAAGGCTTCCAAGTTTACAACAAAATTAAGTTAGAGGGATAGAGAACTAGGATCATGCTCTAATTATTTTGTTGTATGTATCTCAATAGCATGTTACACTCATATCTTGTTTCAATAGTGTAATATTTTCTATGTATTGAGATATACATTACAATAATTTGAAATCATAAGGGTTGCTATTAAATTAACCAAAGCAATTGATTATCATTACTAATAAAAAAAGCTTCGTTCAGATCCCAAGGTGTTACCCAAGTGCAGTAAGACAAAGTTTTGTATTTGGTAGGCTATAGGCTCAAACTCCCACTCATTTCCTTAGAATGAGGTAGATGTTAGTCATCTATTCGTGTTTTTTGAGTTCGGGAGCTTCCCCTGTCTTGGACTAAGGCCCCATTGTGGCAACTTCTTTTCCTAATTTTATTTCATGAAAAAGTGCTTAGTTCAAATTGTGTTCCTTTTATTCCTTATAAAATTAGAACTTCTATCATCAAAGAACTTGTTGATTTAATGTCAGAGGTGAATCTTCTACTTCTGTAACTCCCCTTTTGTTGCCAGCCTCATAAAGTTTAAGATTGAACAAGCAATAATCTGCTTACAAACTCCTACTGATGGGTTCTTTTACTTTTTCCTGCCTCTGCAATTGTTTGCATTTTGAATGATCTATCTATTGAACATCCATTATCAGTTAGCTACTTACTTTATTTACAGCTTGCGTGTGTTTTACTTGTACAGTGATCATTTTGTTTCAGTGACTTTCAGTTCTGAACAGTTAGTTTATAGAATTTAACCATTCCTTCCATTATGTATTGCAGAATCATTAATTTGCTGGAAGTTTGACATAATGACATTTTTCAATTCCTATCCTTGGAAGCCCTTGATAATTCAAAAATATGACGGAAACCCTTAGAGTCAGATGACATTGCTCTTGTTTTAGTGGATATATGGCAAATCATTCGTTAGTTTTAGATAACACATCTGTCAGTACTGTTACTGTAGCAGAGCAACCATTAGTCATTGGGCAAGAGTTTCCTGATGTAGAAACCTGCCGAAGAGCACTGAAAGATATTGCCATTGCTATGCATTTTGATCTTCGGATAGTTAAGTCAGATCGCAGTCGTTTTATAGCTAAATGCTCCAAAGAAGGGTGCCCATGGCGTGTCCATGTAGCAAAGTGTCCTGGTGTTTCAACTTTTACTGTAAGAACTCTACAAGGACAGCATACTTGTGAGGGAGTTCAGAACCTTCATCATCAGCAGGCATCAGTAGGTTGGGTTGCAAGATCCGTCGAAGCACGCATTCGAGATAATCCACAATACAAACCAAGGGAAATACTGCAAGATATTCGTGATCAGCATGGAGTTGCTGTTTCTTACATGCAAGCCTGGCGTGGGAAGGAACGTAGCATGGCCGCACTTCATGGAACATTTGAAGAGGGCTACCGACTTCTCCCTGCTTACTGCGAACAAATAAGGAAAACCAACCCTGGTAGCATTGCATCTGTTGTTGCTACTGGACAAGAAAATTGTTTTCAAAGACTGTTTATTTCTTATCGTGCATCAATTTATGGGTTTATAAATGCTTGTAGGCCACTTGTAGAACTTGACAGAGCACATCTTAAAGGAAAATACTTAGGTACACTTCTTTGTGCTGCAGCTGTTGATGCAGATGATGCTCTGTTTCCTCTGGCTATTGCTGTTGTTGATACTGAAAGTGATGAAAACTGGATGTGGTTCATGTCAGAATTGCGGAAACTTCTAGGAGTAAACACGGACAACATGCCTAGATTGACAATACTATCTGAAAGGCAAAGAGGCTTGGTGGAGGCGGTAGAAACACATTTTCCTAGTGCTTCACACGGTTTCTGTCTGCGTTATGTCAGTGAAAATTTTCGTGATACATTTAAAAACACCAAGTTGGTAAACATCTTTTGGAATGCTGTTTATGCGCTTACTGCTGCTGAATTTGAAAGCAAGATTACTGAGATGATGGAAATTTCACAAGATGTTATATCATGGTTTCAACAATTTCCTCCCTTTCTTTGGGCTGTGGCATACTTTGACGGTGTCCGATATGGCCATTTCACACTTGGGGTAACAGAATTATTGTACAACTGGGCCCTTGAATGTCACGAGCTCCCCATAGTACAGATGATGGAACACATCCGCCAGCAGATGGTATCTTGGTTTAATGATCGGCAGGATATGGGCATGAGGTGGACATCAATTCTT